GATAGTAAGACAAACTACCTTCCTGCACTCTTACTAATAGAGGGCTTATTCTTCAAACATGACCTTTTTATGTCATGTACCTAGTTGTATTTATTTGCACCCTAGTTTAATTGAGCTTTAACACCTTAACATCAGTATCCATATTCTCTACACTCTTCTCTATACATTTCCTTTAGCACTGAGAAGGAGAATTTGTTTAACAATCAAAGCTTCTTAGGTTAGGGATCATATCCTTTATACTCATTATCTTGATGAATGATTCAGCAGTACTGCTGCGAGGAGACATTACATGCTCGTCGCTCTAAAGGCTTAAAGGGTTAATGAGGGTAGGCCACTGTTATTGCATTAGACATCACTGTTCTCTAGGTTTTCTGACACTTCCCCCTGAACAGTTATTGATTTACAATGATTACAGGAGAATGTCGTCAAAGGGTGATCACTCACCTGGCATTTAGCTCCTTGTGCCCTATGTTTTCTTTACTCCCTCTCTCCCACATACCATAATCTGGAGTTCTGTAAGCTCGCTCGATGTAATACACAAGATTCTGAACAAAGTTAACCTCATCACTTGTGTAAATAATCTAAAATAATCATAAAGCATTTGATTAATCATATTTACCAGCTAGGTGAGGTTAGAGTTTCACTTTGAACAATATACTTTTTCTCTTGACCTCAAACCATTGCATGAATGACACTTAAGTTCCACTATTTACCTGTAGTCCTGATGCAGTCATTTGGACCAGGGTTAAAAGGTACAGAGATACAGCATCCATCTGAAACATCACAAAAAAAAAGAGATGGAGAACTTATCAAAACACAAAATTGTAATAACAGCATTATCTCGATATAATAAAACCCCCACTCTTAAATTGCCTTCCTACAGATTTCATGACCTGTATTTCAAGAGTAGTACTCTTAGATTTTAGGCCCCTTGTAAATAAAGAGAGATAAAGCAAACTTAATTAAGCTAGAATATAAAATGGAAGAAAAAGACTGAATGCAGATACAATCAAAGTTAGCTTCAAACCTGCAAATGAGCCCATTCAGAATCTGATGCAATTGTGTCCCCAGTGTTCACGTTAAATTTGACATGAAGGGAATTCTGTGCTGACTGGTTCTTTTTGAATTGTTCCACCTAGCAGCAAAACAAAAATATAAATGCATTTATTCAGTTAATGAAACATTCTCAAAATAGAGAAGACACATTCTAAGGTTGAAATGCTTTAACGCTCCCATGAGGGACCAAGATATAATAATTTTTCCTTATAGTATCCATACAATATCAAGAAGACAAGTGCTAAAGAACAAAGAAAAATATTGATTAGGGATTATTAGTAAATCCAATATCCAATTTTCTGCACTAACATCATAAGCATTGTATTACAAACAATAAGGAGAATAGCTAAATGAGATCTTGAAAGTGAAAGGGCCAACTATGCCACTGATTTAGAGAGTGAGTGAAGAACAGAATGATAATGGTTAAACAACTGACTGACTGACTGACTACTTGTTTGGTTGAAAATGCAAGAGTGATATGTAATTGTACAATAAATCATTTTTTTCATCATTTTCAGAATTCCTAATGATCCAATGTTTCACACCACAGTCATTGACTATAGACCGATAATACTTTGAAAAAATTCATATTGAACCAAGTCAGGATACTTAAAACAAATTCCAAGTGCGTTTCAGTAACCTTGTCAGCCTGCCTCATGTAACAGAAAAGGATTCCTCTCATGCATTTCACAGCAGCCTGCTGAAGTTCATATGCACGTCCTTTGCTGTCATCCATATGTCTGAGAGAGAAATTTTACAGCAAAAATCATGGCTTTCATTTGTAATCCATACCTGCTTGATGGAATTCAATAGCTCAATCAGAGTTACAGAGTAGTCTTAAGACTATGAAAAAAATATGGCAAATAGTTCAATGCTTTAACCCTTTAACTCCCATGAGTGACCAAGACAGAATTTCTCCTCACAAAATCAATACAATATCAACCAGATAAGTGATGAGAGTAAAGAAAAATATCAATTTGGGGATAATTAGTTGATCCAATACTAAATTCTCTGAAGGAAAATTATGAGAATTGTGTGGTTGACAGTAAAGAGAATTACAAATTTGATCTAGGATTTAAAGGGTTAACTTTGTTCCAAACACATTGCAAGTAGTCAGTTGTACAGACTGAATTGCAGGCTTTGTATTCAACATTACACACCTGTAGGCAAGTGCCAGAGCCCACACACCCATGGCACAGTAAATATTATCTCGCACATGACTCTCTTCATTATGAACATTAGCTGTATGCATAGGAAGCAGTCCAATGCTTGGACTTTGATACTGAAGGATTTGTCTTGTTACTGAAAGAAATTGACACAACTAATGAGTGGAAGTAACACAGACATGTATGTGTACATCTACAATGTATAATTTTGAAATAACATCTGTGTTCCTTGTTATTATAAAACTTTGAATTAGATGGCATGTCAGGAGCTACATATATATGTAAGTTGATGCAAGTACACTTTAGAATTTTAGCCTAAGCTCATCTATTATTAACTACTTAGTATGGTAAAAAAAACCACAAACAAACAAAAAAAAAATAGGAATGAGTTACAAGTAAGGCTGACTATAAACGGATATTTGAAATATCATTACGCAACCGATAGTCATAATTTTTTCAAAGGAGAACAATTTACCTCGCTGATAATAAATATCAAGTTTTTCCCTCCTTTCTTCTTCATCCATCACTGCATCACTGGTGGAATCTCACATTTCAACTATTATAAATTTAGTTTGTGGTCTCGATCCTCTTGATCGCGCTTTAGTATATCCGCCATGTTTATTTCCTGAACCTCGCGCGGTAGTCTGGGTAGCTTATTCAGGACAGTAAATGGAAAATTAAAATCTGGATAGGACTTTCCTTCGATACCACATGGGATGTGATCACTCGCGTTTTCCCGCGTTTCAAGCAGTTTGCCTGTTTTCCTGAGGAATTTCCGTTGGTTTTTCTTATTTTATTCATGAAATAAGCCATAAATAAGTATAAACAAAGATTCCAGATATATACCTCTTACTAAACGAGTTCGAAATCCGAGCGGGAAAAGCGTGGTTCTGTAACTTACAGCGCGGAACGTGAAAAAGAAGATAAATGAAATAATATGCTAGCAACATAATATGCAACTTTTGCTGGCACAATCTATGAGGGCTTACAAGGGAGGGATTCTATGGCTATGTGGTGGATAACCTTGCAATAGCTTACTTAAAAGGAGTCCTTCTACTCAGTAGGCGTACCAGTTATGTTCAACCTGCTTTGAGTAAAAGGTTTTGGTAAACTTCTTAACCCAGTTCAGTCTTGCTGGTCAGATTTAACTTGACCTCTTTAGCCTGACAATATTGTGTATGAAATTTGAACGGTTAAGATACCTTTGCAGAGAGAGAAACTCTCGATTCGTGTAGCTCCACAACGCTACATATGTCTCCTCTTTGTCGGAGCATTGGCTTTGGGTTACCTTCCTTTGATATGATTAAAAGCATACGACTGTGCTATTCTTTTTCAACAAATTTTATTTGCTTCTCCAAAACTTCTTCTCTTTACTTATTCTTTTAAATTCTGCCATCAATTTCAGTGTAAACACTCATGATACCAAACCTCCAACAGGTAGTCAAAGAAATGTTTGATAATTTTACGCTGCGTTGCCTGCAGATCTTTTAAATGTCTAACAGTTCGTGCAATGCGCAAACGCCTGCAGAAGTGAGCACTACGCATAATAAGCACTAATGATTTATCTTATAGACAGGCTTTAGAAGTTTTTAACATACCTATCTTGTATGACAGGAGAGAGGCGATTGGTAACTCAACGTTTCAAGAGATAAGTAATAACCACAATCACAAGCTTTATTCACTACTTCCGCCACCTTACCTTGGCACGTTGCGAACACGGAAAAATCGCAAGTTCCAAGTCCCGCGTTTTAAAACCAATCGTCTTAGAGACAGTTTTATTGTAAGCCATTGCCGATAGCACGTCCTTGTACAACTCATATATATTAATTGATCTGATTTCGAATAATTTTTAATTGTATCTTAATTAATTTATTGTTTACATAATGATAAGCTTTATTATTGTTGAATTCTTATGAATTAACTTTCTTAATTTATCATTATATAATTTATAGTTATAATTAATTTACGTTTTACATTTGTAAAAATTATCGTAATTCAGCCCTCGGGCTGCAAGGGTAATTTTAATAAAACCATCTATCTATCTATCGAATGCCACCTTATGCCATCCTATGTTCAGCCCTGAGGTTTTGTGCTCACTAATAAAGAAATCAATATTTAATGTCTCCTGACGAGTACTACTTTATTTTTTCTTTTAATTTAATCTTCCTTGGTGAAAGAAACATACCCATCCCCTTCGTCTCAGCCTCCTTTCATAAAAACCCAGGTTGGGTTCTCCACAAAGCACCCTCCGCCGCCTCCCGCCTATCGACCTACGCTAAAATCGACTCTACCACCGGAATATCCACCTCCTCCTGCAGGAGGTCAGTCTTCTCGTCATAATTACTGGTGAGACAATGGTTTTAATTGTGTTCTAAAAAAATATCAGTAAGATTAACAATAATAACTTTTAAATTATTTCAGTCTTCTCTGTTGTGTCGGTAGCAGCTGTAAGGAGATGCGGATGTGATCTGGTTGCCGAGAGAGTGAATAAACTAAAGCCAATATCAGAAAAAGTAGCTTAAAATTGCTAAATTCTTTGAGAAGTGCTATTTCAGTCTAAGAAACACTGGTATGGATAAAAATACATCTGAAATTTTTAACTGAATGACTGGATTTTGCATGAACTTTATTTACGTGTCAAAATATCCCAACACAGAAACATCTACTGGTGACATATCTAAACGCTATGTTCAAATTCTTTGATGCTTGTGAATGCGAGTAAGAAGCTTGTCAGTTTAAACAACGACTGCTGCTCAAATTTTAAAAAAAATATATTTTCGTTTTTAACTAGTTATTTACAAAGCTCCCGTGAAGTAGTTATCTAATTATATTTCTGAGCTCCAGATAAAGATAGTGCGGCTGAATGAATTGTCTCTTAGCCCACATATTCATTAAAATTTAATTTCAGGTAACTGACCTTTGTTAATCTGTGCTCTAGAAATGACAACCCTTGTTTGGCGGAAAAACGAAAAGTATTTCAAATAACTGTGTCGAAGAACACTTGCTTCGCTTTAAAACAAACCAGTTACAACAGCTAATACTTTTGCAGTTTGACAAAATGCAAAATGCATGCATATTGTTCAGTGAAGTTGACACAAATTAATGTTCTCTAAGGTAAATTCTTCAAACGACGACGCTTTCATTTCCCTCCATGACCCTAAATATTCTCTTACGGAAAACTAAAACCCTCAGTACTGTCAACAACATCTAACTCAAGAAAAGCAATAATCCTCGCAGGTGAACAGAAATTAGGAAATCGCAGAAAAGAAGCCGGGAAAAAATTCAGGCTTAGACCGGATTCGAACCCAGGCCTTCCAGATAACAGCTGGGCGCCTCTAGCAACTGAGCGACGATGCCACGCGTTGAAGTTTGGAAGTAGAGTACTTTTCAGAAGGTTCACTGTGTCACTGTGGGTAACTTCTCAGCTGGCATACTTTAGATCTAAATACAAAAATTAATGGAAATTCTAAGATCAAATTCTTAATTTTTGAAAACTGGAAATAAATTTTTACTTTTTTCAATTTCTTTTACAGGTTTACCGCTTTAAGGGAAGTTGATTTACTACGTTTTTTTGGCCTGCATGGGAATAAGCTCTCTGAGAAAAAGCAATGCGCAAGTGCGGCAAAGAGCAGACTCACAATACCCCCAAAACTGACTCTAACTACCGACTCGTGCGTAGTCGTCTAGCTCGCGCGTATTGATTTAAGACTCTCGCGCCTTGTTTAGTTGCCACGCAGATCGATCTGTATTAAATATATACCTCCATTGTTATAGGACGTTTGCAATCACGTGCTGAGTAGCTACGTAAATTAAATGGAACAGAAAAGCTCTAACCTTACATCTAAAAAAGGAGAGTCGATCCAACAGGAATGACCCACACCCCAACACGGCCGCCGTGACGTCATGTAAAAACTATCTATGGAGTTAGAGAAAGATGTTTATCGTCTTTTCACGAGCGTGGGACAGGAAAAGTTCTGAGTTCCCATGAGTACTCGAACCTCAGACCTTCGGTCCACACGGGGAGGTTCGATTCCTCACGGGGGATCAGAATTTCTTCTTTGTCTCACGCTCGTGACAAGACGAAAAACATCTTTGTCTGTTTCTTTAATGAACTACCTTTCTTACTCTCTCTATAGGGTTGTTTGACCAACCCATCAAGATTGGAAAGAATGATTTTTATCTTTAGGCTGACTGAGTAAACCTACTCAATGTTAAATTTACAACAATAAACCGTTAAATGTTACTAAAATGCAGTGTACAAGATATACAAAATGTGACTAAGATACGAGTTGACCACTAAACCAACCTTATCCACAAATTTTTTGTATTTTGTTCCATCTGTAACACATATGACTAAGACCTCGCCAATTTTTGAGTCATCTTCAATCAATTCTACAACCCCCCTTGCCACATCCACAACTCTGTTGGAAAATAGGAAATATTGGTATGAGTCAGTCCAAGACAGTGTGTCTGGATGTCTGTCTGTCTGTCTGTCTGCCTGTCTATCTGTTTATCTTTCTGACTGTCCAACTGTATCTCTATCTGTTTTGGTGTCTGTCAGACTCTTAGTCCGTATCTGTCTATCAGCATTTCTGTCCATTCCACCGTCTGTGACTATCTCTCTGCACTTGTCTGCTTAACTGTCTGTCTGTTTGTATGACTGACTGCCATAGGTCAAGGGAATATACTACAAAATGAGGTAAAAAGAAATAAACCACAGCCAGTAGGACTGCATAATGACAGGGAAGGTGTTTACTTATTACATGTTGGTGGATGTGGGTCACTAGAAGGCCATGTAAACAGCACATGATCACCATCCCATGTAAGTTAATTTCTTACGGTTGCTTGGGCAGGCTATCCTGAGCTTCAATTTCCTGCTTTGTCAATCCGTGTCTAGGAAAGTCCATTTCTGTGTCTGTTCTTCCAGGACATATACAGTTAACACGGATTCCTGTATCTCTGATGGCTGCCTTCAGTTCAAAAGTAGCAACAAAGAAAGAAATATTTGAGGGTTGAACAGCACAAATGGATAATGGCTTCTCAAAACAGATGACAGCTTGAAACAAAATTATAATATGTTAACTTGAAATTGTTGCAAGACAAGCTGGTATCAATCAGGATTATTTATTCGCTGAAATATATACTTATTGCAGTTTTTGTTTGTGCAATTTCATTTCTATTTCTTTCACCAACTCTTGGTTTGTGAATATATCCCAATCACATTTTTGTTCTCATTCGGTCACTTACACGTTAAGTACCAATAAAATATAAATATTTGAAAGCCTGAGAGGAAAAATATTAAACCTCAAGCAAAGTGTAACACCATGTTTCAAAGCTGTCAGATAATATGTGACCCAGTCCATGAGAAAATGGATGATAATGCTTTTCCGTTTAAATTGTGAAACCTTTCACTATCCGTTTAAATCTGTTTAAATGGTTCATGAAAGTGTTTAAATGGTTTGCTCATCTGTTTAAAAAAATTTTAGCTAAAATGTTTAAGCAGTTCGCTTATCTGTTTAAAAAAATTTGCATCTGTTTAACGCTTTTGGTAAAATGTTTAAGCAGTTTGCTCATCTGTTTAAAAAAATTTGTATCTGTTTAAAGAAATTTGCATTCCTTTAATGCTGTAGCAAAAACATTTAAATGGTTTGCTTATCCATTTTAAAAAAATTATGTTTCATTACATTTCATAAAATTTGAAGAAGTCAGACAAAAATTCCTATCATTATAATTGTAATGGCTGCCCCCCTTTCTAAATTGAGCAATGATCTACCCTGTATCCCCAAACTGTATTGTTTATTTGGGCTCCCACATTACTCACATTTGCAATACTTCGAGTGAAAGCAATGACTCCATGTTTTGTGGCACAATAGATAGGAGCAAGTTTCCATGGCACCAAGCCTTAGACATGAGGGAAAAACAAACAAATAAAAATTAACTAAAGACAACAAAATCTACCAAATTCCAGTAAACTTTTAAACTATAGTATAAGTGACCCTATTCAAGAGGCAATTGATATGATAATCATAGCAGCAACAACAGTATGGGGTCAGTTGCAGCTTCTGAATAATCAACTTTTAACTCCCATGTGAGATCAAGACAGAATTTCTCCTTACAATATTGAAACAATATCAAGCAGACGAGTGACAGAGTAAGACAAAATATCAATTAGGGAATTTTTAGTTGATCCAACACCAAATTCTCCAAACCAACATTATAGCAGACAATATAGAAAATCACCTAAAAAGAGATCTAGGGAGTTGAAGTGTCAATCACCTACCAGCAGTGGATGATGTGTTGATAATAACTGAACCACTTTTCATATTATCAAGAGCAAGAAGAGTTCCATGGATGACTCCTCCCTGAAAAATATTATGTTTCATAAAATTTGATATTCAATCAAAATGAATTTCTCAAATCCCCTGATAAAATTTTCAATTGGTATGCTCAGAAACTGAGACCAGTGTGTCAAAAGGGTGCATTGAGCTGCTCTAGTCCATTACCAAATGCAGAAATAATTATATAAATGTCCAACTGGACTGACAGAAAAGGATTTACACGTATGTGTTTGTGGGAGAGGGGCTAATAAGAGGGATATCCAACTCCTAGAAATAAGATGTTTTGTTAGTTTATAGACTCATCAATTTTTTAATGTTTATTCATTCGTTGTTTCAATTTTCTATGATAATCATATTAACCCTTTTATTCTCAAGATCTCAATAGCATTTCTCCTTACTGTATGCCATACAGTTCTTGTGATGTTGGTTCTGAGACTTCTGTATTGCATTAACTAATAATCCCCTAATTAAGATTTTTCTTTATTCTCTTCCCTTGTCTGCTTGATATTGGATCGTAAGGAGAAATTCTGTCTTGGGCACTCATGGGAGTTAGGGGTTAACCAAAGACAAGTAAAACATTGATAAGATTTTTATCTCAGTAATTCCAAAAGCCTACCAGGTTAGTATTGAGAGTTTTGTTCCAATTGTCTTCATCCAGAACAGCAGCATTGTTGCAAACAATGTCAATGCAACCCCACAAAGAAAGAATACTTGAAAATGCCTCTAAAACAAAAACAGTAATGTAATTGCCTCTATTCAAGACATTTTTGTTTTACAATTGGTGTGAAGCCAAAATGTAATACCAGAGAGGACCCTCTAAACTGTAGTACTGAAAACTACAGGTACTGTAGCAAACATTTTGAGAATATCACATTATCATAAACAGAAATATCAACCTTTCAAACTGCTCTCAACAGAAACATCACATCTGATGAAAGTTATTGATCCAGTTCCATACTTCTCTCCCAATGTTTTCTCCACCTCTCTCCCTCTTTTGTCATTTATGTCAATTACAGCAACCTGACATGGTGTTCAACAAAATCAATGAATGTTGTTTAATTCTCTCATGAAACTTTATTACCCCACTTATCAGTTAAAGGAATGATACATAAATGAGTGAGAGAAAAAACAAATGAATGAAAAAATATTATGATTAAAATTATTATAAGCTGAATTACACAGGCAGTTTGATTGGTTCTTACTTATGATCTACTGAAGGACAGATGCATAGATGGTGTCACCACTTGAAATTTTTTCCTTCTTTATTATGTATTACAAATAGATTCCAAGTTGCTGTGGGTCAGTTCAGTAATAGATCACAGAAGATATCAATATGTAGTAAGAACATCAGTGACTCACTCGGCTGCCCCTGACGTGCCACTTTTTGTCCTTGAACAGATGCACAGCAACGTGGAATCTAATTGTTAAATTAAATAGAAAGAAAGAAAGAGTAAATGAATAAATGAATGAATCCAGGAATGAAGAAAAGACGACAGGAAGGAAGGAAAGGAGAAAGGAAGGAAGAAAGGGAGGACAGAAGGAATATTATAGATGAATAACAACCAGTCAATGTACGAATGAAGAGTGATTTTATGGTTGGATGGAGGCAGGCAGAAGAGTGGATGGAAAGATACATAGACTGGAGATTTGGAGGAATATGAAGGTTCAATGCATCAGAGTGGACTATCTTAGTATTTCTAAAATATTGGAAGTCTAATAGGGGTGAAATTAGTGCATTTGGTATGAATAAAACTTGTCAAGTCTATTTAATCTTGATGGCTGAGCTAGTACTTAGGGATGAATGGAGATAGCCTAAAGCGGGAAAAACTATGCAAAATCTTATCGAGGAATTTCTCCGTAAACTTCGGGTGAAATTTATGTAAAAAAAACAACAACAACAAACTTAAACATAACTATCCTCTCGCCGAATAATCGAATTTATATTACAATTAATCAACCTATATGGCCTCAAAGGTCACCAAAGCGGGAAGCATTTAGAAACAATATGCAGGAAGGACTAACCTTGGCATCGAATTGCAGCAAAGTCTCGCAAATTCCTCGTCCTATCCCGGAAGCTCCACCAGTAACAAAAGCAACACGGCCCGAAATCTTCATTGTTTTAAAATTGTTTCGCCTTAGTAGTTACAACTGTTGCTCTTTTGAACTGCCATATTTGTTTTTCTCTCTCCCACCTCACAGTAGACTGGGCTCTAACTTAGGGCCCAGCCGAGCAAGTCACGAACAGATAGTCAAGAAAGAGTACTTCAGGGAGGGGAGCCTGAAGTCCTCTACTGCACTGTCCATCCTATGTGCACAACGTTACTCGTGTGATCAGGGGGCCGCGCTCGCGAGAAAGGTACTTTTTTCAAAAAACTTAAACGGTCATGGCAGCAAAATTCTTGTTGGGAAGCCAACTTGTAGCGATTTCCGATTCGGAAAAGAAGAAAATGATGATAAAACGATGTTTGGAAACGTGAACCATGTTTAATACTCACCAGAGGACAAGTGGAGACATTAGGCATTAATGATAAAAAGGTTGGATTTATCTCTCGATAATAGATAATTTATTTCGCTAATCTGACCTTTCAAACCATTGTACTCTATCAATAAACTTATGATGACATTTTTTCCTCAGTCCTCCATGGGGTGTTGAATCTACTGACTCTCATCTATATCTATTATCTATATCAACAGCAGCCCATTATAGATAATGGGCTCCTGATATCAATTAATTGTTTAAAGATGATAGATGCATATCTTCTGATGAGGTGCAGAATGCTCCAGGCTCGCTGGTTGGTTTGTCAGATGGTGTCATATAACGATCTAAGAGAAACAAAGAAACAATGTTTCCATCAAATCATTCATTATTTTTCCTTTTATACATCCATCTATCCACACATTGATTGATTGATCCATTCATATATCCAACCATATAATCATTCATTTATCTATTCCCTTATCAATTAATTTAATTTATTTACTCTTTCATTCTTTCATTTATTCCCCCATTTATTCATTCATTCTTCCATTCTGTCATTCTTTCATTCCTTTGTTCTTTCATTCATTCATTCTCTCATTTATTCAGTCAGTAAGTCAGTCATTTATCCATAAATACATTAACTCTCAGATTCACTCATCCACCCATCAATCTGTTCATGTATTCATTCATGTATTCATCCATTCATTCCTTTCCTCATCCATCCATCCATTCATCTATCTTTGCATTCATCATCACTCCTTTATTTTCGTCCATTCATCCATCTTTGCATTCATTCATTATCACTCCTTTATTTTCGAGAGCCAATAAAGGCTGATGTCTGGAGACATTATACGTACGTCATTAAAGTTAAGATATTCCACACCATCTTCGTAAGTTACTTTCACCACTTGCCCCGCTTCCGTCGATTCGTCTTTGATCAAATCAACTACGCATTCCGCTACGGCCTCTGGTCTGTGACAATAAAAGGTTAACACAGATATCAGTGACCTGTGAGTTGAAGAAACTGCTGTAAATAACCACGCCTGAAGGAGATGACCAAGATCGGTTTGTGACTCGATGTTCAAAGTTGTAACCTCTGATTTATATAAAAGTACAAAGCTCACTTCTGTTTATGCGTGCTAACTAAGAGTTCTTGTTGCTCCTTAGTAAGCTCCAAGTTTCCCACGGTCTTGTAGATATCCGTGTCTGTACTTCCTGGACATACACAGTTCACGCGTATGCCTTTTTTTCTCAAGGCTGCCTGTTGTTGAAAGGAAAAAGCATCAGAGGGGCGGGCAATTGGACGAACCTGACGTCATTGCACGACATCCTGAGAGGAACATTATCTAGGCGACCGAGAGTGGTCTTAAATAAGCCACAGTGTCTACTAAGGAAAGTTAAATTGAAACATTCCTAACCTACTTTCATTCCCCCGACGCTTCAAGTTATGGAAAATCAATTTATGGACTGCTGTACAGTAACTAGTTTATCTGAATGGTATTTTGCTATGATTTATAAGTCGCACACGTACCGGAGCGACACTTCTAGAGAATCCTACGATACCAAACTTTGAAGCACAGTAAGCAGGTAAAAACGAAACTGGATGGATACCTGTAAAAGATAAAGATCGCAAGCAGATAAATGGTTAAGCGATAATGAAAATTTTTATTCTCCAGTATTTAATATTTTCCGCAATATCATATACATCTTAAACGAATCAGCTCGTATTTTTTGCCTTGTCATTTGTACTCCATTTTGTTCTTCTTAATTAACCGAGACAACGAGCAGTCTCTGCTTTTGACGGAGTCCATTGCTCAAGTTTTCAAAAATCAGCAAAAAAAAACGATGCAAGCGCGCCAGGCGGAACTCTAATTTCCGTGCGCTAATATTATTTTTTTTTTTTGCTTATTTTTTTTATAATAGTCTAAAGCTTACCTCCAGTAGACGACATATTTATGATAACGCCATTCTTCATGAGCTCAATTCCAAGAAAAGTACTGCGAATGACAGCATGCTGTGGAAAGGGGTCGCATAGATCCGAAAAAGTCAATCATTTCATTCATTCATGATCACAGCCAAAAAAGGTTTTCTCACAAAAGAAAAAAATGTGTTTTACCAGATTCACGTTAAGGGTTTTCTCCCAATCCTGTTCGTCCATAATTGCTGCGTTATTGACTAATATATCAAGTCTGCCATGTTCTTTCACTGTGGCTCTAAATGCAGCTGAGGAAAAAAAAGGGGGAAGATTTCCAATCCCAGAAATCCGTGACAGTCAGGGTAGCGTAATTCAGGTTCGCAAGTCGTCTCTTTTTTCGTTCGGAGTTTTTAAGAGAGCCAGAAAGACTGTTTCCATTCCTCTGTTGGTCTGTCTGTTTGCTTTTTGATTTTTTTGTCTGACTCTTTAACATACATCAGTCTGACATTCGACTATGTATTTATATGAAATTTCTGAGGAGGCGTCTAAAGTGCCAATTGCATAGCAAAGGAGAGCTTTGTTTACAACTGTTTGTTTTACCCAGTCAGGCGTTATTTCCTTGTTCAGTTTGCATTAATTAACGTCGCATACACTGACATACACTAACCGTCTAATTGATCATGAGAAGTGACGTCACAGCATATAAATTTGGCATGCCCGTTAGCGTGTTGGCTGGTGTAACTCTTCAGTGTTGCTTCACCGGTTGTTTTGTTGATGTCAAGGAACTGAACCTTAGTGGAAATCATACATTAAATACAGAAAATAAAGCATTTGTAAATAATCATTTTTCATCGGCTTTATTAATAAATTAGCATTTAATGGAGGAATACAATTAAATATAATTATTTGTTCGCTGACTGAAACAGAAATGAGAATATTACGACGAGCTCATGTGAAAATCCTCGTTGTCATTGTGAGAGATTATTCAGCGTTAATTGATTTCCGGTTGATTTTTTGCGATAAGTGACAGATGATTTAACAATAGGATCATATTATATATTTAAAATGAGAGAGACCAGAGCGTGAGACAAAGAACAGTGTGAGAGAGAGGGAGATCAAGTTGATTTTATAAAATAAAACGTGAAGTTTCGGAACATAGCAGACTCATTAGTCTTATTTCCGACATAACGATTATACTTTGCAAAAAAAGTCATGTCAATAAATTGAAAGACTGAAAGACTGGGTAAGACCGTTCGAGAAATAAAGAAAGTGGAAAAGGCTTTCGATCTGGCCGAAAACAAAGATATTAAAGGAAACGTAAGGCTCTTCTGCCATGGCGTGCCAGTTAAGTGAAAACATAAGTGAGATTGTTTAGATTTTTTAATAACGACCTCAGTCGTATTCGGCAACGCGATACGGCAAAAATGTATTATGATTTTACCTCCTTTTCGTGTAATCCTTATACCGCAACGCTTTCAAAATATTGAAAAAAGGCAAACGAAAAAAGACGAAAACATAACAAAGCAGAATGAAATACTTCAAATTTGGCCGAAAGTAGACAGGAAGAAGTCCAATTCATGCTGTTTGCCATTAATTTCAGGTTAGTCGTCACTACTAACAAACTTCCCCGTGGAATATTGATAAAAAAAAAAACAACAACAACGAATAAAAGCCTCTCTGGCTGTAAGTCTTTCACACACTGCCAGAGTTTTCTATGCTGAGTTATGAATTTTAAAATAAACAAATCCAGTGGATTTAAATGATCGCGAGACAATAAATTCCCTGGTAACTAAGGTAAACTGCATCTGGGACCTGATGCGAAATAATATTTAGAGAAATATTTTTAGGGAATTTTTTTGCTACTAAATCGGGTCAAGTAGCGACTATAAATCTCTTCAGAGTGTAGCTTTAAAATCGGAATATGTAAAAGCTATAGATCTTATTAAAAGGTGGCATCTTTCAAAACTTGAGGTTTTTCTATTGCATTGTACTCTAAACAATAGTGTTGAACTGATAAATCTGTTGCAAACGACCACAAAAAACGTGAAATCTGATAGCTTTTTGATTTGTAGTTTTCGCGAGTCAAGGCTTCTTCAACTTCTACAAAATCGATTCGTTTTTTACTTTTCACTTCTTTACTGGCAAGTATATGATAAACAATTTTTACCGAGCCAATATATTATGTTTGCAGTCATTGTAACACCTTGTCAGTGTACAATAAACCTTCGATGGTAAACAAACAATTCTCAAGAATTTCCTTCTCTGAAAAGATTTATAATAATAGTTTCAAGGGGATGAAAACCCATCTAAGCTCCCCTGAAAATGGCTCAAATACATATGTAGTCTTACTCTTTACAAAAAAAATTGTCTTCCTAATATCGTCAATAAGGCTTTGTGCTTAGGCTGTATGTGAAATCGAGGGAACCGCTGTTTGGCAAGCAGCTCTCGAATTAACTAACCTTCGCTCCATCTTGTAAAAGTTTCTCGCAGATTGCTTTGCCGATTCCTGAAGCCCCACCGGTAATTAAGGCCACAGCACCTTCTATCTTCATGATCAATTCACCTCTAAAAGCGCAGAAAGAACCAAACCGGAATATTAAATGTCAGTAATTCTAATTACAAGTAAAACGCTCTTGTTGACATTCATTTGCATGTTAGGTGCAAACCATTGTCTACTATTGAGCGCTTAATTTCCTTCACGTCACGAATTATGACAACAATTTGATCTACTCCTGTCAATCACAGAATTTCGAAAGGAATACAGTTCTAGAGAACCTTTAGAGGCTGACATTTCGGTCCAAACGTTAAATCATCTTCGAGCTAATTTTGCTATCCAACATATCATTTACATAAAAGTACAAAATTAAATTCTTAGGAAATCGAAATTTATGAAAATTTATTGTCACCAGACTCTGATGGCTTAAATGTGCTTATCATTTTAACCAAAATGGACAAATTGGGATTAACATAATTTTTTGAGATTAACTTTTCGGAAAAGCTCGCAAATGAAGTTGATTTTGACTTACACGATGTAAATTTGTAGTCTTATTTTTTCTTTGTAGGCGGTTAATTAAACACGACCAGACACAACAGAGCTTTGGTAATTGGTCTGTTCTCTTTGCCTGGAGAACGCCAGTCCGTTTGAGCTAACTGGGATACCTTGCGAAACCTTTCAGTCTTTGCCCTTTACACCCTAACATCAATATGCGTATTCTCCATACTGTTCTCTATATATTTTCCACGGTGCTGACAAGGAGAACTTGTTTTAAAATAATCAAGAACTTCTATATTTGGTGCAGGTCGTTTCATTCGTTCTCGTGACCTCAATGTTTGATTCGGGGGTGATATTGTTAGGAGAAACTAGATGTTAGTCACTCTTAAAGATAAATGGGTCAGCAAGGCTAGAAATTCTAATGCTGCGTTGCGCAGTTGATTAGCTATAGGCGAGTGAGAAAATTTGTTTTCCAACTCCTCTGGATCTCTTCCTAAATAATAATTAAAAAAATAATATATATATATATATATATATATATATATATATATTTAACACCTTGGGTTTTCACCATTTCGTTTGATGCATTTTTCTAGTCTATAAATTCAGGATTTGATTGACGCGTTTTTTTGTTGTTGTTGTTATTGAATTACTAGACGGAGTCTGGCTGAGAAGCCAATATATATAGAACCTACTAGTGCCAGGCTTACTGTTGAGCCATATTCCCTGCTGCGTGAAAGATGCTACTCTATACTCTACCGTATTTATATTAATAGATTTGTGCAAGCAGAGTACTGGAAATGAGGCACAATGAGTATAAGTCTTGAGTAACAGAAATACTGTAAATAATTACGCCGTTATATATATTTCCTTGTAAATACTTCTGCATTCGCTGTCTCCTACTTTCTGTATGAACTATTTTACAACACATTTCTTCGCCTCTTAATTCGATATTTGTAAGGGTATATGATTTGAGAGATAAGTCTGCGCGACTAATCAAATTAGCTAAGAATATACAATCTTTGACCAAAACAGGGAAAATCATGAAACGAACTTGTCCGTCTCGTGACGAAGGCGTGAACTGAAGGAGGAACACTATGTCGTAATGAAAGCATAGTGATAACACAGACAGGCACGTAACCTTCAATCACCTCTCGCAGTTTTGAGACACTGAAAACTGAAGCGAGGCAAAGTGAGAGGTCTTCCGACGAATGACTGATGATAGATCTGAGAACAAAGAAGAGCCACTGTAATTTGTAATTTAGGAGCCACGCGTCGTGCAAGCTAGTGACCCCAACAAATCAATACGACCCCCTCTTGATTCAATTTCAATTCTTCCGTGAAGATATTGCGCAACGGTGATGCGAAAAACGCAGATGACTCAAATACGTGTGCTTTGATATTTGTTTAAAGTGAGGACAAAATGATTCGGTAGACCATAAAAGGACAATTTACAGACACGGAAATAAACAGAATAAAATAGACTAGTCGAGGGTTATTCATGCAAGCATACTCAGCTGTAAAGTTCTTTTGTGTCGACAGGGAGGATCAAATTTAGTTAATGCGTTATTTCCGTCAGACATTAGGGCGCATTTCCTATATGTAATGTTATCTGGTCTTCATATGCGTCAAACGTGGGACGTTACGAGCTATCCATGTAAATAAATTCGAGTTTTCAGAGCAGTTTCTTCTTAACACAGGACTGAGAAGAAGAAGAGGGGATAATCAAATAACGTTAGCTGCAGTCTACGATGCTCAACAAGCTCCTTCTCAGTGCATATTTCATCCTTTTGGCTGGAAAATGGTCCCACGGGAAAGGTGAGTCAGCTACGCAACACTGGCCAAATTTAGGAACAGTTCTAATTCGTTAGTGCTTTCGATTTATTAGAGTCAATTAAGAACATTTCGAGTACCAGCTATTTGTTTATTCATAAAAGTCGGCGCTGAAAGATCGGGAATGATCGAACGTTTTCAGTATTACGAAACCAAGACAGCATTCAGGTTTAAAAATTTCTCCTGCTCATATCTTATGATCAGATCGTGAAATATTTATCCAGTATCGTACATTTTTTGCATTAGTTTATTTTAAAATCATAAATGGGGCAAATAACCAGGGCGTTCCCTCTAAACATCCTTGCAAGCCTTGTTTGCCAGTGAAGATGCAGACCGTGGGATATTATTGCTAGTAAGGATTTCTTCAAACCGAAGTAATTAGTGTCAACTTTTGAGCGCTGACAATTTGAGATTAACCATTTACAAAGTTTTGATGATCTATAAATATTTTTCTAAAGCGTCATTCGCCACGCCTTTTGTGATTTTCACAAACTTATTCGTTTCTCAATTCCTTCGATTTTACCCACATGACCTCAATGTCTCACCTTTAAGAGTTACGATATTTGCTTTCGGCATGGGATGGGAAATTGATTTTCCCTTTTCAACACTTGATAGATTACACTCCAGCAAACTTTACCGCGTACATGAAGTTGTCTGCTGAAATCGATGAAGATAATTCTAGACTAGGTATGTATAGAAGTTTATTCTATAACTTTATGTCGATCTTTGAATTAAAAAAAAAAAAAACAGCACTACTATAGGTTTGAAATTCTGCTTTTCGCGGAGGGTTTTACTCCTGCGTCATACCAGGTTCATTTAAAATGATCCTGCGGTCCCGCGAGGTGACGTGCCGCCTCGCCGTTATTTTGGCGAGGGAGTGCTCAGTATTTTCTTAAGGAAAATTATGGCCGCCACTTTTTATTTTAGTGGCAGCAGAAGGCTGGGGAGAGAAACAAATTTATACCAAGGGGGCGGTCGACAGTCAAAATTAAGGAGAGGGGTGGGGGTGGGGGAGTGAAGATTAGTCATGGGGTGTTTTGCTTTTCAACAGCTTCTTCGAGCTGGCGTCTTCTCGCCTTCCCCCTCCCCCTACCTCCACCGTTCACTCTAACTCCAAAGCGAGCTTATAACATTAGCTTGCTCTAATAAGACGCTCGCACTGTAGGCTACCTCGCCGTGGCTTTATGCGCATTTAATAGCGCTTGCCCGTTCCCCTCAATGGCAAGAGGTCTGAATCGACCTTTGAAACGGTGAAAAGGGAAGATTGTTGACAAGAACGTTGCGTGACGTGACCATTTCATCAAAGAAGACCTGTCTGATGGTTAGGTTCAGTGTTAGAGTGGACATCTTGCGTGAGGTAACTTATTTTTTACGAGGGGAAACATGAAAAAACCTGACTTATTCAAGGAACATGAAATTCTCTAACTTTCCTGAATTGTGTAGGTGACGCTGTGGATCAAACATGTTTGATAAACATTTCATTTTACTATCTAGGCTCCCGAGCAAGGCTAGGGCGGCCATCGGTCACTTGGGAATGTGAACGAGTAACGCGAGTCCCTTCGCATGTTCAACGTGGATATCGTTTAAGCACCTTCTATCAGAAGTACTTGCACGCATTCGGTATACCTGTCATAAGTTCCAATAGAGTTCAGAATGATGCACTAAAGAGAGCATGCTACGTTGTTGTATTTCTATTCGCCGACCGCCAAGATATTCGCTCGTGGTTTTACAAGCGTTATGGACGTGCAGGTGTGATTGCCTACAGTGAAGGTGTCACGAGTATTCCTGAGCACTCGTGGCTTGGAAGCTGGTGGAACCAACGTGCAAGGGGATTGGGGGCGACCATTAGACATCCAATATCTACAGGTAAGAACATGCTCTCTTAAGAAACTTGTTAAGAATTTGTGACATAAAATTTAGTCTAGATTGTCAGAAAGGCACTCTATAGCCCTGTTCTATCGTATTATGTACAATCGAGCAAAGAGACCATTTTTCAACCCATGCTATGTAGAGAAAGCGCAGTTACCTTTCGGCAGCTGGTGGGAAATATTCCTTTAACCCTTTAAATCCTATGAGTGACTAAGACAGAATTTCTCCTTACAGTATCAAGACAATATAAGGCAGGAAAGTGATGAGAAAAAAGAAAAATATCATTTAGGGGATTATAAGTTGATCCAATACCAGGGGTTAAATTTCTGATCGTAGCTACTCCATGTAATTATATATCACAGAATCGTCTTTGTTTTTTTCTTTTGGTTTTATACGGGAATACTGCCCTAAGGCTTAAGCTGATTAGCTCCGCGTGAAAATTTTATTACTTCTTTGCTGGATGATGTATTGAAAATGTGAAGCCAACGAACTCTGCAATGAGGTTGGAGGGTTTTTCTTTTAATCGAAAGAAATATCCTGTTAGAATCATTCCGACATTGTAGTATTAATGTGAGGCTTTGGTTTCATTTTAGGTGGAGAAGAAAACCTTCTTTGCGACAGAAGGAGAGACCGCTATCCCAGAGAGGACATTTTCCTTCACGAGTTTATTCACGGACTACATAACTTAGGAATAGCCTCAAACGGTGCAATTCCAAACTTCGATGGCAGGCTGAGCCAGCGATACAACTACCTGAGACAGACAGGCGCGAGATGGAGAAATACCTACGCTATGTCTACTGACCGGGAGTATCTCGCCGAAGGTGCCCAGAGTTTTTTTGATTGCAACGATGAACAGATTCCAACAAACGGAATCCACAACCACGTCAACACCAGGATAGAGTTGGCGAGTTACGACCCAGTACTTTATGGATTTCTCCTGGAGATTTTCCCTTGTCGGAACAAATATGTAAAGCGATGCGATTGGCGAAGGGGTGAGTTACAATTTCTCATAAATTATAAATTATAACAGCTTTCTTTTAAATATATCTTTTGTGAAATAACCAGAATGGGCCTCGAATAAGCCATAAGACCGTGCAAAAAAAAAACAGAAAACTGTGCTGCTGAACTGTTCATAGAACTTTCAAACCTGATAATCGTTAGGCAACTGATCACTGATTTTAGTGTTCAATTTTGTTTCTTTGCGAATGAAAGTTTCCTCTATAGACCGAGGTGTTAGTCTAGTCTAGCAGACAGACTAGTATTCCGTCATAACCATACTCTATTCGCCGCATGTAGATGAAATTACGATAAGCTTCTGCAGAAAAGCGGTAGTAGGTGTGTAAGACCTATGTGCTTCTTGCTTCCAGTATTGCGTTTTATCTGTTGGTTTATGCTGTAAATTGCGTTAAATAGGATTGAGTTTCATACGTTGCTTGGTGTTGATTGACAACACTGATGTACGTTTCCATGGGCCACGTCGATACCAGGGATGAGGTGTGTTTGTGTATGTTTAGTGCATGTGTTGCCAAAGAGTCTTCCATGAAGGTAACTGTAGTTTGCCAACGGAAAAGTGTTTCAGGGTGGTCAATCGACACCTTGATTTTTCTTTCTTGCCTGGGTGGTTTTGTATCATTTTCGATAATGACAGAGAGGCATCAGAAATTTACTTGCATCTAAGTGGCTTATTGTGTTAAAACTACCTCTGAAAAGAAACTTGCGATACCTGTGATATATATACTTTCTCCAAACGTGTCCGTTTTCTAACATAGACTTTGATGGATTTGTTCTTAGGAAATAGGCAAGTTCGCTTCAAAATGAACTGTGACAGAAGTAAGTTTCTTTAACTTATTCATTTATGGAGCTAGGAATTAGGTATCTCTTCATTTGCTTGTTTGTTTGTTTTTTAAATTTTTTTTTTTAATTTATTTAATTATTTATTTGCAGTGAGGCACAGCATCTGTCCATTAAAGATCGCTTGCGCTAAAGAAATCTGCTTCGAATATTTTACAGCCCTTATTTTGTATATTCTCGATACCTTCCCCTTTTGAATCTTCCTGCCACATCCTACATCAGTCCCCTTTAATTTTCAAACATGTGTCAAATATTGTTTTTTTGCTTTTGTCAAATATCACGATCATCATCCCCACATCAATTCATTATATATCATCTTCATTTCTTAGGTGGCAGAGGAACCCTGATGGATTTTCATACGAAGCGACCTGTAGGATCGAAACCGCCAACGGCATCCCCGCCCAACACCACTCCTCCTCCGGCTCCCAATACTCCCCCAGCTCCTAACACCCCTCCACCCCCTAAAACATCTCCCCACCCGAACACCCCACCTGCCCCAAATACCCCTCCCCCACCAAAACCTCAAACTCCTCGACCACCAGGTGAGCAAGGTCATGTGTTTTTTTGTCGCTCCGTGTGCAAATTATGATTTGAGATATAGATGCTTCATTTGCGAACAAATACTACTAAAAGGACCTGACCGCCAAATTGCACCGTCATGTGGTGTCAATCGGCGTTAGGGCTGAAATCAATTGAAAACCCACAAGGGTGCATTGTGTGTGAGAGCAGTTTCGTCTGTTCGTTCTATATTTTTGGCCTTTGATCGTGTTGGCATCACTATACCGAGCTGTAAAACATCTTTAAGAGATAAATAAAGACTTAAATGTTTCGTTTTTACAGTGAATTGCAAAGATCTCCATTTTAGCTGCCCTTCTTGGGCAAGGAGAGGCGAATGCACACGCAACCCAGGATACATGTTAAAGAACTGTATGAAAAGTTGCAACAGGTGCAGTGGAGGTGGAGGAGGTAAGTATTGTCTTTTACCAACCATAAACCATAATGATAATCGTCTTGGTCTCGGGATCGATTGTGCTACTCATGCGTATGAAATGTGTATCGAGCGCGTAGTCTGATCGAGAGAGTAGTCCTGGGAAGGACTGTCGTCGGTATTGGTGACTGACCTTTCGACAACCTGAGAGTCAATTGCTACTACCTACAACAGTCCTTCTCAGGGCTACCCTCACCCGGACGATCGGACTTCACGACCACATGTTACCCCTGAGTTCAAACCATTTACAGTTAATGAGTATCGACAGACAGAAAAGCTGGCGAAATCAAATGAGGAAACATAGGATAGACTTGCATCACATCTTGACAAAGTAACAGTTTTCCTTAGTAATAACTTGACTTTTTTGTAAGACTTACCTGGTGCTCTAAGAATTCCAAGACAGGCCCAATTAAAAGCTGAGGTTGTATGGGACCGGGTGAATTAGCTCTAAACTTTTAAGGTAAGGTCAATTAAGTACTCGAGTCACCTGGCCCTCCCAGCCACAGCTTATCCCTATTTCCACAGCATAAAGAGACTAGGAGTATGGCTACTATCCCTTGATTGGGATGCTGGTCCATTGCAGGGTTACCCCTCAGCATTTATACTCCTGAGTTGAGAGAAACACTGGGAGAGTAAAGTGTTTTGTCCTTGAACACGACACATGGACCCGGCAAGGTCTCGAACCCAGACCTCTTTAGCCGAAGTCCAGTGCACTGACCGTTAGGCAACCCTCGAGGGAATATATCTACATGTATATTTTTAAAAACATCAAGACTTAGACATTGCATGCGAAACGATCTCCCTGAGTTGAAATGAAAGAGATTATACAATATCCCTTTCTCGAACGAAAAGAAAAACAAACTTCTTTTTTGGTTTTTGCAGGAAACTGCGTTGATAAAAACCGAAACTGCAGATGGTGGGCCCGATATGGTGAATGTCGGAAGAATCCAGGCTTTATGTTGGCTTCGTGCAAGAAAAGCTGCCGTCAGTGTTGAAGGAGGAAAAAAAATATCCATGTACGTGATGTGGGTAACAGACTTAGAATTCTGGATCGAGTCTTTTTTGTACACGGATTCTCTAAGAGATCGATGTTGACATGAAGAAAGATACTGAAAAATCATTATTTGAAATCGGGTCCGAAAGGGTGTCTTAATAAAATGCACAATGTCTCTGTCATAATAGATTTCATGAATAATCCTACGGAAAGCTTTAATTTACAGAAATGACAGGTGCATAGGGTTCCTTTACGATAATATTTAATATATTGTAATTAATGCTACGAGGAAGAATTAAATTAGGGAAAAAAAAACCAACAAAAGAAAACGCAATACCATTCTCTATACATTTGCTGTGCTACTGTCAAGGAGAAGTTATTTAAAAATCAATAGCTATTATAGTAAGCGATGATCCATTTTCCTCTCATGACCTTAACGTTTGAATCCGTGGTGATGCTGTAAGCAAATATTAGATGCTGTAAGCAAAAATTAGATGCTAGTCACTCCACGAGGTTGAGGGATCAACCCTTTAAACTCCCACAGGTGATTAACATGTAACTTCCCCCTACACTATTCGTACATTATCCAGTAAACAGGTAATGAGAATACTCAGACTTATCAGGGAGTAGTTGTTATCTTGATCTAACACCAAATTCTTGTTACTTATTTACTGGGAATGTTTAGCAGCTAGAGAGGAGAGTTAACGACCAGATCTTGGAGTTAAAGGGTTTAACAACTCTCCATCGAAAACTCGGATGAAAAGCGTTATGCGTTTATAAAATTAAAATTTAATTTTTTTCTCCTGATGATTTCCAAACACAGATAATGAAACACACTTGCCAGTAGAATAAAGCGTGTAGAAAATTCTGCAAGGTCAGAGGAAATTTGTTTTTCAGAGAGTTTTTAAGAACTAAATTTCCATAGTCTCGAACTGTGTTTATGAACAATAATGTTTATTATTTATTCATGTGACTTCGCAAAAATTTTTTTTCCATATTTCTCAGCGTTAATAACTTTTGGTAGAAGATCAAATTTCCTCTTTTCAATTTGGATCAAACACAAGGCATATTATAATCTGCAAACGCCAAATGTCACCTTTGAAAACTCTTACGACTTTTCAATTTCTTATAACCGCGGAGATTGTTTTCGCGCATAAGTGAATGACACATAAAAAAGAAAATTGTTTGTTTTTAGGAAAGCCACCTGTATTTTTCAAGGTTTCGTTTTGTAAGTTAAGATTTCAATTGCAAATGGCTGAGGAAGATTTCCCGACATCTGTAAACAGAACATGAATTTGCATTTTGAGACGATATTTTTTTAACTGAATCGGATCTCGGTTTCGATAACACTGCTTGTGACTGTGTTTCAATCTTTTCTCATTTTTCTAATTCATCTACAACGGAAAAAAAATATTAAAGTTTGAGTTTTGCTTCAGTTACATTTATTGTTGAATGCGCATATTCTGCAAGGACGGCGAAAGACAAATATATCTACGAGTTAATCCTTATGTTTATGATTGTGACTCCACAAGAAGTTTCAGGGATGTTGTATTTATAATTAGGATATCTTCATTATAAGATATTTGAATTCGTCGTTAATGTTTATCTATGTAGCTGTATACGAGCATGACATATATATCATTCGCAGAAGCTTTTGCTATTTTTAGTCGCGCTAATAAGCTATATACACATATTCATAACCGGACGAGGCAAGACGTTATATCGGTAATGTACTGAATGCTCGTGTCTAACAAACCTTCCAGATGACTTTTTACTACGAAGTACACCTCTAGAATCGCTTGTTTAAGACCCGCAAAAACTGCCTTTGATAATGTGAATTATCTGTAGTATCGCAGACACCTTTTTTTCTGAGCTTGTGACTCATGATGGAAGTGTTTGTTGTTTCGCCGAGCCCTATTTTACGCGCGTGAGTTTCGCGTGAGAGCACCCGAGAATCGTTCTTTATCGTTTCGGGATTTTCCGTGATCGTTGCCTCCAAAACGCGTGATGAGGAATCCTCTTCGCCAACGCCTGGCGTCGCTCCATCGCTAGGGAATCGTTCCTTAACTTTATATCGTTCTGAAACTTTCTCTGCCTCGATGCCATAAGTGCGTCGACCCGTTATTGGGTTACTGATACTGCGGAAGACTTTCTTCTTCTCTGGGAGTTGCTTTCCTTCGTTGCTTGGCGAGTTTGGTATCGTTCGTTCTGATCGAAACATCGAACTATTTCTTTTCAATTTCCCGCAACTGTAATCGTCGAACGACCTCGAAAATTCACCTTTTTCCGTGTCGCTCACCAGATTGTAGCTGTACTGCAGAATGCGTTTGTCGTCTCCACTAACCTGATTAGTTAAAACCAATGCATTGTAGGCGCTTTCTCCGAGTTTCGACACAGTGGAATTACTTTTTACTTTCTTCATCTTTCTTAGAGCTGCAGCTATATGTTAATCCTCTCCGTCACGGAAGGTTTTTGTACAACGACGAAAGGATCAATAATGATCGAGTATTTGTGCGGATTATGAACTTGATGGAGTCTTTACAACTTACAAATACAACTCGCTGTCGGTGAATTCATCTTTTACCCAGCAAGGGTCGTGTTATTGAAAAACAAATAGAAAGTGTTGTTTTAATAAGTCATTTCCTATGCACGCCTATGACTTACACCTGGTTTATTCATTCTATTCTAATTACCCGTTTGCTTTGACGCGATGATGCCGTAGATCAAATTTAAAATTCTGTCCAATTCAAGAGGACAGCTTGATTACAGTCATGCTGTTTGCATTCACTGATAACCTGGTACAAACATTCGAATTCGCTAGCAAAGCGAATAAGCTTACAAAGGAGAAATGAATAAGGAAAAAATAATTCATGAGAAAGGAGAAAGAGGGAAGAAAGAAAAAAGGGAGAAAAGAAAAACGTAAACAAAAACACGTTGTGATTGCGATCAGAATGCGCAACTGAAAGTGAACTTCATCAACACTGAACTTAGTAAAAAGTTTAAAATTCTAAGGATTCTTCACAGGAACACTTACAAAAGAAAAGGGATCGGCAAGTTAAGTTTTTTGTTTGGTTTAGTTTCATTTTGAATTTTTCGCGGAAATATTCGATGAGGTTTTTTTTTTTGCGCCAACACTCTAATAAAAATCTTTTTTTTTATGAATCAGTTGACTTGTTTGACTTTTTACACTTCAGTTTTTTTCTTTCTTCACCAAAAGTTCCTTTTCGTTTACTTTATTCTGATGGTCTGCTCGTAATTCCATTTACAAACAAAGTCCTGCTTGATTACAGATATATAGAAATACAAAAAAAAAAAAAAAAAAAAAAAGATACATGATCTCAGAATTAAACGAAATAAATAGTGAACAAACTTGATCAGAAAGTACCTAAGAAATAATAGTCTCGCAGATTTTTAGCAAAGGGCTTAATTTCAGGATCTTTATGTAATGAGGCCAAAATTTTAAGATTTTAATCCTGCCATTTTCGAAATTCAGCTTTATATCTTTATGTTTTTGTTGTAATCGAATAACACATCCGCTCTCTCTGTTCCGCTCAGCTGCAATCAGTCAGTTCTAGGCTTGCTTATTTACTTTAACTAAAAGCATTTTACTTGCCTTCCTCAACATTCTGACTGTATGCTGCTTGAAAAAATGTATTTTCTCCGGAATGGAAAAAAGCCAGCTCATGAGCAACAAAGCCCATTTTGAGAAAGTTTTTCCAAGAAAGCATCTTGGCTACCTTCCGATGTGGAATCCTCGCACGTTGTACTGCAAGATTACCGCGTGTCTTACACTTCTAGTATGTTCCGATGGAAATGACGTAAAAATGTGGAATAGTTGCCTTTCACGATAATCTATTGGCTGGCGGTTTTGTTTTTGCGAACGGTGAGTCGCGAGAGGCTTGGGAGAAAAAATGGTTGACCCCTCCCGACTGGACCACTCGACTGCTCATCGCACAAAACCGCCAGCTACGCAGACGAGGGCGTAAACCCTGTTTACAACGCTTTTTTAAAACCCCGGCTTACATTCTGCTATCGGAGTGCATATTCTCCATACTGTACTTGTAATTAAGAGCTTTCTTCGTTGGTAATTATTTGTGATCTGTGATTCAGAGGTGATATTGTAAGGAGAAATTAGATGCTGGTCACTCTTAGAGGGTCAAAGGGTTTACTGAAGTGCGCCAAATGCGAAGATGAACGGAAACATTCCTATGTTTTCAAACGAAATGTTGGTTTCATAGCTTGAGATAAATTGTACTAGGAAATTTTTTTGCTCAATCAATAAAAAAGAATATGAGGTCGTCAACAACCTAAAGGCAACTTTGGGACTTTCTGCTATGTGAGTGAATGCGATTGAATCCTTCGAAATGATAGCCTGAATAAATTCTCTCAAAAACCTAACAGCCTCTTCCTTCAATGGGTTTATTTCTGTTTAAATTAAATTTACGTATAAGTGACAGGAGTGTATCATAAGCTCCTGACAGTGATGAGTTTAGGGAATTATGTTAATCACAAATCTCGTTGTTGTTTCGGTCTATATATGTAAAATTTGAACAGCCTCCAGCTAAGTCGGAAGAATTTTAACCTATATATTACGAAAATGTAGCCGTTAAGTCATTGTGTCACTGGCTATCTTAGAATTTCCTATTATACTGACGCAAATGTTGTAGCCAGTACGTAATTACGTTACCGACTTTTTTATGGTCGGTAACGATATAAACCATCCGAGAAACTTAGAGGCTTCATGAAATGGTGGTATGTGTAGACGAACGAAATTACGAATTTCACCGTTATCTTAACGCCGAACGTCTTATAACAGGAATAAGAGTGATGACAAAGCAAGCAATACAACCCTGGTTTTTTCAATGCCATAAAAAATTGCGCTATATCAGTAGCCATTTGCAGTCTTTACTGCCTATTTTCTAGAGACGTGAGCTTGGGATGCCTGTGGACACACAGTGTAATTGCTAAGTGTCACGCGTGAGTCAGGATTATCTACATTTGCGTGACTATCGAAATTCAAAGTGAACACATCACGTAAATGACTCAATAAATGCCCAACTTTGCATAAGGAGAATAGGAACGTTGTCGTAAGATCGCGATGAAGTCCGCATAATTTTAAATAACGAATTATCAGAGAGCTGATGCTCATTTCGGCTTTCGATTTTTTTATTCATACGCGTGAAGCAGAAAGTCATGATCGAGGCAGGACCCTGCTCTCTCAGGCAACCTAATTAGTGATTAAGATTAATAACAATGCCCAACACTGAGTCGTGCATAGACTTGCAGTCTCTCATCTCATGTTACGCCCCAAGGAATCCATGTCACAAAGCGCTGACTGAAAACTTATGCAAGTGAACGGATTGAAATAGGCTAATTAGGCCTAATTTGGCGGTGGGTTCCTTTCCGAATAACAAACAAATGAAACATAGCAATACACGGACAAAAGACTGAGAAAGACAGAAAGTTAGCTGAATGTTCCTTGAACTGACCCAGCGAAACAAAAGCTATTGTAGTGAGCCTTAATATCATCGTAAAGACGTTTGCTTCCTGTTCCGTTTTTTCCCAGAAGCGATTACAGTGAAGATCACGTGATGATCAGGAGGCTAGGAAAGTTGCAGAGTTCAAACCTCAATCGTCGACATTTCGGTGTGCATTTGTAGGAAAAGTTGGACCGAAGATCTTTCATTTGGCAATGGAAAATTCAGGTAAGATCGTTAGGGTCTATTTACCTTTGTTCAGCTTCGTTGAGTTTCGTCGTCGACGTGTCAAAGCAGGGTAAGAAATCGAGGGATCAGTTGGCGCCATCATGGAAAACTGATTCGTTCAGGATCATATAAAATGAAGTGAAGCTTGGCTGTTTTTCCGGCATAGTAAGATCTCAGTCCAGGTGGAAACAGTGTCTATTAATTCCGAATTTAGTCACTGTAAAGTGCTGCTCTTTCTCTTCTCGAAGCTATGCGTGCTTCAGCGGGTTAAATCGATTTAAGGATATCGTGAGGCCTGTCGAGAGGCAGTGTTGATGTACACGCCACTGATGTGCAGTAAATAAGCTCTTCCAGGGTGAGCAATATCAGTGCTTCTGGGCTTTCATTTGGATCAATCCGTTTGGCTTTGAGCCTCAAAGTAGGAGCTCAGCTCCTGGCTGTTAAAAGATTATTATAGGGGTTGCGTAAATGATATGTTCGATACTGTTCTTTAAGCAGATCGATTGATTAACCACCCTTGTTACCAGCTTTGATTACATGCTTTTCATCGTAACATTTTCTTTTGCGTAGCAATTAAAACTTCGAATTTCATTTGCAATCTCTCTTTCTCGATTCATTGAAGTAATCCATTTTAGAAAACCGCCGGGCTTTTCATGAAACACTGGATAGTTTCACATTGTAATATACAGTGAAGGAATGTGGATCGTAACCGGCTTGGCACGTTTGTTTTAGATATTTGGTAAATAATTCAGCCACGCTCGACTGTCTTTCTTTTAGCAACAAAGATCAAAACCAGACAAATTAACATACAAGCCTTAAAGGAAACCTAACTAATTCATTTTTAAGCTGTCTTTTGTTTCAACTTCAAGGTCAAAATGCAGAAGCGTGACAGCTTATTAAGAGCCATAGTTTGCATAACAAATTTTACCTTATGGCTTGTAACACAACCCTTCCCTGATAACTTGCGGGGTGGGGAGGTTGCGTGACAATTTCAAGGAACGGTGAAGTAGAAGAAAAAGGAAAAGGAAAAAACACCAAGAAACAAAAACAAAACAAAAGTTTACTGGTTTTCTTTAGTGAATCCTAAGTATCGACACATTTTAGTAGCCCTCGTGTACAATTATGCACCCTCAAGCCTCACTTACACGGGATATTCTGACACTTTCTTGTTCTTTTCGAACGCGTACTCTTTTGATATTAGTGCTTTGTAAATTTTCTTTCATGAAAAATTCACTGGTTCGGACATTTAAAACAAGCTGATGATTATTTTGGCTATTCTAACTAAGATGAAAATTATACATTTGAACTAATGTAATGAAATACGCTTGTCTCGTTTGTTCATATAAACAAGGGAAACTAAAATAAGTAGACTGAGGTTTTAGAGACAGTTTTCATTACACGAAGAAACATTTGGGAATTTATTCCTGTTTGTTTTCTCTTTTTTTCCAGGCTTCTGGGAAGACGAAATGAGTAATTGCCCCAACTTAACCAATAGCTCTACTGCTTCCGACATGAGTCTTCCCGAGTCCTATACAGCCTTTACAATGTCCTTCTTAACCGTACTGGGAAACGGTTTAGTGGTTGTCGCAATAGCAAAGGATCCATTCAGAGAATTGAGAACCATCCCAAACTACTTAATCCTGAATCTAGCGGTATGTGACCTTATCGTGGGCATTCCGTGTGAGCTGTTGCTAGGCCTTCTTCATTACTTTGCTTTGCAGGAATACAAACACTTCCATCTGGCTGTGTATACTCTGGTGTATTTCTCCATGGTGGCGTCTGCCCTGACTATTTTGACCCTGGCGTTTGAACGTTACATAGTGGTAGCAGCGCCACTTCATAGCAAAGATTACCTCATATACTCTCATCTAAAACTGGCTATAGCCTATATTTGGCTCATTGCTGCGACTGTCGCGCTGCTTTCACTGCTTAACAAAAGAAACACAACAGAATTTCGATTAATCGTTACAGATGCAATTGGTATTCCAACCATGATTTTCATGATTCTTTTATACCAGCGAATATTTTACTTGGTCCGAAGATGCATTCGTCAAGATTTCGAAGAAAGTACCGGTAGTCACGTGAGCCTGGTGCGAAATGTGCCGCAATTGTTTGTGGGCATTGACAGGCGAGAAAGAGAGGTGGCTGTATCCGTGTTCCTCTTTGTCGGTGTCTTTTTCTTGTGCTGGGCTCCCTGTTTTGTCATGGAAAATATTCTTTTCTTCGGTTACGTCAACAAAGGTAATGGCATAGGAGATAAGCTCAAAAGAGTCATAGACTGGGCCAGGTTTTTAGGACTACTGAATTCCATGCTGAACCCCGTAATTTATGCATTGAGATACGATAAGTTTCGGAACGCAGTGAAAGCTATACTCTGTTCATCATGTTATCCCACATACGTGAGCCCACGGTGGTAATGAATAGGTCAGTTAGAACAGGAGTACGTCTCCTTTGGGACACCTGCGTTTAAAAAACAAGGACACAAATATTGGCTTCAAATGAAAAAAAAAAATGTTCCTGTAACTTTTTCGCTGAAGGAACCTCTGCTTTGGAGCACCTTTGTTCAAAACAACGGGATGCAAATTTTGACTCCGAATGAAAAAAAAAATGTTCCTGTAACTTTGATATTGTTGTCCTTTCGCTGAAGAAACCTCTGTTTTGGAGCACCTTTCTTCAAAACAACGGGATGCAAATTTTGACTCCAAGTGAAAAAAAAAAAAAAAAAAATTTCCCGTAACCGTTGTATTGGTGTCCTTCACTAAGGTGAAGCCTTCATTCAGGGAAACACATTTCCATATCTTGAAAGTGTCCAATGGATAAAGGCTCCACCATTACTCGATTTTCTTTGTCCAGGACCTTCATTTTAGGTCTTGATATACAAACCGAACGTTTACGACTTAATGACCTTCGTAAGTCTTCGTTGGGTTTGATAATGATTAATTTTCGAACACATTCGGTGCGAATTTAAAACTCAGATAAATTGGTAAATGAATTAAATGGATAAGATTGAAATGATAGTGATTAAGAACACACTTGTGAAAAAATATTTAGTGTCTTTGAATCTTTTGCTTTAATTTGGACTAATAAATAATAGTGTTTTATGTCACTTAAGAGTCATACCACAGGAGTGAAACTTACTTTTTTGTCTATTGGCAGTTTTGTCTCCAGAATATTGAGATGCAAGAATCGAACTTATGTTTTTTTAGCAGGTTGCAGAAAATGCAATTTGGAAAAAATATTTCAGAGTTGATATGTTGAGGGGGGAGGGGGATGGGGCTAGAGTACCTGACTCGCTCCAGACTCACTCCTACTCACCTCTTCGCGTGTTTTTAAGCCTTTGACCCCTTAAGAGTGACCAGCATCTAATTTCTCCTTACATTATCACCCCTGGATCAAATATTCAGGTCACAAGAAAAGAGAAAATGATCATCAACTGAAGGAGCTCTTGATTGTTAAACAAATTCTCCTCATTAGCACCTAAGGAAATGTATAGAGAACAGTATGGAGAATATGCATTCTGATGTTGGGGGTATAAAGGGTTGAAGCATGAAGATACTTAAGGAGCCGGTCATTTTTTAACATCTGCGGGGGAGGGGGGGGGCGTGGGTTGCAGGATTCTTATTGTGTCACAATAAAATTTAACTGATCCCATCTGAGGCTGTGCCATTCTTTTGATTCCTTTCCCCCCTTCCTCCTCATCGGCAGCCAATTTTCTATAGCCCCCCTCCCCCCCCCCCATTTTGTCGGCAACGACTGATACTCTTTCCGTTCCACCCCTGAAAACCATGTTATATAGTAAGAGTAGTCAGCGATAAAATGCTTAAGGTGCAAAAGGATAGACGTGGCTAATAATATGTGGGCGCTGCCGCTTGTTAATTTTTTAATTTTTTAATGTTAGCCTTAGATTTATCCGAGTTTATGCCGACAATACATCTGAGACTTGTTAACTCTTATACGTTTTAGTGAAGTTTCAATATGCTTTGGCGGTAGTCTCTTGACATTCTTTTGTAGAGGACGGTCTTTTAATGAGCCTAACTTTATCCTTACGATAACCTTAACAGAGAAATATCGTAGTAAAGTTTAGAACATATTATAAGCAAAAAAAATTTGATATAAACTTCGCCAGAATAAATTTGATCGACTAAGTGGCTGAATTATGTCATATCTTCTTGTGAATTCGATACAACAACTTACGGCAGTTTAACCAGCCAGGAATGACTATCATGTCTTCTTGAATTTTTGATTAGCATTTATTCGTCGAGGGCGAAATGAATATCGTTGAATAATCCCTGAGATGAAGTCGAGGGCATCATTAAACAATATTTACCGAACCTGAGGCGAATAATTGTTTTAGTATAAGTATAGCTTTTATGCTATAATCACCTCGCGCGAGATGATTATCAGAGCGCGTGCAACTTTAAAATCACCTGAGCCATGACCATACTGAAGTGGCTTAGTGAGTATCATGGATTCAGTCTACATTGTGAAATGAAACATAACCATCCCCCTCATTGCAACCTCCCTTTGTGATACTCCAAGTTGCGTTTTCGACATAGGACCCTCCCCCTCCTCCCATCTTCACAACACAATCTACTCCACCTCCTGAATATCCACCCCCTCCCCCAGCGTACAAACCATAGGCTCCTCCTCCACCAAAGCCACCATCACGATCTGCCTTCTCACCCCCCTTACCTCCTGTCAAAAAGGATTTTCCTCCTTCGTTACAGTCTTTCCTTGAGCACACCTTTCTAGCAAGCACACTTAGTCTTTTAAAACATCCTCCACTTCCGTTAATCCCAGCTCCCGATCCAGAGTGGAGTGCATCTCCCTCGCTAATATCTGCACAAATTAGGCCACCTTCTCCGTTACTGCCGGAAGCGTTACCGCTCCCATTGACTTGATCGTTACCAGGAAGACCAGCTAGATAATGACCACCCCCTCCCCCACCAGCTACGAGAAGAGGCCTCATCTGAGGAGAATAAACAACAAAGGTTCCCCCACCACCACTCCCTGGGTTACCCCCATCTGAAGACAAACCTTTTTGTCCAACAAGTATGACAAGTTTGACTCCTTTTTCCAACATGACAGTACCATTAATTTTAGCCCCTTTACCTCCATTAACAACCGTTGGCCGAGCAAGCCCTTTCCCACCGGACGCCCCACATGCCTCCACTTGAAATCTGCCAGTAAATGGTACAATCCATTCTTGTTTTCCATTGTTCACTTGCACGTCCCTGAGTCCAGTTCCTTTGTAACCGGTGTTACTGTCAGGGCCATTTCTTCCGTTCGCACCCAGCGATGTAAAATTGTACCAGACTAACAGAAATATAATCAATTTATTTGATAACAATCTACCATCTAAGCGCTTCATACACAAAGAAAATTTTATTTATTCTGACGATTAGAAATAAAATCATCAAAAGCCTGTTCAGTTGTCGAGGGTTAGAAAAGGAGACGCCCCCCATAAGAACAAGTCGCCGAGGATGAAGCGCTACCGTAAAGTTTCTCTTTGAATTGGTATGTGAAACTTTTTCAGTCTCGTACCTAGACCTTTCACTTCCAGGCAGCTACAGTTAAACGGTAAGATCTGGGCACGAGATTAGAGCGTTGTCACATGACATCGCAGCGACCAAATTGGTGTAATTAAACAATAAACTGAACCCATTTTTCAATCAAGCAACTTGTGAGATTTTTCACATATATAGTTATTTCTTTTGCTTCCACAAATTTGCACGGCTGAAAGTGAGTGGAAAACTATTCAGATCTTGCTTTTCTTTGGAAGAAACAAAACATTGAAAAAACTTACCAATCTTTGTTTCACAAAAGCTCCCCGTCCATGGTACATCACAAGAGCATGCATAATGTTGCTTAATGAATACACAGACGCCATTATTTTGACAACTTCGCCATTGACAATCATCCTGAAAGGCAAATAGGAAACACCGATGACGCACAAGGCCGTTAGGCGTAGAAATTGACAAATATCAATCACTAGTTGTAACTAAGGTGAATATTAAAATTTTTTTTTAATCACAAAAGAGTGAATTTTATCGTTAGCCGCAAAACCCATCTCCCCATCAAGGCCCTCTTGTAAGTGACTTTGCTGAGGATAATGTTAAGATGAGCAAAAATAATTTTTACGAATTCATGCTAGCTCTTGATATTTCGATAGGGTTACAAATTGCTTTAATTTCGCTGTTGGTTCGTGCAGTGACGAAAACTTTCAAAACATCACCCATATCTATAAATCATTGGATGCTCTCGCGTTCATGTGATATCCTACACTCATACATATAGAGTAACCCTAGGGTATGCTGATCCAATCAGCACACCCCAGGAGGCTTATGTCAATACAGTTATCAAGTTGATTGACTCGGCTTCTAACTGATAGTTTAGTAGGACATGGCAACCGGAAAAGAAAAAATAATCCTCTGTCAATCGAACACATACGGCCATTAAGATGACTGTAGCAATTCAAAAGAACCATTTCAAGGTTTTTACCGGTGGCTCAGAATTTTCTTACATGTACAGAATGTAATTGATGTTGGCGTCAACCATGTAAAATGCAGAATTTTTCTGAAATTTAAATGTGTAGACATAGGACCAGGCTGATGTGATTGGTCTGAAGAATAGTTATACAGACTGTTGGAGATACTTCCGCTTAGTGTGACTTTTCAACCCACACGGTGCCAGCAGTGGTACAATAATCAGCGAGGTTTTCTCTTCCTTAATTTATCGTTTTATCTATTTTTCGCTCGTATCATGAATGAGAGGAAAACAAAGAGACGAGGAAAAGTTTCACTTTTAATTTTTATTGGCTGAAAAGGTGGTGTGAGTTTTGTAGATAAATTTTAAGAGCGTAGAGAAATAAAACCATGTCAATTTCCACAGCGACTATTTTTTAGATTCGTTTTGAAATTGTCTTATTGTATCACAAAATATTTACTTTCCCAAGAAAAGCAAAGGCTCACGTTTACCATACGTGGGAATCTCTATTGTCAATCATTTCCTCGATAGGGTAGCGTAATTATTTGAGTCAACTTTGGTAGTATTGTCCAAATATTATGAGACTCCAGCATTCATTTTAAAATAACTTGTACTCAGCTCCACTAGTTTATTAGAAATGACGAGAGTTATCAAACAAAGCTCTTGTTATTCAATCATTTCCTTTTTTTCTCTTTTTTAATTCGAACTTTTTGACAGCCACATATTTTTTCATTATTTTATTACAACAGCTTACCCGCTTAGTTCAAACGGCGATTGGACTTAAATTCATTGAAAGCCGGCAACTTATTGACCATTATAAAAACTGTGTGAGCCGCTTTGCCAAGAAACTCATCAATCTGATGCCTTATCGTCAAGTGATTCAGACAATTATACTTCAATTAAGGCCCCGTGAAAAGACGGTGGTAACTAATTTGCGTCTGAGAGGGTAGGGTGCCGGATATTCAAATACGGAGGTTTTTAAAGGTAATTTTAGCTTGTCAGGCAGACAAGCTATTGCAATTTTGTTTTCATCCTTGGACTATATTAAATTGCGGAGTACAAAAGACATTTCCGTAAAAAATTTAGGCCCCTTGTCAGCCAAATGAAACATATATGCAAATGTCTTGTCCACCCTAAATTAAAAATAAAGAAAGATAGAAAAAAGAAATGCAAATTACTGTGCGAGGTGCTGCTCGCGCTAAAAACAACGGAGTGCAATTTTTAATACACTGAATAACTAAATGTAGTGTTCATCAGAAAGCTCCAAATTTTTTTTTTTAGCTGGGTTGCATTCATTCTTGAAGTTTAAACCACTGATGTTACAACTTCAGTGTTCTGTATCACGTTCTTTTCCACCGCATTGTTCTCTTCAGGAAGCTCTAATGCGGAGTTTCTTGTGTTATCAGTTTTAGTTATTAAATCCTGCAGTATTCTCCACTCAGGGGTTTCTATTAAATACAATGAGGCCTAGGTTCTGTTATTCCGAAACATATACTTATGAAATACTTTCATTCGGAGAAGTGAATTTCCAACCTTATTTGAAAAAACATGGTAACTGTGAGTCTTTCGCTATTGCTATAAAACGAAAAAACGGCTAAAAAAATCGAAACATATCTTGTAAGAGCTCTTGGTTCAGTAAATAAGCCCAAAATTTGTTACTCAACAATTCTGGATTTTCCATCTAAAATCAGTATACTAGACTGAATTTGGAAGAAATCTCAGCGCGATTTTCATCTTCATTCGTTCACCTTACCGGTAGCCATTTTCATCTTCATTTTCATGTGTGTCGGGTTTTCTTCAAATTACTATTAGTGCTAAATAGGTACAGAGGGGAATTGGCTTTCCATTCGATATCAAACCTGGCAATAAGGGAGAAACGAAGAGAAACTTGGCTGTTATATTCTGTTATGGCGTTTAGTTGGTGTTGCTTACCTTATTATCTTTGGGAAAACGGGAAAAGACAAATCCCTCCTCGTGTATAAGATTGTTCTCTATAACCACAGAATCCATCAAATGCTCATCGTTCAGCTCGCATAAGCCACGGCGTTGAAGTGATGATATTTCTTTAAAGTTTATCGAATGACATCTTGAACTTGAGAGGCAAGATTGACTGCAGAAAATTTGACTGGGAGTTTCCCAGGACTTAAAGGTAAATCCTTTTAATCTAGAGTTAAGCTTTGTCAAAATTGCGCCTGGAAAGGTCCGATTTTCCTCTGCAGACAATACAGGCACAGTTAGCAAATATAATGCAAGTGAAAGAGAGAATAACTCCTTCTTCGAAACTATAGACATCTTTAGGTTCACTTATTCATTTGCATGTTACGTATACGTTTGGAAAGAGTTGCAAATTCTGTTTTACTTTTCCTTTGAGAATCATTCAGCTGCAACTATAATATTTAATCAAAATAATAAAAACAACTTGGCAACGATGATAAAGTCTGAAGAATCCATCAATGTCAAAACTTAGAAGATTAATTATATATTTTTTTCAAGTGAACCTGTCATAATCAAATAAAAGGATTCTTCCCCATTGACAAAATGAATTTCGATATTAAATTAATTTCATAGTTTATAATAACATATTTGAAGAAGGCTTCTACGCCCGATAATATTCGTAACTTTGTAATCAATTTAGTTTCATAGCATTAAATGTCATTAAGGTATTGAGTAGAATGTTGCTACAACTGAAATATATATTTTCTTTCATTTGAAAAATAATTGCAGAATCTCGTAGTTGTTGATGGAAGACATTTTTCCTTTGTCTGTTGGGAAGATCATTTCGGGGTATCGCCATTGATTTATAATGGTAATTGAACTGAGTGGAGTGCAATTTGGGCTGAAATCTTACACGTGATTTCAAAATCGAACTCACGCTGCGCGCTCGTTCGATTTGAAATCACAAGTATGATTTCAGACCAAAATTGCACGACACGAGGTTCAATTACCACTTTATTACATCCCTTTTGAAATCGACCAAATACAGGACTTGGTCAGTTCAAATATTTTACTGATGCAGCACTGAGCCGGTTTAAAATTAAATTTATCCATTTTGAGGGGGGGGGGGATAGGAGTTTTGGAAACGAAAGTTGCAAAATTTGCCACATACACTGTGTCTTTTATTTTCCTGCAATTTGATTGGTTACTTCAAACAAGCCTTGAAATCTGATTGGTTGTTTTACTTTAGTGTAGCCTCCTCATTGGCTAGGAAAAAGATGCGATTTAAAGCAAAAAGTGGTGCGATTCGTGAATAAATCGCACCAGTTAGAGCCAATCAGATTACAGGGACCAGCAGTGATTTCAAAATGGGTGTAATAAATTATTCAATGTACAAACAAACGAGATAATGATAATAATCTTAGTTAAAAGTTAGCTTAGAGCATTCGCTCTGAATTTTCGATCGTTAACTTTGTTTCACTCTGCTCTGGAGTATAGTTATTTAGTAAATGAACTCCTTTAGGCGGTTGGTTTATTGGCTGATAGTGTCCGCTGCTGAAAAATTGATATTTGCCCAAGAAGCGATACTTTGAGGGCAAATGTGAAATTTTGCGGGCAATCTATCAGCCAAGGACATCATCAGCCAACATACCAGAAAGCCAGAAGTGGGTTTATTTACTTTATAACCCTCCCATTAATTATCGTATCGCGTGTTGACAGCAAACTTTTGGTACCATTTCTTGTACTTTCTGGAGAAGCATTTGAGATAATTTTTTTAATGTTACTACCAGTGAACCCTAAAAATAACGAGTTTGTTTTACGTTCATGTAAAAATAATAAACATGAAAAAGCGAGACCATTAAGTTGGCTTTGTTTCTTTTCGACGAAAATAATCAGAGGACATATATATCGAAGTGGGGTATCTTGCGAGATAACTGTTCGGTTGTTTTGTACCACGTGACGTAAAGTAGCCAATAGAGTTGTGCGAAAAGCAATGTGTGGGTTAGAATCACATTTAATTGCACGACGTAAAGCAAGACAACGAGCGTATCTGAGTTGTTGTTTTTAATTCGGCTGTCTCTGACTTTAGTATTTTTTTTAGCAAAGTGACGATTTTATATAGGCGAGGCCCTTCAAAAGTGGCAAGCCCGAATATACAGAGCAATTGAGACAGTTGAGGATCCAGAAAGCTACTTCACGGGCTCAAGCAGTCAGATGCAAAAACGGAAATCGCGCTCACAGTTTCTTCAAGCTCTAATTCGGCTTCTTTCGGTATTCATATTCATGTGTTCTGATTGGCCATCGCGACTTTGACAGTAAACAATGATAACACCTTGTTAGGTAAGTACAGTATCCAATTTTTAAATGATCATTTGCAATTATACAATATATTCTTTATTTAACAATATAACCACCGCTGTAGTGAGTCAATGCAATCGTATACTACGTCATAGTGGAACTAATTCGTTTACTGGACGTTTACCGCGCCATTGCTGGTAAATAGTATCTCTGCAAACGCCTTGGTAACTTTATAAAACAACCTCTTAACTTGCCATCGATAACTACGAATAATGAATGTGTATAATACGGGATCTATGGCACATTTTGATACGTAAATGATTTTTAAGAGTTCTGCAGTGTTGAATGTAATTTTCACCCTTTCACTAGCGAAACATTCAACAGAACGAGTGATGGATAAAGGCAGGAAACACAGTACATAGGCTCCAACTAGAAAAAACATATCTTTGGCGAGTGAACACTCCCGTTTTCGAGCTAATCTATAGGCATGTCCAGTTTGAATAAGTGGTTCTCGAACTCTATTGGCGAGTTGAGCCTCGTTGAATTTTCGGATGATTATAAACATGCGCATATACAAAACGAAGATGACAACCAGTTCAAACTGAGCAAGGGGATACAATACCAGTCGAAATGCCTCTGTGTCATGAAAGGAAGTAAGCAGGGTCGTAACTAATGCATATAGCCAAATGAGCAAAATATAGAACTTTAAAGCTATCCCACTAAACAGCTTCTCTCTTCGCAGAGGCATCTCTAAGGCCACGTATCTTTCCAATGTAATAAAGAGCAGAGTACATCTTGAGGCGGTAACTGCTATGACCAACACTGATCTAGATGTAATATTAAACGCACTTGGTGGGTTACTCATGACAAGGCTTACTCCGTCATCATCATCTACCCAATAAAGGCTTATCCAAAGAGGTTCACCTACAAGGCCAACCATCAGGTCAGCGGTAGCAAGGTTCAAAACAAGGTAGTTGTAAACAATCCGTAGTTCACTGCGCGGTTTCTTACACAAAGTCACAATCACCAGAAGGTTTCCTATTATAGTTATGATGGAGATTATAGCTATCACAGGTGGAAAAGGTCCTTCCTTAGGTGCGGAGGGAAGGGTTTCATTGTTCTCTGCCATCCTGTTCAGTTAAAAGTAGAATTCCTTGAGCAAATAAACTAGTAGAACTGCATGTTATAACAACACAAAAATGTCATAAACGTCAAGCAACCAATGGTTCAATCTTACGTAATCATTGTTCCTCGGGATCGGGCGTGAAAAGCACGAGAACCTTTTTGATGCAACACGAGAAATCAAAAATGTAGATCGCGTTCTCGGGTGCTTAAGAATCCAAACTCAAAAATGGTAACTTGCCTTCTCAGCAGACGTCAAACTTTTTTCAGTTTCGTTTGCACGTGCCTGATTCAGCAAACGTTCGCTTTTTCACGGCAGATCGATCAGAAAAAATATATTTATTACGTTATCCGTCAGAGTGCAAGATGCCTCCAGCTTGTCACGAGACACATCAACTGTCTAGAGTTATATAATAATCTGGATTATACAATATTTATTTTGGTTCTTTCTCAGGATCTATCAAAGTAAAGGTGTATCGAAGGACTTTTTCACTTTTATCGTACGTTTGATCTATTACTGAACAGAACCACGGCAACATGATATCCATTGGTTAAATATAACTTTTAGATAATGTTAGACATGTTAACAATTGAAACTGATAAGTAAAATCGGTTCCAGTTACCGTGTAAAGGAATTCGAAGTTTCAATTCGAAAATTTTGTTTTGGCCAAAAAAGGACTCCACTTCACGCATACTTCACTTAGTTCTCCTTGGGACACTGTTCAAGCCCAAATTCAACTGAGTATCATGGCGCAACAATATTTTGACAACACATGTAGGCAAAGAATCTAATCCCTTAACAGAGATTGAGCTATAATATTTTAAATTGTTTATTGGCTAAATGTTCAATGTGAGACATTTCGTTCGGCAGACAACCGCTCAGTGATATCGTAGTGTTTGGGTTATTGCAACCATGTAGGTTTGCAAAACTAAATGAATTAACTAAGTTGTGATATTTTTTCCGTTAAATTATTGATTAGAACCAATTTCCGCACTGGTCTTTAGTGGCAGATGGCAGACACCACAAATTATTACACGAGCATTAATTCAAAATTCACATCACACTTACTTGAGCTGTAAAATATAGGAGACTCCTGGTCACACAAGAAATTGAAGTCGAATTTGTGATCGATGAGCACACTACTAGAACATGACTGGTATATGGGACAGATAAACATGAGACTCAAATTGGTTTTGACGCTCACGAGGAATGTCTTGTCAGTGTGTTGAACTCAACAAACATATTCTTATCGATTTATTGTATTGTAATCATTCTGAGACACGAATTTTAAATGTTGGCTCTCGAAGAAACAAACAAACAAACAATGACGGTATCAAAATTGTTAACAGAACAAATTATTGAGGAAATTTTCATAAAAGTATATAACTATGGCTGCAGTTAAATTTTGTAGGGCCTTTCTTTTTGCATCTGTTTATAGGGACAGAGGTGTCGTCTGCGTGTCAAAATGTATGGCTTCGAATAAATTAGAAAAATGGAGAATGAGATCGAGAAAGAGAGAGAAACAGAAGATGCAAACTTAAGAAAGGAGCAGGCAGAAATATTGTCCTGTCATGATAAAATTTCATGTTCCTTTTACTAGCTAAAAGTTCTGCTTTCATTACCAAGCCAGTGTTTAAATTATAATCCGTAACTCCAAAAAATAATTTTGAAACTGCGAAGCAAAGCAGTGGAAAGAAGGGGATAATTTGTTCTTGAATCGGTGATAAGAATACCTTCTTGAGACGAAAAAAAAAAAGGGGGGGAGGAGAAGAGGCCGATAGACATTTTTTTTCCGAGTCGGAGAGCCGTTTTACATCACTGAGTCGCACTGAGAATTTGCGCACAAGGTTAATTCATTTTACACTTACTGTTATGCATAGCATCTTATATCAATCAATCAAATACAAGCTTTCCTGTCACGTTTGGTTGTGTACGATTTAAGGTGGAATTTAGTATGAAGACGGTTAGTTGCCAAATATTCATTACCGGAGAGCTTAACATCAAAATCGAACTAAGAAATTAAAAAAATTATCTCGTGACAATATCGAATCGTTCCATTATTCAAGAGTTGTCGACTCTTGACAAGAGAACTCTGTCTCGTGACAACCCTCAGTCTTCTTGGACTCTGATCTTCAAGTTGAACTATTCAGTTCGACTCGTCAAAGCACGTGAAATGACCAGTTATTCTAAGCGTGGCTTCGTGTTATGTAAGGTTTTACTCCCAGGCCAGTTGAAAAATCAGGATTGCATAGTGGACTGGACTGGCGATTAGACTGAACCGGATCTGATTGTTTTGGGCTTGGAAAAAATATCTAAACCACGTGGTTTAAATGAATGTTGCTCCGGTTTTTAACATTATTTCTTAGAAAAGATCAAACGTACTGTGACTTTGCATTGAAATTTAATAGATAAATCAAACAAATATGGGACACAGACGTAACAAACTGAGAAATTAAAAATGTGGACTGACTGTGAACTGGACTGAACTTGACTGTTTTATACTTAAATTTTAAATTTTTGTTTTTTTCTTTGTAGGGGTTTTGAGAAGGAGGAGGGGGGTGGAGTCTTGAGAAAGTATTGACGACAACGAAGGGGGTGGGTGGGTAATGTTTGGGAAGTTGCCGTTTGGTCGCTCAAACCCAGACCTTTGACTCTCAGTCGTCAAGGGTCCCTTGAAAGTTTTCGGAAAATAGCAGGCTTATTAACAATTATAATTTTATCGATCGGCGTGGCAGAAGGTTCGTTTTTTTTCTTCGCAATTTCTTTGACCCAAATTAGATCGGCCAAATATAGTTTTGTCATTAACACCCTATAAGATAATTTTCAGGGCTTGACTCTCTTAAATTAATCAATGTTTCAAAATATGTGAATTCTATGTTTGGGATCGTCGCACCCCTTTTCACAAAATATAGGTCAGAGCAAAGGTTTCGGTATCGAGTAAAGTCTCTGCACCAGAAAAAAAAGACTTCTCTTAAAATTATCAGCAGAGTTTTTGGCGCACTAGGTATCAACCAAATGCACTAACAGCCCCACGTGGCTTTTCTGGTCACTTGCCAGGATTCGAAACATTCGAGTTTCTTGGTAGAACGGCGTGAAAACTGAAAGATAAGATAAGGCGTGTTCATTGTTTGAAGAGAGATCCACTCAACGATTACTGACCAGAGGCAGTTGGTTCAATCGAAGCCGCTAGAGCCGAATTATAATTTCCCAAGACAGTGATCCAGATGAAGTGTGAAGCAACCTGATATCTCCTATCGATCGAACAATGGGATATTTTTGATCAGCTGTCGATACGATTCATGACACCCAATGGAAAGAGAGCTCAGTGACAGATCAACTTTCATTATTCCATGATGCAATTAAAGCTGCCATTCTAGAGACCAACAAAATAGCAACTTTTAAGAGCTTCAAAGTTCTCGCAAAACATCGTCTATCCACTGGAAAACTCGGAGATGGCACACATCAGTGTAATTATACAAAACAGTAGATAGCGTTGAAGGTGCTCTCTGATTGGTTCCTCAAACTCCGAATATCCTTTGCTTCCTTTGCTTCCTTTGCTTTTCATCTCCAATTTGAAACGCACTCCACTTTTCTTTTGGTTTGTTTTTAACGTTCCTTTCCGGTGAGCTTCTGGTTTTCCATAACTGGTTAATGAAGAAATTTTCCGGCCTTTCAATATCTGAAAAGTCGGTCTGGATTTGCATTAATTCAATTGTAATGCGTTGTGCAACTGATCCAGAAAACCCGCACCACCTTTCAACCAATCAGATGCAACTGAAACTAGAGCCAATTGAAATTTTGCTCACTCGTGTTGTCTGGGTTACGGCTGCATTGTTGTTTTTTCTTGGAGCTCTTACTGACTTCTTTAGATATTTCTGTTTATTCTTATCAGCTGTTGGGAATCTGACTTTTATTTTGGCTTTACGACATTCGATCGGATTGTATCTTGCTTCTCCATTGAAGACATTAGTATAGGAAATCGCATCGCTTCTGCTGGGTATTTGGGATGAAACCCCATCGTAAAACACTGAGGAGTTTTTTATTTTTTTGCTGTATAGAATTTGATCGACTTCAGGGTCCATAAATTAAAATTACCCGAAAATAGAAGTTCGCTTGTTCAAGATATAGTGAGAGGGAACTTGGTCGATCACTAAACAGGGTTGTTCTAGTCAGTTTTGATTTGCATGAAGTTCGCAATCTAAGATGGCAGACGATTCAAATAATTCTTAAATTTGATTTGTTTCTATACACATGCCCAAACGTGACACCGGTCCTTTAATAATTAGTCTTACAAAAACTTAGAAACGACGGAAAAATAGAACATTTAATATATCGATAAAAAAAATAGCATGCTTGTTGAGTGCAACACAAGACATTCCTCGTGAGCCGCGGCGTCAATTAACCAATTGGGCTCATGTTTACTTTTAAGTCATAAGTACCAGTCACGTTCTTAAAGTGTGCCTATGGACGAGACATGGCAACTTCAATTTCTTTAAATTAGTTAAAAAGGAAGTTGAAATTACCGTTTATGCGTTGCCCTTTTCTATTACGTGTAGTTTCTGATGTTTTACAGCTCAAGTAAGTGTGGTGTGAATTTTGAATTGATGCTTGTGAGATAATCTGTGATGTCTGCCATAAGGAGCCTTGGGTAGAATCTCTTTCAAACCAACTCTTCGGCGGAAAAACGTTTATTTCATTATTCATTCGTTTGTTTTTTATTCATACTAGTGTTATAATCAAAACATCGTAGTATCTGTAAGCGTTTGTCTGCTAAACAAAGGTCTACTCTCTAAACGTTTTCGCCGATATAAGCAAGTCAAAATGTTATGCCCGAATCTTAGATGCTTTGTTTACATGTGTCGTCAAAAATTTTTGGAATGCGAAATACTGTTGAAATCAGTGTTATAAGCTTTTGGCTCATACAGCGTCCTAAGGAGGAGTGAGTTGATTTTTAAAGAGAATTATGCGTGGAGTGGAGACTAATCACAAAGAGTCCTTTTTTTTTAAACCAAAACGGCTCAGAGCTACAAATCGTAACTTCCGTTGCGCGGTAACGGGAACCAGTCTGACTTAACAGTTTCAAATGATTACTAATAGTATCAAATCGATATTCGATGCTGCCGTGATTCTGTTCAGTAATGAATCAAAATACGGTAAAGTAAAAAAGTTCTTTGTTTTATCTGTCCTCCTAGAAATCGTGAGTAAAAACAAAAAAAATGTTGTACAATTCCGCTCGTTACATAACTGTCGACAGTTGACGTGTCTCGTGACAATCAGAAGGCGTCTTAAAATCTGATGGATAACATTGTTTGTTTGTTTCTAATCTCCCGTAACAAACCGAACGTTGTGTCAATCAGGCACGTGCAAACATAGGCCTTCAGTGGAGAAAGTCGTTTAAGGGTCTGAATGCTTAAATAACCGGGAAAGCGATCGACATTTCAATGTTTATTCAAAACTTATAACAAAATTCTCGAAAGTGATTGGTTATCACCAGCTCGATTTGAGCATTAGTAGGACATGCGTCATGCTTGCAATTGGACAGTGTTATAGGACAGTTAAAGGGACAGTTCACACGTCATGCCTGTGTAAGTGAACAGAACGCGTCATGTGCGTGCGCTGTTGTCTCGCATTTAGCCGAGTTAACTGTTGTTTTTGTTTTTATGAAAACGTATAACCGACGTTCAGTTTCTTATTTAAATTTTGTCATAGTTTTGATTAATTGGTAACAGGACTTCGTGTCTTCCAATTCTGTCTGTAATCATACTATTGATTATCAAATCGGACTCACGCTTCGCGGTCATCCGATTTTGTTAATCACTCATATGATTACAGACCGAATTGGATTTCACTCGGTCCTATATCCATTACAAATAAAAAAAAGTTAATTCCCTTGCTTTCCTCGCCTGATACCGGAATTACGATTGCATTAGATTGAACCGTCAGTTGCTTGACGATATTCCTAGAATATTCTTCTAGAGGGTGTGAGGATTTTTGCGGGATCCCATGGTAATTAACTCTTTACACCCTAACATCCAAATACATATTCTCCAAACTGTTCTGTATACATTTCCTAAGGAACTGATAAGAGAATTTGTTTAACAATCAAGAACTTCTTTGATCGTTGATCATTTTCTTTATTCTCATGACCTTAATGTTTGATCCAGAAGTGACAATGTGAGGAGAAATTAGATGTGAGGTCACTCTCAGGGGTTAAAGGGTCGAAGGGGGGCTTTGAGGGAGAGACCAAAGAAAATTGCGCTTTTCTTTTATCCCAATTATTCCCTTTCCCTTCCCCTCTTCCTTATTTTTGGAATCTGGGAACGCAGGCTCTGATAAGGTAAATTATTCATATTGCATTGATAAGATGTAGAACATATGTATTTTAAGCTTAAGTTTCATCTAAAAAGGCTCAGTTTTCGTATACCTTTTCGTTCTGCTTAATTTCAACTCTTTAAATTCGTGTTGGAGCGAGGTTAAGATTGATTTTTTTTCCATGATCACCTAAAATGGGGGAGGGGGGGGGGGGTTAGACGAAATTATCGGAATACTGCAGAGCCTTGTGGGTTGGATCGGGCAAATTTCTTTGTGACACGACCAAATCCTCCCCCCACCGGCGATAAATGATGACTGCCTATTCATTAAGTTTTTTTTAATTATCTTCATCGATGACAGTTCTACTTGGTTGATTTTTCTCATCAAGCAAATCCAACATCAACAAAGTAGGATGGCAGAGGACAATGAAACCCTTCCCCCGACGAATCAGGAAGAAAAATTCAATGGACTTTTTCCACTTGTGATAACTATAATTTCCATTATAACTATAGTGGGGAACCTTCTGGTGATTGTGACTTTGTATAAGAAACCGCGCACTGAATTACGGATCGTTTCCAACAGCCTTGTGTTGAACCTTGCTATCGCTGACCTGATGATGGGCCTTGTAGGTGAACCTCTTTGGATAAGCCTTCATTGGGTAGATGGTGGAGTAAGCATGATGTTAATGAGCGACTCACCAAGTACGTTGTATGTCACAACTAGATCAGTGTTGGTCATAACAGCTACCGCTTCAAGATGCACTTTGTTCTTTCTTACAGTGGAGAGATATGTGGCCTTAGAGATGCCTCTACGAAGAGAAAAGCTGTTTGGTGGAATGGCTTTGAAATTATACATTTTTCTTATTTGGCTTGATGGATCAGTTACCGCCCTACTCATTTCCTTTCATGACACAAATGCAATACGGCTAATTTTCTATATCCTTCCTCAGTTTGAACTGGTTGTCATCTTCGTTTTGTATATGCGCATGTTCATAATCATCCGAAAATTCAACAAGATTCTACTCGCCAATGAAGTCCGACAACCGCTTGTTCAATCAGGAGATGCGTTTAAATTGGCTCGAAAACGGGAGTTTTCCTTTGCAAAGAACATTTTTCTTCTAGTTGGAACATTTTTATTGTGCTATCTACCATTTTCTGTCACTCGCGTTGTTGAATACTTCAGCGACGGAGTGCGAACTTCACTTTTTTTTCAAGAATTGTTACTAATCCTATACGTATCAAAATGCGCTCTAGATCCCATATTATACACATTTATTATTCCAGGTTATCGATGGCGAGTTAAAGAGATGGTCTATAACTTTGCGAAGACCTGCGCCGACCGATTACCATCAGCTAGTAATGGCGCAGGAAACCCCTAAAAAACGCTTTATCATCACTAAACAACTGGTTTTAAGTTATTAACGTTCTGACATACCATAGCCTTAGTTGTTGAATGAAATATGTTATGGATAACGACTGTAAAAATAAGTTTCTGGAAATTTCTAGAAAGCCTATGCATGTTGACATGTTACACGACTGCCCATTGTCATACTGTGGAAACATATTGTATTCGGTTATATGTAGTTATGATGCAACACCACAAAAATAGTTGAGTTGTATGCTTCCGGATTGTTCGAGAACACTTTGTAAATGTATATAATTTATGAACTCAGTCGTGTAGTAGTTGTTGCTGTTTTAATCGAAAGTGACGTACCGACTATCTGTGAAGCTATGCTGAGAGAGAGCTACTGTGGAAGATTGCTCATTTCAAGGCGATTGGATACAACTGGGATATATTGTCAGTGGTGAGCTAAGTTAAAATCTCTTGGGGGCTTTAGAGTGTATTTCTGAGGATATCGAGAGTCAATGGGCACTCACAAAAAATCGATTTTTTTTGTATTTTGCCATAAAATTCCCTTGTACTTAAGGAAATATAGTGAAAGGTTCCATCGACCTATTTTACGGGAGAAATTTTCAAGAGTTTGAAAATTCAGTTTTAATGCAATTAAATACGTAAATGTTTGTGTTTCTTACGGTGGTCTCCGGAAACATAAAACTATCTTACGAAACCGTGGAAGCATCAGTGTGAAAAGTTTTGGTAAGCTGAATATCGATATTGACGTCGGCAAACCTTCAGCAGTTGGAAGACACACAACAGAATTTTCCGCGTTGAAGGCTTTGGAAATATAGTGAGTCCGACAAAAGACAAACGATGAAGGTAACCCGATAATAATTAGTCGTTCAGGCTAAACGATTAATTGTTACCACTACGTCTGAAAATTCTTTTGAGTGCGCGTCGAAACTTCGCCGTACGCAGAGCGTAAGCGATAGGATTGGCCAGCGGATGCACAAATATCAAGCTTTGGAATATTAAGTCAAGTTTTTTAGGAATACAATCGTCGTGATCACAACACTGTCTGATGTTTTCCACAATGAAAAGCGGACTCCAACATACGGTAACCAAGCCAGTAAGGATGAATACAGAGAGAGCTACGCCTCTTTCCCTCCTTTTAAGTCTTTCCATTCTTTGACTTTTTGGTGTTAAGGGTTGGAGCTCTCTTCTTTGATCGCCTGTTGCAAAATATCGATGCAGCTGTTTTCTGATCAGCAGAAAGATCCGTGTGTAGCAAGCAAATAACAGGATCAATACAGGAACTCCGATAGCATCAGCGATAAAAAGCCTATAACTGTCAAATGAGTCCCATCCGAGCATAGGAAGAGAGGCTGTTAGCGCAGCAAAAAGCCAGATGGACATAATGCCTACAGTGCAATAACTCGTCGTTGTCGAGTTATCGTCACTCTTAGCGGATGATATGACAATAAGTCTTTCAACAGCGAGGCCCAGGATTGTAAGAAATGAGGCACAAATAGCAAAATACATCGTGATGTACCCTGCTTTGATGACACTCTTATTACCAGGAAACCAGTGAAGAATAGCAAAGAGTAACTCGGTTGGAAAACCCATAAGTAGATCACAAACAGCCAGATTTAATATGAGATAGTTTGCTGTTCCTTTAAGCTGCTTGAATGGATCTTTCCAGATTGTCATTATCACTAGAGAATTCAAAGCCACGGTCAACACCGAGACGGAAACGAGGAATGCTGTCTGAGCCAGAGTCACTGGGTCTATTGAGGAAAAATATATTATTCATTAGCTTGAAAACAGAGTAGAAAAAACAGTCAGCGCTGTCGACTGTGGTCAGAGACGTTCCTGTCTTACCAACCCTTCTCGTTCCGTTATTGTGCAGTTTGACACATGACTGCCCCAGTGCATCTTTACACTTTGAAAGTGGGCACGGATTAACTATCAGTGAGATCAAGGGGAGAGACTTAGGGGTTACACAGCAGCATCTTTTTTTTTTTTATGGAAACTGGGATGAGTTGTAAATGATGCCCTCCCTCCCCCCCCGAATGTGATGGGCCACTTAGATTCGTGCGAAAGATTATTTCTAATTACGTTTGAAAATGAAGACTAGTCAGCCGTAAGATTAGTGCTTCCATGTATATTTAACAGTTGTTCGGCAAGGTCTTGCATAAAAACAGAAACAATCAAACAAAACAAAGATGCATTGTACTGGTTGATTATTCAGGAAGCAATATTTAGTGCACTAGGGAATTGGTCACTTGTCTCTACTCGGAACTCTCGTCGGCTCGGTGATATTTTTGATCAGTTGTCGATGCTATTTACAATACCCAAGGAAACAGAGTTCAGTAACAGAGTATTGCATAGAAAAATGACTGCCAATTAGCGGCCAATGAAGGTGGGGGGAGGGGATCTGGTAAATTTTGTAATGACAAAATTAAAATCCTCCGACCTCGCCCCCCCCCCTCCCCAGGCAATAAATAATGAACGGTACCTGGCTAACGAATTTATAAACTGGTAAGTGATACCAGTCTGTTGAAGCCAAATAATTTAAGCTTTAAAAACCAAGAAGAACTAAATATATAAATGAGAGAATTAAGCGGGAACAAATATAGTGATCTGCGTTGTAAACGCTCAACGACATCGCCTGTTCAAAACGAGAAAGGAGACTTAAATTAGCCTATCTGAGTCTCCCATGCGTGACTCCTCCTTTGCGTGCGACGGCCTTCATCGCTCTCACTTCCTTAAATCACTAAACGCGCGAGTCTTAATCGCGCACGTTCGGTCATATTAAGCTGTGTAGCTTCGAAAAAAAGATAGATTTAAGAACAGAAATTCATGAAGCAAATTTTTGTTTGCTCTACACAGACGGAAAGTGTTTTGGTGGTAGTCTAAATTTATTTGCGAACATGGTCTTTTAAGACTAAAGGAAATACTCAAGTTGGATTTGTTCCTTGTGTGACATTGCGCACGTGTTTAGCTGACCAGAAGTGATGATATTAAGCAAAAAAACAAGTTTCGGTTTCATCAGAAGCGCCATCGCTTTGACATGTCGGTGTGTCTCGCGACGATAAGCATCCTTCTTAGATTGCACTCTAAATAAATCATTTTTATTGAGAGAAAAAATTAAGGGAGAAAATTGATTGTTTGGTTAAATTTTGTATCACTGAGGTCAACTTGAGAATCTGGCTTCCGCTCTTTATATCAGCACTCTTTGCTTCTAATTCATGATTTCGACACTTCCTAAGCTTAGGCTATGATTTCTTTGTTATCTAAGGGATTGGCTCTAAGTTTGGATCGATTCACAAGAACAACAACATTAACCATTGCCAAAACGAAATCAGCTACATAGCATACACTTCAATTACAAAAGTATTATAGAAGAATTTCTAAATTTAACGTCCAGCCATAGAAAGATATTACCGTAAAGACCGTGGCCTGGAGCCCGTTTCTCGAAGGTCCAAGTAAATTAACGGACCCGTAAAGCTCTCCTGTTTCTACTTAAGAAGGGGATTTAGAACGTTTTGACAATTATAACATAAATATAAGCAAATATGCAATTTCCGAGGTAGATTTCTCATATTCTACAGGAATACGGCATTCAAGTTAACCGAATATGAATGATTAATTCAATATTTACCTCCAAAATCCATCACGACCTTAGGTGTCTTATCTCCTGAAACTCTTTCGTGTCAAGAAATGATTTTCATAATATGGAAGAAGGTGACGATGCTGAATACTTTGTCTTTTCCATTGGCTGTCAGGTTAAGCCTTCATCTATCGTTCGAGTTGCTCTGTTTAACTGGAACCTGCGCGTTCGAATCACCTCACGCCTCTTAGAATGTCACGCGCTCCGCATGCGAGCGGAAGTGCCTTGGTTTGAATTCGGTAGCGCAGAAAAATCAAAATATTTTTGTTTGGTTAACGAAGCTATTTAACAAATTGTCCACTCTGGAACAGGGAAAAAGCAGAAGAGAAACAAATCAGCCGATAGAAAATACGAAACAATGGTAGACAAGTATAGATATTGATGACACTTAAACCATATTCCGCATAGAATTTGTGACTGCACCTATAATCTCTTGCAAGTCACATGAATGCTAACCTAAGCGGAAAGCGATTTAATTTTAGAAACAAAAATTATAGGAACTGTTTTCATCTTTATATTGCACCAGCTTCGATGTCATCATACGACTTGAATGAATCCTCGTGGAAACTGAAGGTAAATTTCGTCAATGACTGATACTTATTAATTTCGATTGAATCATTTTATGTTATTTCGATACCAAAATTATAAGAATCTTCTATTCCAGAATGAATTTTGACCGATATTGTCTATGAGCTGATTTACCGGATTGACTGGGTACAATATCATCATCTGGTCGAATCGGTATTGCCGGTCTCTTCCATATTTTCTTGTTTACAGACTGGTATAAGCTGGTAATGACAAGAGTTGCAAGGTTGCACCGGTCATACAAGACCCCAGAATCTTGAGAAAACGTTACTAGGTCTTTGATTCAAAGGCCACGTTCATTTAATCATAAGGTATATCTCGGAAATGTTGGGGTTTATCAAAGTAAAATGCCTATTTGCATAAAGGGAAACAGCTTAATCTAAAGGTCATCAAAGTTTGAAAAAAGCTGGGCCAGTTCGAGGCGTCGTAGCCTGCAGTGCAGGCGTCCTATAGGGGTGAATTAACTTTAACCGGGTGGGGGAAGGGGGGATAAGGGAAAAGGGAATCTACTCCCCAACCCCAACCCCTCTCCTTATTTTTGACCATCGCTCACCCCCTTGGAACAAATTTCTTTCTCTCTCCAGCCTGCATCTGCCATTAAAATCAGAGATGGCGGCCGTTATTGTCGCTGAGAAAATACTGAGCACTCGCTCGCCAAAGTTTCACCTGCTCTACGGGCCAGAAGCATCGCAATTGAAATAAATCAAGTTAGATGGTTAAGTAACGTATATGGTCCACAAAGCGAAGTGCTGTTCCCTTTTGAACAAAAAAAATATACATGGGCTCTGGATACATTCCTTTGAGTAGCTCGTGTAGTAACAATTTTGACAGCAGGGACGTCAGATCGAGGGTACTCACCAGATAGTCATGTCGACCTCGACGCACTGTTTTACGTACTATGACCAAAAGAGGCTTACAAAGGATCCCTAGGATCCCCCCCTCCCCAGCTACGCCCTTGAGTAGTAATAGTATTTCAGTGGCAGCAGTAGTAGCAGTATTAGCACCAGGCTGGCAGGGGGGAGTAGTAATACTCCTAGTCGCTTCATGCTACAAAAATAGGGAAAAGCTTCGGCTGCGCGAGCCACTTGGCTCCAGTGCAGCCACTTAAACTGCTTTTTAACATCACTGGAAACTGAAATTAAAAGTATATGTTGTAAAATAGATAAACATTTTTTTTTATTAAGCCCCTAACAGTTTTTCCTTACGTATTTAAGGATTGAGTAGTCATAATGAAAATAATAAAAATGTTAAGGAACATTTAAAAACAGGTACACAAGTGGTTTATAGTGGGGCCTTGCGATTGAAAATTTTTTTGAGAGCCCGTCGAAATTTCGGTGTATGCAATGAGTAAGCAATAGGATTGGCCAGCGGATGTGCCAATATGAAAAGATGGAATATCAAATGAAATTTATCTGGAATGCAGTCTCTACAGATTTCAATGATATTTGCCAGCACTAATTCTGGAAGCCAACAGAAGCAAAATATTCCAACAATGATGAATACAGAACAAGCCACCTGTCTTTCTCTCCTTTTAAGTCTTTCTCTCCATTGGCCATTTATTGTGAGGGGTTGTAGTTCTCCTCTCTGGTCGATTGTCCTCAAATCTCGATTAATCTCTTTTCTGACCAGTAAGAAGATTCGTGTGTAACAGGCAAATAACAGGATCAATACAGGAAGTCCGACTGCATCAGTAATAAACATTCTGTATTTGTGACACGAATCTGCACCGAACACAGGAAGGAAGGCTAGCAGTCCAGCAAATATCCAAATAGAAAGGAATCCAACGGTGCGATAAGTGGTGGTTTGATAATCCGCACTCCACGATGGTGATGATATGACGAGGAGTCTCTCGACTGCCAAGCCCAGTATTGTAAGAAACGAAGCATAAAAATCAAGATATACTGCAACGTATGCGGAAAAGACAATAATAACACGGTCGGGAAACCAGAGCAGAAGAGCGAAAAGCAACTCGGCTGGAAAGCCCACAAGAAGATCACAAACAGCCAGGTTTAATATGAGATAGTTAGCTGTTCCTTTGAGTTCCTTGAATGGATCCTTCCAGATTGTTATTATTACCAAGGAGTTTAACACCACTGTTACCACCGAGAGAGACACGAGGCCTACTGCCTTAAGTGGGGTGATTTCGTCCGGTAAATAACATACACTTCTATTCAGAGCTGTGAATGACATAGATGACATAGGTTAGTAAGCAGCATGAGCTCAGTTCAAAGTGGAACAAGGGAATGTATACAGGTCAGCGGTGAATCGAAAACAGTGTAAGAAATTGACGCCTGTAACGGACAGATGTTGAAGTGAAGTTATTATTTTTTCAGTTAATAGGGTATCATAGCCACATAATGTGCTGACCTTCGCAGACCAAGGTAAAAAATAACCATCCTCTCATATATTTCCATTTTTTTTGCTTCAAGGAATGGTGAGTATATTAGTTTTCGGTTTGTTCCACTATGATCACCCAGTCCATTCTTGTTTATGATTTAAATGCAGATACGCATTTTAGTCTCACAGTGGCTAGCTAGGTGACATATATAATTATCTCAGTAAAGACAATCATGTGGAAAGACGGATTGAACAAAGTGACCACTATCTTTGTAATCTATGCTTTTATCAATCTAGCAATTGAAGTTCAAAAGAAGTCCATCAAGGTTGAAATCTGGAAATATATATAATGTTTAAGAGAAGCATGGTTCATCCTTCCTCCTCTTCCTAAAGTACTGTCCATTCTACTTCTGTTCGACAAATTCCTAATTAAAAAGCTAAGTTCAGAAATAAGATTTCCTTCGATTGCAAATCAGAACGGTTTCTTTGATAATTGGCCTAAAAATGACAAGCGAAATTATTTTTATTAGGAAGAAAAATTAAGGGAGAGAGTTGATTGTTTGGTTAAATTTTTTATCACTGAGGTCAACTTGAGAATCTAGCTTCTGCTCTTTATATCAGCACTCTTAGCTTCTAATTCATGATTCCGACACTTCCTAAGCCTAGGCTATGATTTCTTTGTTATTTAAGGGATTGGCTCTACGTTTGGATCGATTCACAAGAACAACAATATTAACGAAAGCGAAATGAGCAACACAGCATACACCTCAATTACAAAAGTATTATAGAAGAATTTCTAAATTTAACGTCCAGCCATAGAAAGATATTATCGTAATGACCGTGGCCTGGAGCCCGTTTCTCGAAGGTCCAAGTAACTTAACGGGCTCATAAAGCTCACCTGTTTCTACTTAAGAAGGGGATTTAAAACGTTTTGACAATTATAACATAAATATAAGCAAATATGCAGTTTCTGAGGTAGATTTCTCATATTCTACAGGAATAAGGCATTCAAGTTAACCGAATATGAATGATTAATTCAATATTTACCTCCGAAATACATCACGACTTCACGTGCCTTGTCTCCTGAAACTTTTTTATATCAAACTAGCGTTTAGAAATGATTTTCATAATTTGGAAGAAGGTGACGATGCTGAATGCTTTGCCTTTTCCAATAGCTGTCAGGTCAAGCTTTTATCCATCGTTCGAGTTGCCCTGTCTAACTGGAATCACTTCTTAGCTCCTATAATTAGGATGTCACGCGCTCTGCAGGCGAACGGAAGTACCTTGGTTTTAATTCAGTAGCGCAGAAAAATCAAGATATTTTTGTTTGGTTAACGAAGCTATTTAACAAATTGTCCACTCTGGAACAGGGAAAAGCAAAAGATAAACAAATCAGCTGATAGAAAATAAGAAACAATGGTAGACAAGTATAGACAATGATGACACTTAAACCATGTTCCTCATAGAATTTGTGACTGCACCTATAACCTCTTGCAAGTCACATGAATGCTAACCTAAGCGGAAAGTGATTTAATTTTAGAAACAAAAATTATAGGAATTGTTTTCATCTTAATATTGCACCAGCTTCGATGTCGTCAGCTTGAATGAATCCTCGTGATACAGTATGGAAACTGAAGGTAAATTTCGTCAATATACTATCTGATACTTATTAATTTCGATTGAATCATTTTATGTTATTTCGATACCAAAATTATTAGAATCTTCTATTCCAGAATGAATTTTGACCGATATTGTCAATGAGCTGATTTACCGGATTGACTGGGTATAATATCATCATCTGGTCGAATCGGTATTGCCGGTCTCTTCCATATTTTCTTGTTTACAGACTGGCATGAGCTAGTAATGACAAGAGTAGCAAGGTTGCACCGGTCATACAAGACCCCAGAATCTTGAGAAAACGTTACTAGGTCTTTGATTCAAAGGCCACGTTCATTTAATCATAAGGTATATCTCGGAAATGTTGGGGTTTATCAAAGTAAAATGCCTATTTGGATAAAGGCAATCAGCTTATCTAAACGTCATCAAAGTGTGATGATCACCCAGTCCACTCTTGTTTATGATTTGAATGCAGATACGCATTTTAGCCTCACAGCGGTTAGTTACTGGGGGACATAAATAACTATCTCAGGAAAGAAAATTATGTGGAAAGACGGATTGAACAAAGTGACCACTATCTTTGTAATCGATGCTTTTGTCAATTAATCTAGCAATTGAAGTTCAAAAGAAGTCCATTAAGGTTGAAATCATGAAATATATATTATGTTTCACCCTTTAACTCCCAAGATCTCATTAGTAGTTCTCTTAACTGTCTGATATACAATTGTTATGATGTCAATTCGGAGAATTTGGTATTGGATCAACTAATAATCTCCGAATTGATATTTTACTTTATTCTCGTCACTTCTATGCTTGGTATTGTATTGATATTGTAAGGAGAAATTCTCTCTTGATCACTCATGGGAGGTAAAGGGTTAAGAGAAGAATGGTTCATCCCTCCTCCTCTTCCTAAAGTACTTTCGATTCCACTTCTGTTCGACAAATTCCTTATTGAAAAGCTAAGTTCAGAAACAAGATTTCCTTCGATTGCAAATCAGAAAGGTTTCTTTGATAACTGGTCTAAAAATGAAAAGCGATTTAGCCTCGTTGGCTCAGAATCTTCCGTCAGCTTGTTCATTAAATCCGAACCGTGTTATGGAGTATTTTTACTTTCATTTGCTTCGCCTTTAAAAATGTTGGGAGTCTTGTGGAGTTCTTGCCAATATTGCCGAGAGATTAATGCCTGAATTTACACAACTTATATACAATGAGAGCAATTCAAGCCGCTCCACAAATACGTTAATAGATAGCGTTCTGAGCACGCGAGAACGGTAAAAAAATCTCAGTATTTGCCAAATTGAATTACCTTCAGACATCGCAAATGCCAGGAGCTGTTCAGCAGATCAACACAACACTGCTATTCACCTTCAAACGGATGGTTCTAGTGATCAGCGATTCACGTTATCCTTGGCCCCGATAATCCGTCGCAAAGCTGATAGATCTCACTGTGGTAAATATTTTTTTTACTTACCCCGTTCTGTTTGAGCCGACAGAATCGTCTCGAAGTTCTTGAGATGTCACGCGCACTGAGAACGAATGGGAAATATGGAAATAGCCCTAGTTTCTTCCTAGTTTGGCAAAAGCAAACATTTATAGTCAACTGAGAAATCCACCGGAACATGTCAATTCTTGATAGCTCAATTTCCTGTAAATTTAAATTGATCACGTTGTATCCGGGTCTTTCCCTTTCCATCACATGAGTGGTGACGCTTGCGGAAGTCCCGTATAATCATAGCCAAACATCCTTGGGATTTAGAGCCACTGAATTTCATTGAATTTTATTACGAAACAATAAAGCTTTTTTGCTTGAGATTTTTACTACTTCAAAGTTATTTTCTAAATACGTCCCAATCAATGTAAGTGTAGAAACCTTAGACTATGATAGGCAACTTGGACTTTGCTTGCTTATAAGAGTCAGTTGACCTTGAATGTTTGTTTTACTTTTCCGCCTTTCCTCGGAATGCGGTAATAGTTGATCAACAGATTTGTAATGTCACGCAACTCTGATGAGAAATTCAACTTTTTCAGCCGATCTCGGGGTCTCATCAGATTGTTCAATGTGTCTCGAAGTCTCCCTATTCTATATAAGTAGTGCCACACATAATCTCTTGGTGCCAAATGATTTCTTGATGGTACACTTCATATCGGCATTTCTCACAAAGATGTGAAAGTCTGGGATTTTTCCCCATTGCCAAGCTTCTCGGTCAGATGAGAGCTAGAGGGGTTCGGAGTAATCGCTGGCGACGATGAAAGTCTGCGTGTAATTGCTCCCGTTTGAAGATATTCTAATGCCAGGGTTGATGCATCACTAAAAGAAAACGCTTGATTAAGGGTGTATCTCCACTCGGACGTGGGATGTTCTTGTTAATAATAACCTTTCAATAATATGAGTAAAGTACTATTAGAGAGATGGAGCTGTACAGATGAAAATGATTGTCTAGCCTCGGTCTCGGATTTTCAAACAAGGATCTCAACGTCTTGCGAGGATAAGAATATACCACTCTCCGCCCGTTGTACGAAACATTCTGCATTGTCTGTCGATCCATCACGGTCTCCAACAACGCATTGATGTGCGCGCAATATCTCGATATCAAGGCTTAAGATGACAAGGGTTGTTGATAGCGCCTGACAATATGAGTCATAAGCTGAAAATACCTTGAAATTAAACAGCTCGTGTTTTCCTTTCTGATTGCGAACGGGAGAGAGGGGGAGAGAGGGGAAGAGAGAGAGATTGCGCTAAGTGGCCAAGTACTAACTAGTTTGAGTTAAGACCCACTGGTTTTAAAAATAATTTGGAAACTGTCCTTCAAACGGCACGATTCCTTTCCTGAACCGCTACGTTTAGGGACAATTTTATGATAATTGTTTGTACTGCGGACTCGGTCTACACTTGGTGGTGATACCATTCTAATAGGAATGAGTGAAAGTTTTATTTGTAGCTCTCCCAGCTAAGGAGCCGTGCATTACAACTACGATGAAAAAATAGCACTGGAACTTTCATTAGTTAAAGAGTTCATTTGCCTATTTTAGTAACAACTTTACAATAAAATTTCTTATGATAAATCCTATTTGATTCATAATTGCATTAAAATTGTTTCAACTAGTGACCTGCTCAACCTCGTTTGACAGAATGTTCTAAAAATGGGCCTCTTGTTGCAGCGATTAGATCACCCCTTATGAAAGTACCAGACAAGAGTGTTAAAACGTTGGGTCTATGAACTGTAACTTCTTGGTTACATTCATTAAATCTTTAAGCCAGAGTAGCATTAAACTTTGTTTGATTTCTTCAAAAGCTTATTCAGTAGATATGGCAAAATGTTGAGGCTATCAACTGTTAGATATATATCAAAAGGCAACTATGTTTAATTTAATCAAGTTTTCATTCAGGGCTATTAAAATAGTAGAACATCATAACGGTGTACTTTTAAGGGCAAAAAATAGGCTTTCGTGTGAGAGATGAAAACTGACTCAAAAAATCGTCATCTTGATTAAAAGACTTTAGCGGTGAATGTCAACTATTATTTTCAGTTGTTTGTAGACTAGACCAACGTAATTGGTTAATAGCAAAAACAGTTGTTTAAAAGCATATTTTCATCAATAGATAGCCTATTTGAACAAGAGCCGGCTATCATGCCGTTGGGTTAAGCTCCATAAAGCTCACTTTTCTACCTACAAAAAGACAAACGGAGCGCTCTAATTAAACCATCAAGAATCTTCTTTACTTTGCGTCGGTGACGTGGCATTGTAAATGTGTAGAGAACTGGATTGAGAGCGGAGTTCAAGAACGCAAGTAAGATCAAACCAGTTTTTTCTGCTACTATTGATATAGAAGAATAACTATTAAAACTAGCGATGCAAAAAGGAAGGTAACACACTAAGTATACTCCAACAAAGAGAAACATGTCTTTGACATATGAATGCTCTCGTCTTTTCGCTGCAGTATACGCATGCCCAGGTTGAACAAGTGGCTGATTAATTCTTTGTGTGAGAGGCGTCTTGTTGAATTTTCGGATGATTATGAACATGCGCATGTACAAACCGATTACAACAATTGCAACAAAGACAAAAAAGCCGGAATGAAACAGTTTAATCATATCCACTTTTCCAATAAGAGTTGGAAGAAAGGCCATAAGTAATGCAAAACTCCAAATACAACAAATGCTGAGCTTCCCAGGCAAACCAGTAAACAGCTTCTCTCGCCACGGAGGCATCTCCAAAGAAAGGTACCTCTCTAATGTAAGGTTGTAAATTGTACAACTTGAAGCGGCCATCGTTAAGATGAGCACCACTCCAGCTGCGGTCGTAAAATTATTCGCTAACTCATTATGACTGTTTTTCAGCACTAAATGACTGATTATCAAAAGTGGTTCACCCAAGAGGCCAACCATCAAATCTGCCACAGCGAGGTTCACTACAAGCAATTTGGAAACGGTCCGTTGTTCCCAGCGCGGATTCCTATAGAAAGTCCAGATTACTAGGAGGTTTCCTGCCGTGGTTACTACGGAAATAATGGCGAGGACAACTGTAAGTAGTGTGCTGTTGATGCGTATCCTTTCTATCAGTATCTTGGGAGGGCTTTCATCGCTTTGTGCCATCTTGGAAGTTGATACTTGACCGGCTTCCTGCAAGAGAGATCCAAAAAGTTAACGATTTTCCAGGCAGTTAAAGGACATTTGAAGATGATATCAAGTAAAGAGTTAAAAATCAAAGATGGCAGCCATTACTGTCGCTAAGAAAATTCTGAGCACTCGCTCGCCAAAGTTACATCTGCTCTACAGGCCAGAGGCATCGCAATTGAAATAAATCAATTTAGATGGTTGAGTAATGGTCCACAAAGCGAAGTGCGGTTCCTTTTTTAACTAAAAACTTTTTACGTGGGCACTGGATACATGAATAACTTCACTGCGTCAGACACAATCCCTTGACCTGTCTTTAATTCTTTCGCTTCCTTCCAACTCAGAAAGTTCGTGTTTCAAAGTCATTATTGAACATACCTAACGTAAAATTTGCTCTCCTTTTTTATAACTGAGTGAGCTTCTGAATGAATCAGAAAGAACTGCTTGAATGAAACAGCATATGCCCAATTTGAGTTATTTCATTCTCTACACAGATAATCCAATCCAATCCTTTATTTAAACACGTGACACCTGAATGAATCAGAAAGTTAAAACGTGTACGTGAATGAAATCAGCATCCATCACACAGTAATTTGCGTGGGAAATTAACGTCTCCTACCCCAAACTGCAGGAGAGCCTGAATGAATCAGAAAGAACTGCTTGAATGAAACAGCATATGCCCAATTTGAGTTATTTCATTCTCTACACAGATAATGGCTTCGTTATTTCAATAGTTGACAATAATGCGACAAAACTGAGCAGAATTTTATACAATTTATTAATCAACTCACCTTAAAAAACATCTAAGAATGCCAGGACTGATTACACTGTAGGTATTTAATTTGATTGTGACGTTTGATGATGTCTACTTCTTCTATCTGCCGGCTGCTAAGTCACGAGCACATTACATATCCGCTAGTTTGTTCCTTTTTATATGAATCCCATGAATCCCTTGGCACGTGATGTTCATAAATACATGTGACTGAGGTATCGAATGGTTTCCACCCTGTAAAGATTGAACCGAAGACGACGCGAAGGTTACCAGTAGATGTCAGTGTGCGTTAGAGGTGGATTTCCCCTATGACACATCTTTTGAATAGTTCCGGTTGCTAATATTCCCTTTCGACAAGTTTACTCCTTGCAGCATGATGTAAAGAATGTAGTTTAGATTCCTTATTTTATGTTTTTTTTTGTTCAAATGGCAAGAATCCGATAAATACTTTGAGAAAGACTTGTAACGGCAGAGGTTTAGTCGTTTACTTTCTGAATTCGAGGATAACGCCACTTCACACGGGTTTATCTTGCAACAAAACATGCAGCGATGCACTTGCGACGTATTTGTAAACCATCTTGGATTTTGAAATTAGGTGAAGGTTAAGATGAGAAAAACTCTCTACTGCAGTGTTACTCTAATTTTCAGGAAATTATTTTTATCGACCTCTGACCCGTGATATTTCCTAAGTCAACATCGTCAAACGCCGCACAGGCAGTAACGATGCACATCTGTCATGAAGATTACAATTTTAGATCGATCGGTATTACGGCAATTATGATAAAAAACAAAAAAACATGTAAAGACAGGTTTCCCTCTTAATACGGGTTCACAGGTTCCTCGGTAAAGAGGAACCTGTATATAGAAAACGATAAAAAAAAACGCTATTTTATCTCATAATTGATCACTACATGTACTCAACTTGAAAAAATTACTACTAGTATTGATTGCGGGAGATAAACATAGATTAAATATACAAATTTTTGCTTAGTTTTATTTAATAAGCAGTTTCGCTTTAAGTGACCTTTCTAACTGGTAGAAGATATTGCAAACACGTCTTTGGGGCTAAATAAATAAAGTGTGACCACAGACGCTTGATAGAAGTGAAAATTGTATTGTTTAAGTGGAAAAGAATTTCGAGACTTTGAAAACTGGTCGCTTAATTAAAATACAGGATGACCGCTTAATACAGGTTTGATTGTAGATAAATATAACACCGCTGTTTGCCAAAAGATTTGAGCTAACCAACGAAATACAGGCGTTTATAGATTTATGAATTTTTCCCTTCTAAGATTACGTATGTCAACTTATGCCCCATTCACACCAAAGCTTAAACATGTTTAAAAGTTGTTTTGTTAAACACAGTTTAATTTTTTTTTCTTCATAGAAACTATTTAGCCGAATATTTTTGACTTGAATGTAGCACATTGGAAATGCAAGTTAGCAAGTACTTGAATCCAATGGAAAATCAAGTTTTTCAGTTCTCTGTTTATAATTTTCATTCAATGAAAACCAGTTTAACAAAACATGTTTTGCTGGTGTGAATGGGGTATTAGATTTCACTCTCCATGTGACGTTCAGGTGCGCTGAACTCTACACGAACTTACCCATTAATTATCATAACTATTATATGTAGCACTATTTTTAATACCATCATATGACAATCATCAGTGTAATCTTTAGTATCAGAAAAAGCATGGTTTCTGCGGGTTATTTATGATAAACACCACGAATCATATTTCAAAATCCACCAAAATATCACGAGCCGCGAATTAGCGAGTGTACATTTGTGCTCAAGAAGGATGCAAGCTATTCATCCGGGGACTTTGCGGCTGTTAGTAACCTTTCTTTGCTTGGCAATAGCAACACTGCTGCCTGCTTCCTTACAGGGACGCTGATATTACCCGCAAACTGTCGGGTTCATAATCCGAACCGTCCTTCTTTCTCACCTGGGCCAAAAACTTCTCACTTCATTAAGTTGTCCGACCTATAAGCCAGCAGGCTTTCAAAATGGCGACCACAGTGTCTTCGGTCAAAGTAACGTAGACGAATGAATAGGTAAATAAATCACGGTCCGAGGAAGCAATGCAGTTGAACCTCAACAATACAAAAACGCCTGAGGAGAAAACAGACGTCAAAACCAACGGTAATTTTTTTTCCTACTCCTACAGGTCTAACCATACTCCTGAGCTTAGATTCTTCTCTACCTTGATGCAGTTTTCGCATGTGGCAAGTTTCTTCATTCTACAAAGCTGTGTTTCGTCAAACGCAAATTTAAAAATAAAGCACACGAGAATCGGTGACACAACTGTGGGTGCTATGTTGTCTAAATAATGCTCATGTTCGTTTATACATAATCATCCTTTCCTATAAAAAACACCCTTGCTTAGCAGATATCTGGCAAGCCGGTTAAAAAAGCTCGCCGTAAACTATCCTTGCTTGGCCATAACCAAAAATTACCTTTGATGATATCAATTATCGCTTAAACGTATTTTCTGTTGTGCTTGAATGGGATTTGAGTTGTCTATTCCTGTTATACTCGTTTTTTTTCCGTGTAACCGATAATTGTGCTCAGCTCAGGTCCGTTAGTTGTGAGAAAACAGTTCGAGACGAATTTGTTTATTTGCATCAGTGCGCAAATCAGGGCAATATTCGTGTTCAGACACATCGTACAACTCACTTTCTCTGACATCTGATTTGTTGTGATGCATTTTGTTGCCAAGCAAAACTTCACCCTCCATTAGATTTACTGGCTATACATTTTAAGCCCCGCAGATCGACGAGTCAGTTCGAGGCGGTGTCTGAGTGCTTCAAAACTGACTGTTTAAACAAAAATGGCGAATATTCGATTCGTTTGTTTGCTTTTGCTCACTATCCATTACGCATTTTCAGGTAAGCAAGCTTTTTTTCGATGTGTCTTGTCTGAAATCTACGCCGTTGCATCAGTGCTGTTTTGATAAAGGTTGAAAACGTTCTGATTCAACCTTCAACATTTGCAGCTGCTTCAATTTGTGGGGGATAGTTTCTGTGGCGGAAGTGAATTTCTTTTTAAGTTGTATCACTTTTAAACAGGTGATTATTTTCGCGCAATTTTATGCAACTTTTGTCCAAATTTTAGTTTAAACTTTGAAAGCACACATGCAGCCAAACGCGCTGCTTCTTCAAACCGATGTTGGTGCGATGCATTCCTGCAAATCAGCGTAATTTAAATAAAATTGATACGCAATTTCAGAGAGACAGAAAATTTCGTGTTTATTTCACCAGTTTAGAGGAAAGCCTTCAAAAAAGAAGGGGGGCATAGGTTTTATTTTTGAGATGGATGTGCATATAGCCGTTTAAAAGAACGTTTTCTAATATTTAACTCTCTTTCGTCGCAGTCGAACCTCGAGCAATCGACCTTCTGCCATCCAGATTCTGTTTATTGTGAAGCATGACAATGAACCCTGAGATTTTGACTCGTGGAAATTTTATAGATTGTCTTTGGTACACAAAAGCGAGTTTCCTGATAGAAAAGATTTAGAATTTTATATATACCTCAAAATTATAAATTAATGTGGGGGTAGAGTCTACCTTGGCATAAAGTTCTCAATGCTGTGTTAGCAGAGCTAAGTATACATAAGTTAAAGAATTAAAGAGGACGCATCGATTCTCTGTGACTCTGAGTTTCGCGCCTAAGCGCTTGAAACTCGAAACTCTAGTAAATATCGAAACTGTAAGGTTTAGGTATTTTCTCTAGAAGCTGCTGATAGGGCCTTCCTTTAGAGTAGAAATCAAGTGATACTCTCTGCGATCTCATTCATTTCAGAAAGATTTATAGAATGTGCTGTCACTCAATATTGATAGAATTTGAAATTATGTGCTTTCTTCCATGTTAATGTTCTACCGCTTAAAACGAAACTAGCGAGATATTTTAAACATCACGAACCACAAACGAAAAAAAAGTATTCGCATTATAGACAGGATTAATGAATGAACCTTTGGAATGATCCAGATAAGGATTTTTGATTCGAGGTCACTCAGATCGTGGTGCACCTCACGCATATTTTTTGACGAAACTTTACTCTCTCAACAACCATCGAAAGACTACGTCTAGTTACGAAACATAAATCAAAACGCGTTTCGTGCCCATACTCGTCTAACCTAAATATAGTGCACTTTGCTTGTACTGATTTCTGATTGGCTCAAGTGTAATTAGTCAGTAAGAGAGTTTTCACGCTCATTCCACACCATAAGGTCATTATGCAAAACATGAGCTACTCTCATAAAATCCCACACCATAAAGAATGTATTTTCAAGTTCATCACGACGAAGAAGGGTATTCGGTGATTCCGGTCTTCTCTTTAGATGCAAGATAGACTGCTTGTACCGGCCCCAGTTCAGTTTGTGCTCCTCTTCTTCGGGTGCAACTTGACTTGCAGAGAAACTCAAAAGCGTTCAAAACTTATACACATTGAAGAAACTGCTTAACCGCAGGGCGAATCTATAGCATCATGTTTGAAAAAGAACAATAGAAGAGTCGTTTAACGACAGAACTTTCGCTTCGGAAGTGAAAAACTGCGTCTAACTTTTGGAGAAAAGATTGTTACAGGAAAACAAAACTTACGCTAGTTGAGATTGAGATCTTCGCGAAGGCAGAATGTAAACACGAATGTGCTATACTCTATTTGAAATAGTCGACGAAACGCCTCGATAAACTTTGAGACTCTTGCCCAAGGGCTCTTAAAGTGTTTTGCCACACTCGTGTAAAGGTGTTGTTCGCCTAAAGCTCACTGTGTTACTAAACCACAATTGTACTTTACTTTCCGAGGATCTTTAGAACCGTAATGGCCTATTATCTGTGTATGATTTTCCATTCCGGCAGAACTTCGTTACTGAATTGAACTTATGTATTCAGACGACCAGTTAGCAGCAATGAACCATTACAAGAGCAAACTCCCTCAAAAATCGTTAGACTGCAATAAGTGCTAAGTCGGAGAATACCGTATTTACCCGTGTATAAGTCGAACCCGTGTATAAGTCGACCCCCCATTTTGGAGTCCAAAAATAAGTTTTTCTTATTTCTGGGCAAGAATTTCCTTGAAAAACTAATCTCATATTTCCTAGAATTTTCTTTCAGGTACTATGGTTATATGAAAAAAATCACAGCAAGTTTGGACGAGAAGTTTATTATTGCGTGTACGCGAGCGTTTTAGCGTGTTTTAGCGACACGTGTAAGCAGCATTTTCTTCACAATTTTTGAAATTAGCTTACAAAATCAAACATACTACTTTCTAACGAACCTTTATCGTTGTGTAAAGGCGCGTAACAACCAAAACAAAAACCCTGCCAACCAGCATTTTATTGGAAGACGTGCTAAACAACGTCCTCGCGCTCGCACGATACAAAGCCAGGTTACTAAGCAGCAAAACTTCGAAGCGAGAAATGTGGCTTTCGTCGAGCGGACTTACCACTTTATTGGCTGCAACTATCAGTTCTTTATTTAATCTTAAGCTTTTAAACTTAGACTGCTCGAGTTGTGCGGGGAAAAGACATCGGAACTTGTACCGTGTAAAAGTGGATTGTTTGTTTACATATCAGACAATTATTATGCTAATTTGTCCTGAAAGTTTTTTTATCTCAGATTTTGACCCATGTATAAGTCGAGGGCGATTTTTTGGACCGATTTTTAGGCAGTAAAAGGTCGACTTATACACGGGTAAATACGGTATGTTAAATAGCAGTAAAATACAGTTTGATATGTGTCCCCAAAATGTCATTGAAGTCGATTTTCTAATCAGTTTCTCGCGTTCCTGGCCTCTACGTTTTTATCGTTTTGACTACTTTTTAAACCTATTCCGATTCTCTGAATCCTGTTAAACGATTCGCCACATTTTCTAATTTTACGATTCTTACACAATTCCACAAATTCTACTCTTTTTTTTATTCAAGCGTTTGCGAGATATTTTGGACGCTAAATGGTAAAATTGTAAGTTATGGTCGATAAACCAACGCAAGGCCACCGCCATGGAGATCGAAAAGTGATCTTTACGAAACTGTCCGTGAAAGATGCGCAGTCGAAAAGAGGGAAGCAACGATTCGATACTCATATCGTTTAAGAAATTACTATTTGTTTTCTGATGCTATGGAACGCTGAAAAGATTCTGAACGAAATCAGAAAAACGTCTTCATTACTTGAAATCAGGATGGAAACAGTGAACTGAGGCAAGAAGTTCGGCCCATTTAGGATTAAAATGATAATAGCCTTTTAGACCTTAGAGTTTGCAGTATGTTCCTAAGAAATCGATAATTCTCTCAGTGATGATTAAATAAAGAAAAAGGCAAAGGCTAATCATCAGACACGGCCATTGGTTACAGGAGTGGCACAAGTTGTCCAAACCAATCAAATATTAGCATGTAATTTTCTCTCAATAATATTGATACATTGTCCAGCAAACAGGTAATTGCTAGAGAGGATAATTAACAATGAGATCTTGGTAGTTAAAGGGTGAAGAATAGGTTTTCCTAGTGCTGAATTCACCTGATTGAAGAATGAACGATAACTTTGGAGGATTAAGATTTTAAAGAATATATTTTTTAGTTTTCTCTGCAGAAATTTATTTTCGATGGTGCGCATTGCCTGGGGAAAAAACCAAGTGTGATGACTTTATGAAACACGTAAACATGACTGCTCAAAACATGAGCTTAGCTGTTAAAACAAGTTGTGTCGATGGAACTGACCCTGACGATTGCATGGAAAAGATAAAAAACAGCGAGGCTGATCTGGTGACATTGAGTGGTGGAGACACTTACTCAGCGGGTAAGTTGAAGCTGGATTTACCCGGCTGGTAAATATCTTTCATCTTCCGTGGATTTTCAGTAAGAAAAATGGACTGAAGATTTTCAATAAATCGTCATTTGACCTTAGATGTATAGATTTCCATAAAAACAAATGAGTAAAAAGCTAATTTGTTTCAGTGAAAATTTTTCTGTTTCGTTTTTTGTTTGTATTTTTATTTCATTTTAATCCCTTTTTTCCATTTTTGAATACCAAGTTCAAAAATGACGACCACGCGCGAAACGGCCTGATTTCGAACGCATGAATCCCTGGCCTGAAACTTGTTTTAGTATAAACTAAAATGATGAGTTAATATGGCACCAAAAGATAATTTTAACACATTTATTCTTGTAACGATTACATTATTTTCGGGTGCAAATCCCGCGCACATTGCTGGGAGAAGAATAGCTAGGATATTCGGAGTTTGAGAAGCCAATCAGAGCGCGCCTTCAACGCTATCCACTGTTGTAGTATATACTAATATTCAATATTTGATAGGGCAATTAAGAAATTTGCAGCTTATGCGTGAGTTGTTTCACATTCTTCCGACATCTTACGATACAGGTGAAAGATATAACTTCAAAGTCATTGTTTCTGAGCAGTATGGCGAGTATGACGTGAAATACTACAGTGTTGCCATTGTGAAAAAGAGTAACACAGGCTTCGACTTAAAGAGTCTTAAAGGGAAGAAGTCTTGCCACACTCAGGCTGAAAAGAATGCAGGTTGGAAAATTTCCGTGGGATATCTTCTGCGCTCAAAGATCATGGATCCCGTGGATTGTAAGAGCCCATACAAGGCCTACTTTTCAGCTTCAAAGTTCTTCAGTGAGAGCTGTGTCCCAGGTTCGTTCGTGAACATGCGTAATCGAATTCGCTCTGTTCTATTGCTATAGTAATAATTCAGAAGAAGGAAAGTGGATAGTTTATAAATTTCCTGCCTCACGATGTCTGCTTAGTATTTTTGTACTGCCTCAAGCCGCCGCTATACGTCAATTTTAAATTTTCTTCACAAAGCAAGACCTCAAAATCGAGAACTCCGCAAACTTCCTTTCGCGTATAGTGAGTGGGTCCCTTAAGACAATATTAAGGAGGTAGATGGCAGCTATTCGTTTTTTTTCCTTAATCAAAAAATATAACAATGTCTAAGCATATATCAGTATGATCAATAAGGCAACACAGCTTTTTCAGTCTTTGAAATGTCTTCGATTACAGTTCAACCGTAAGATTCCATTTTTTTATATGTCCCTTCAATTTTGTTTGGTTTGCTAGGTACCAAAGATAAAGTTAGTGCAGCTGCATACGAGAAGGTCAAAAACCTGTGCAGTCTGTGCGCCGGTACTGGAAATGACAAGTGCTCTACAAACTCTTCAGTTAATGAATACGTCAGCCATAAAGGTGCCTTCAAATGTATGAAGGATGGGAAGGGCGACGTGGCTTTTGTAAAGCTCCAGGTGGACTCACCAGCCGATTTTTATGATAAGGATAATCAAAACGACTACCAGTTCTTGTGCCAGAATGGAGGGAGAAAGGGTAATGTATACATTAATGAAGATTAAGGTTATACACAACTGGCTTGTATCACTGCTGCTTGAGCGTGCCACGAAGTACGTGAAAAATTGCTATTGACCCTGGACGGGATGCTGTCTTTCACACTTTATCCACTGCATTTCTGCTAATTGTCCTGATAATTTGTTAGTACCCATTTGTATTCCTTTCATATACAAACAATGATAGCGTAAAATAAATATAAAAAATTAAAAAGATAAAAAAAATTCAAGCCCTTTAGCTTTCTCAGTGTAAGTTCAAACAGCGGCTGTCTGTTCTAATTATATCTCCCCTGATACGCGTGCAAATAACTTCGTCCTGAATTGTTACACATCAATGAAGTTGTCTCATCATGGGGCAATTCCGCTACACGGACAACCAGTTGTGAATGATTTTAATGCATGATTACTCCAAAATTCAGTGTAATTCGTTCAGTTGCTAAGGTATGATACACTGCAACCCCGAAGTAACGATTACCATGGAAACGACGAACCTCGGGCATTTGTACTCCATTCTCTCTCCTCCTTCTATCGCCGCACTCATTTTCTAGTCTTCTAAAATTTGGTTCAAAGCTTGTTTTTACGTTGGTCGACAGATCTCTATGAGATTCAATTTTTCCTTGGGTCAAATTCTCGCCCCTTACAACAGCAATGAATCCGCGTATCTGGTAGGAAAGAAATGTGGGAAATCCCCCATCTTCTGTGACTATTTAGGGTCTAAGCCTTGAGTAAGGGGTACGGATTTTGCTTGGCAGAGTTTTTGGCAGTATATATCATACAAGATCTTTTCAATCATTTTCAGGGATTGAAGGATACAAGGAATGCAATCTCGGCGCAAGTCCTGCGCATGCAGTGGTTACAAGGAAGGACAACTCTGACATCGAAGACATCATTAAAATCTTAAAGGCCATGAGTTACAAGTACGGCAAGACTCAGACTGACTGGAGTAAGTTCCAGCTCTTCAACTCCTCCAAATATAACAACGGGGAAGATTTGATCTTTAAAGATGCAACTACAGCACTCAAAGGTATAGCGGTGGATAAACAGAACTATATGGGTTACCTTGGAGACATTTATGGCAAAAATGTGAAGGCGCTGACATCTTGCGATACAATCGTTTCTACTTCTTCCGCGACTTCGCCCGTCACTACACTCATGCTGTTTACAGCTGCGCTGAACGCTCTGCTCATGTAGGAGCTGAAGAGGAAACAAACTTAGTAACCGCCATAGTTAGCCTCGAGGTTAGATTTGGAAAGCACGTTTCACGTGAGCCATTAGAAGTGAGAATGTCTGTACACATGTTGTTAACTGCTGACTACGTAATGCTCTACATTATGGATACTTAAGAATGGTCAATGTGAAGATGAAACCCCTTCGATCTCATTTAACTTGACTGTTTATTAGCCATTGAGGAGTTGCAGATTGCAATTCTTTGTCTAGTTCGAATTCCTAGTCTACAAATAAAAATTTCATGAAACGACTTAATTTCGTAACGGAAGATGTTGAGACTTCCTTGCAAGCTTAGCCGAACCTTCATGGATTCGAGCCTCCGACCTTCAAATCTCACGATCGAACGCTCCGGCTATCGCTGAACCTCTGACAGAGCCTTCGATCAGCAAAGTCGGAAGATCAAAAGATCTAAGCTTCAAATCCTCACGGAGTAGTCGGATTTTCTTCTGTGTCGTAAACTTGTGAAAAAAGTTTTTCTTTCTTGGTCATGAGACGACTTAGCTAAAATTTACAGGTTTCATTTCATCCAACTTCGATCCAAACGCAGAAAGGGAAAACACGAGGGGCTGATGTTGTTGATATGATAGTACCAGCAGTGGGAGTATTGAACCTTCCCCCTCCCCCTCCCCCTCCCCCTCCCTCCTCTTCGGCCCGGGCTCTCTCGTGACTGATCTCTTTAAGGCAGTTTCATAAAGACTCTTGTTTCTCAACGTCTTGCGAAATGTTGCAGAAAATCCCTTTTGTTGCCCAGTGCCAGACGCGATGTAAGCAAGATATGCAAATTGAGATACCGGACGAAAGCCCTAGGAAAACGTCAACACTCTGTTGGAAGCCTCTCTGATTTCCGTATCTCGCGTTCTGTTTAAGATTTTGTAATGTTTTTGGCGCAGAATTAAACTTAATTGCTTTCTCTAACTAAACACAGGTCGTACCAGAGCTTTTTTTGTTTTTTTGATCGAAAAATCTGTCAACAAGAAGTGAGAAATAATTGCGACCCCCAATTTGAAAAACTTGCCAAGTTTTTGTGAGTCGCTTATCTTCAAAAGAGCAGATGTCCCGTCCTGCAGGCTTCCAAATTTTGGCAAAACAAACATTAATTTTCCTTTTTTTTTTAACCATTTAGCTGTCATGATATGCAAGATATGTCTGGATAAGACTTCATCGGGGAAAAAGAAAATACAAGTCCGCTTGTTTAGGAAAACGAATTTGAGCGCCGTTTTTATTTAAATGTCTGTGACTCGCACCCTGGGTACGGTTATACTGGCAGCAACATGGAGTAAATATGGCTTTAACTAGAAATTATCCTTCCGTTGCAAGTATTGAAGTCAGCATATGTAGCGCAAGTGTCAACCAAAACCCAAAAAATCAGCAGGAAAAAAGGATCACTTCGCGCAAAATTTTTTTCTCTCTCTTCTTAGAGAGAGATCAGTTTATGTTTGACGCATTAATTAGTCGGTGAAATTTTGGTCAAAGGATAGTAGTTTAATGCGACAGTAACAAAAGTGGGTCGAGTTCAAGATGACCTATCGAGTTTCAGCAATCAATATGTGAGATTGAGGAATGAAAATCTGTCAGCTCTAACAAACACTTCCGTGACGCTTCAGTGCATTACTGATTAGCATCGTTTTCACTTCGAGAAAATTCAAGGCGTTGTCTTGGTGTTTCAACGGTTTCATCAAACATGGAGAGGATTCTGATCGTTCTGATGCTCTTTATCACCGTTCACTATGCATATTCAGGTGTGCCAACCTTTCATTGTTACGATTATCACAAAGATTCTTATAGCTGGGTATCATCATTGAGTTTTCTTCCTAATTGCCTTCTTTCCTTTTCGGTAATCTTCCGTTTTTCATTTCTTTCGTAAGTGTTTCACTTGCAGGATTTAGTAACACAAAATAAGACTGAATGTCGAAGGAGATTTCGCTTTCTCAGTGTTGTTGCTCGTTTCATCGGCTCAGCTTATTTGTTGGAAGCATGTACTAAAGCTAAGGTGCTTCTCCTCCTTTCAATTATAATTAAGTCCAAGCTCGGTTTCGATTGTTCGTTGGTTTTGTGCGTGTTATCATATCCTCGCGACAGACATCGCTTGGAATGGCTGCAAGCCCTAACTTGGTTCGAAAACTTTGCAATATCGCAGCGACATACTGTAGTAATATCGTGCTGAAAACGTTGTTCGTGTACACACGCAATAACGAAGTTGCAACGGCAACTTTCAAGCTTGAAAATTGTCTGCTCTAGCTGAGGAGCTTAAGGAGTTACAAGAAATTTATTTTAAGATCCTTTGATGTGAAGTAAATGTCACCTTCTTGATGAGCATGGTCAGTTTTTTTTTTAGATACTTTGGCATTATTCGTAGTTTGTGGAAACGATAATTCAAACTCGTTCTTGTTTGAGGGTCGTGCCAAATGATTTGCCTTTTCTTAAAAGATATAACTTAAACACATATAAAATTCTGGCAGCTTTTCCTGTCTACTAGTCTACGCCGATTGAATTATTAAGAACAACAACAACGAATTAATTCAGTTAGATCTGAAGCTCAAGTCCTGTATGGGCACAGTATGTGATGACTAATCCAGAGATCGAGCTATTTGTGTATTTAGTAAAGATTTTATTTTTCTCGGGCTCAATAGAAAGAGAAGGAATCTTTCCTCATTTATGTCTTTATTCCATAGAGAGTTTAAGAGTGCAAAGTGAAAGTAAATATCTTTTGTAACTGGATTTTAATGAAACTAACCATCACGTACGCGCAAAAATAGTTGAAAAGTTAGAGTGATTCTCGAGTGGCTAGGCAAAATGTCTGCTCTTGCACATCGGGTAATGATGGAAAAAACGGGGTTGCCTGGATTTGCTGAGAAAGCAGATGGAGAATAAGATTTTTTCGCCAAGAAATCACTCTTCTTTCCCGGGGCTTCCTAATCATAGATCCAAGAGACGAGGTCAGCTAATTACTTTTCCTCAGAGCATGATACTGATAGCTAGTTTGACGCTCCTTGTCATATGGAACAATAGTCTGTTCACGATACGTTTTAAGTTTTTGTCTGATTGGTCAACTGGGTGGCACGACTTTTTCTAGACCAATCACGAAGCGAAGTTAAGGGTAACTTATACATTCCTGTTGTATCGTCACCACCAAAAATATAAGGATGTCAAATAGATCAGCAAACACAAAGCTGGTTTAAATATCAGCTGCAGGATAGAATAGCTAATAAAGGAATGGCATGGCCAAATTATACACGATTTAGTTTTCCTTCATGAAACAGAACACCCTAAACATGAATAGTCTAGCCAAATGATAAACGGTCCACTTGCCTAGGTCGAGTTGATGAAATTGTGAAATGGACTAGCTCAACTACGAATAGCTTAGCGCTCATTTGCAATACAGTACACAAACGGTGTAGCGTTGCGTCAAATGGCACAGGGTGATGTCGAGTAGCACAGCGTACGCACAAACGGTGTAGCGTTACGTGAAATAGCTCAGCGTAATGTAGAACGGTACAGCGTACAAGCGAACAGTGTAGCGTTGCGTGAAATGGCTCAGCGTAATGTCGAATGGTACAGCGTACACCCAAATGGTGTAGCGCTGCGTGAAATGGGTCAGCGTAATGTCGAATGGTACAGCGTACACACAAATGGTGTAGAGTTGCGTGAAATGACTGAGCGTAATGTAGAAAGGTACATCGTACACACAAACAGTGTAGCGTTGCGTGAAATGGCTCAGCGTAATGTCGAATGGTACAGCGTACACACAAATGGTGTAGCGTTGCGTGAAATGGGTCAGCGTTATGTCGAATGGTACAGCGTACATACAAATGGTCAAGCGTCATGTCGAATAGCTTTGCAGAACATCAGAAGCTGTATCTGAACATTAAATTGCTTAGCATTGCACGAAATATTTCGATATTGTGGTGAATCGTCGAGCTTGCTTGTGGCGTAACGTGAAGGCTATCTCGCCGAAACCACCAAAAATACAAACCGCAAATGGAACAGCGACCTGCTGGGGGGCATGACGTCATCGAATGTGAAGACTGTCGCGAAACCATCACATGGTGTAGTCGCTGTGTTTAAGATTCTTCACTTCGCCTTCCCGTAAAGCAGAGCCATTCAGTAAGTTTCTCCTTTTTTCCCCCTCCGATATTGCATTTATTCGTTTTCGTTCATGAAAGCGTTAATTAAAATAGCAACGAGACCGGATTCTACCCCGGTTTGCCGGCCTCCCGGTTTACCACGGTTTGCACGCGTTGGTGAGCCTGAATGTTTATAGGTAAGTAAAACTGATATCCTTGATCTGTTTTGACATTTTTCAATCAAACATGTAGTGTTTGCAAAAGCGACTTTTTTTCCGAGTTGGTTTTATCGTCCGGCTCACCAATTAAAGCATTTCGAATCACTTTAATTGAAAAATGTCAAAACAGATCACGGATATCAGTTTTCTTACCATGGCGTCCAGGGCACACACAAAATCCAACTTCTCACGTACTCCTCTAATGTTCAAAGAGCCGTTGAAGTTGAACTCTTATTGAAAAGTAAACGTGAGTCAGTAAAAGAAAAGAGAGCTCGACAATCGACATTTAATGCACGTCATAACACTACTTAATACTATAAACATGTTCAGGCCCACCAACGCGTGCGAACTGTGGTAAACCGGGAGGCCGGCAAACCGTGGTAGAATTCAGTCTCGTTACTATTTTAATTGACACTTTCATGAACGACAACGAATAAATGCAATATCGGCAGGGAAAAAAGAGGAGAATGTAATTTTGGTGGTTTTGGTGAGATAGCCTTGGCGGCCGTAACCACCAAAAATACAAAGATGTCAAATAGATCAGCAAATACAAAGATGGTTTAAGGATCAGCTGCAGGATCAGCATAGCTAATAAAGGAATGACATGGCCTTCACGTCACGCCACAAGCAAGCTCGACGATTCGCCGCAACTTCGAAATATTTCAAGTAATACTAAGCAATTTAATGTTCAGATAGAGCGTCTGATGTTCTGCAAAGCTATTCGACATAACGCTACACTATTTGTGTCTACGCTGTGACATTCTACATTACGCTGAGCCATTTCACGCAACGCTAGACCATTTGTGTGTACGCTGTACCATTCGACATTACGCTGAGCCATTTCACGCAACGCTACACTGTTATTAGCTATTCTATCCTGGAGCTGACCTTTAGACCAGCTTTGTATTTGCTGATCTATTTGACATCCTTGTATTTTTGGTGGTGACGGCCGCCCATAGTCGATGCTAAGTCTCTTTCCACTGATGCCAAATTAATTTTAGAAAAGTGCGGAAGTCAGTCTTTAATAGAAGTAAACCATGTACATACCTACCTACCTACCTACCTACATACTTTGTTGCATAGCTCCCCCTTGGGGGCTCCTCCGCCACATATGAAAATCAAAACATCAAGTTACAAAGAAAAAAGGAAAAAGAAAAAAAAACTAGTTACAGATAAAAATATAAATTATAAAAACAGCTTACATTTCGATAATAAAAAATATCATCTTATGATCTATGAATTAAAATATTTATAAAAAATACTTCTCTCCAAAAAGGTTAAGGCTTTTTGTGTTTCTGATCTCCTCTGGTAACGAGTTAAACATTTTTACCCCACGGTAGGCAAAAGCCCTTTGGCCAGTCGAGATCCTGCCTTTGGGCAACGTCTGGTCGTTCTTTTGCCTGGTGTCTCTTTGGTAAATTTCAGAACGGTGGTGAAATCGCTCACGAAGATAGTCAGGAGTCAAGTTGTTCATGTATTTGTAAACCATACCTAAGTCGATGAAGAGCAGTTTTCCCTTCACGTTAAGCCATTTAAGGGACTTCAGGGCTTCTGAAATTTGATCATACTTTTTTAAGCCAGTTACGATCCTGCAGGCGTAATTCTGGACAAACTGAAGTTTTCTAATATTCTCTTTGCTGGGGTTGTTCCAAACTGTCGAACAGTAAAATAATTTGCAAAAGACGAAAGCATTTATGAGATACGTCAGGGTTCTTTGATCCAAAAGGTGCTTTATCCTGATGACCCTCGTTAGTTTAAACATACAGTCAGAGGCAGTTTTAGTAATATGCTCATTATAGTTAAGATAACAATCGATGTGCACTCCTAGGTCCTTTGTTACGGCCACAGGGTTAATTTCAGTTGCCAATATTGTAATTTCAGTCGCCAATATTGTAATTTCAGTTGCCAATATTGTAATTTCAGTTGCCAACATTGTAATTTCAGTTCCCAATATTGTAGTGGAACAGATTTCTTTTGTTACAATTTTCCGAAGAGTGAAGGGAAGCAGAAGGAAAGCGCGTGGGAACACGAAGAGCGAGATGCATGCTCTTGCTCTCGCGTGTATCCCAAGTTCGGTTTGTTCTCATCTTCCTTTGCTAGACCCACAGGCACTGATACTTTTTGCTTGATCAGAAAACTATCCAGGGATGCAACTGTCAAAGGTTTTTCTTTTTCAGGCCCTATCAGTTTTAGATGGTGCGCCTTGTCACACGAGAGAGCCAAGTGTTCTAACTTTACAGATCATGTTAAGATGATGGCTCAAACTATGAATTTGAGTGTGGCTGCGAGTTGCGTCGACGGAAATAGCACTGATGATTGCATAAAAAAAATTATCAAAAAGGAGGCCGACCTGGTGACGCTGGATGGTGGAAACATTCACGAAGCTGGTAAGTTTTAGATTCCCTTTACCATGAGTAACCAGGCTTGAGGGATTCTGACATACACTCGTGAGCAAAGACCGTGATTACTAGTAAACAAGAAATGAGCAGCTCGCACTTCGTTGTTCTTTTTCCCGCACACATGACAAATATTTTGATACTTGACGATTGAATTCTAAGGCTAGTTGACAGAGGGGGACTAACATGGCGTCTTGTCAATTTTCTAAAGCTGCATTAATTGCGGAAATAAGTCATATAACCCAAATAGAAAAATTTCACTTATGGTTTCGAGGAAGATCCTTTCAAATATCGAAACTGCAAGGCATTTGGTAGAAACACCAAAAAAACACATCAGTCAATACTTCGAAAATTAACCGATTAGTGTAACAAGATCGTCTGGCTGGCTTGAAAAGAATCAAATAGACTTCGGGCATTCCCTGTCTAAAAGAAAAGCTAGGGAAAAATCAAATAGTGGCTAGCGTTCCGCGCTGAACTCTGGGATTACGGGGATGAGGCATTTTTCATAGAGTGCGCGCGGTGTGCCACATTTTGTTTGTATTTTTTTTTGCTGATTTTTTTGCTGAAGTCCACGTGACGGAATTCGCTGAAAAAGAGGGACGGCTCGTAGTCGTATAATTAAAGATCACGCTAAGCTAACGTAAAAGTACATTTTCAAGAAGTCGTCATCCTTACAAGACTACTATTCTTCCCTGATATTCACAGCTGTTTATTCTCACCATAAAAATCAGGCTAAAACTAGTTCGTTTACTAAAGATTATTGGGAGGAATACCGCTGGAAAACTCAATTCCATCAGGGAACCCGAGATTATCAACAAGAGTTGTTTTTTTATTGCTACGTGATCTTCTCTCGATACAGGGAAATCGCACGATTTCAAAGTCATTGTTGCTGAACAGTATGGCGAATACGGGGTCAAATATTATGCAGTTGCTGTGGTAAGAAAGAATAACACAGGCTTCGACTTAAACAGCCTCAAAGGGAAGAAGTCTTGCCACACTGGAGCTGGGAGAACCGCAGGTTGGAAAGTGGCTGTAGGATTTCTGCTTCGATCAAAGATTATGCCAGCTGTGGCCTGTGGAAACGAGTCGAACGCTTACTTGTCGGCTGCAAAGTTCTTCGAAGAAAGTTGTGTCCCAGGTACGGCCATCACGTTATAGTTGGAGTGCAGTTTGAAAATAAATGATCCTCGTAAATATTCTGCAATTGAATAAAATGCAGAAAAGAAGCTTAAACAAATTCATGCACCACGGAAACTCACCTTGCTCCCAAAATGTTTTTTCGTAGATCAGCTGGTGGTGGCGCCAGACAAGTATCACTTTGAGATTCGGTTCGGATTCCATAGAAGCCTGAATTTTTTCAGGCGTCTTTCCCGCTAATTCTTTCACTGCCACTCATCTGCGAGGATCATTTCTTTGTTTGAATCACATCTACCGGTGAAAAGAATTTTTAGTCGATCGTAAGTGTCATGTAGTTACCAAAACGGTTTATTTGGTCACTGTAAAAGACACAAGGAGTCGATGAAGACTCTCTATAAAACCGCATATTAACCGCGTTTCGAATGCGAGGAAAAAGCTAAAGCAAAACCAAGGAACTCTCCTGTTTTGCCTCAGACAATCAACTGAAAATAACCTTTCTAATTAGTCATATGAATGATGAAATTACATATTAAGCTTAGGGAATATGCGATGAACAATCCGGGCCATAGACAGTTTTGCCTTTAAAAACTTAGGCTAACCCCACATTTTAGGGCCGCGTTTTAGTCTTTGATATTTATGGCCCTTGGCACCCAGTTCACTTGATTTAGCACAGAAAGAGCTTTGCGTCAATAGCAGTTTGAATGATGTCGGTCTAAATTTGTGGGAGTAATCACAACTTAAAGTCAGGCTGCGACGACTTATTTGGGACAGTTGAGGACACGCATGCTATCACAGACAATAGATGTACAGCGCAGCAAAAGAATCGGACTACGTAAACATGATTATCGCAGGAAATTAATCCTTTACTGCACCTCGTGACAATCTAGAATCTTGTAGCCGGCATGATGCCTATCATGCACTCCTCAATGCATCCCGAGGTTCTTTTGTAGAAGTAAACAAAGAGTTTCCGCTTAATACGTACACTGAAATGGTAAAATTTCACTTTCAATGCGTTTTGCTTTTTAGGTACCCCATCTAAAGTGTCGTCAGGCGTCTATCAAATGGTAAGTAACCTCTGTAACCTATGTGCTGGCCCTGAGAATGACAAGTGCACCATAGACATCTTAAAAAATAGATACGTCGGTTATCACGGAGCCTTCATGTGCATGGCGGAGGGAAAAGGTGACGTTGCTTTTGTGAAATACACGACCACAGAGGAGGTGACTGCAGGAGGAAAATATGGGAAACCGGAAGATTACGAATACCTTTGCCCTACGGGAGGAAGAATGGGTAATGTATCCAGCTATGATTATCCTATTTACGGCGCACGCGATACGAATTTTTTCTATTTTGATTTGTTTTCAAACTGCTGTTCAATTATGATCTCTGAGTAGTTTTAGACTGGAAGCTAACTGTAGTATCCGCACGCAGTGCGAACCTATTGTGTCACGTGGTATTGAATAAAGACGGTTCTACCCAACATGGTGTGTGTGTGTGTGTATGACGATCCTACACTAACAAGCATTATCAAATACTTGGCAGAGTGACGTTTGACATCTTGCAACTACCCCTGCGGGTCCTGCCTTACTGGTTCAATCACAGTAGAGGAGAACTGTTGAGAACGCTGGCTGAATTTTATAATGGAAACATAGGTGCTGCATGCGTCTTAGAATTGCCACTTCATTAACTATGAAAATTTTGAAGCAAGGTGAGCGCTGATGTAATGCTCTTGTTACCTTCTTTAGCTGTTGGAAAGCACACGGAATGCCATCTCGGCGCAAATCCTGCCCATGCTGTGGTCACCAGAGGAAACAACTCTGACATCGGAGACATCATCAAAATTTTAACGAAGATGAGCGAAACGTATGGAGTGAAACAGAAGGACTGGAAAAAGTTCCAACTATTCAACTCCTCGCAGTACAGCAGCAATAATTTGCTCTTTAAAGATTCAACAACCGCACTGAATGCTCAACCTGCAGGTAAACAGAGCGTCATGGATTACCTCGGAAAAAGTTATGGCGAAAATGTGGATTCCCTGACTTCATGCGACACCACAACCTCCACGACCCTACCGCCACCGCCTGCCTCCTCTTCTACTGCGATTCTGCCCGTCTCCTTGCTCGTGCTTTTCACAGCCTTGCTGGACATGTTCATATAAAACGAACTTTGAACGTGCTTCGGGTAGTGATGAAGCTGATGATTAATAAGTGGTTAGGTCATCAGGGTACTTCCTTTTTTAGTTCATGATCATTAATTGCAAAGTTAGTAGAGGGATAATATGGTAATTGTAAGCTCTAGGCACGCTTTTATCGTCGCTGGTCAAAAGGTAGCGGCGAAGGCAAGGGAAATGCTTTTGAGCCCAGATTATCCTTATGACTGTTTGAGCTTTATCGTTCAAAACTCATTCAGTTTTGATTGTCAATGTTAAGGGTAGATTTTTTTGTTACTTATCGAGAGATAGACAAGTTGAAAACATTGAAGATCGAGAAGATAGAGATCAAAATCAAATAATGGCTTACCATCAATATTTTTCTTAACACCAAGAAACGCCTCCACTTTTCAGATTAAACTTTGTTTCCTTGTAAAATTTGCTTTTAGCCTTTACAAGCCGTTCAGTGTAGTTCTATGATTATATAATCCAGCCAGTTTCAAAGACATCACCGCGCATGACATGTGATAGTGTCGAATTGACAGCGTTCAGATCTTTTATTCGGCTTGGTAAGCCCTTGTCTGATTTTATCTTATTGCGTGTGAAAGAACCTCGCGCGATGACAGACAAGCAACTCTTTCTCCAGTCTCTCTCCTCAACTTACCACACGCGTTTCCATTAGCTTTTGTTTTCACCGAGATACGTTCCGCGTAGGCTACTCAAGTGATCCAGCTTCTGTGCGTGTTTTAGAGCAACAAAATCAACAGCCATATCGCATGATCTCTTAATAGCGTTACGTTTCCAGTTTCCGTAGCATGACCAAGTCGATTTAGACTTTGCACAGAAATAAAGTTACATAGAAGGTAGACAGAGAAAAAAGTCCCCGTTTTCAAATGCAAGCCATGATGACATACGTAGAACAAAAACATAGACCCGTGATGTTAAACAGTATTAGCTTTTAAGCACATGGAACACTAGTGAAGATTAGTGAAATAAAATTTTGTTCCTAGTTACTCGGTATAATTGTGTGTTGTTTGAACTTAATGGTTTATAGCCAGAGCTCTGTATCAACGGGTGTAGAATAAGTAAGTAAGTAAGTAAGACAACCTTTAGCAAGACCTTACGAACCGCGCCGGTCATTATTGTAAACTTCGCATGCCAGAGTTGGTTCGGAAGATGAGGGTCGTTGGTTGGCATGGCTGGATTTTTTTTCCTCGAATATATGCTTTTCTTCTTTTCTTACCATCGAATTCTAAACTATACAAGGCGATTTCGCATAATTGACCTCAAATCGCGTCAGATAACGAAAGTACCGTGAAGTCGTCGAAAATCGGACGGTCATAGTCAAATGGTCGCATAATTAGAGCAAAGAAAACTCTGATTTCAAAATACTATTTTTCAGAAAAATATTTTTCTCATTAAATGACAAATTGCTAGCATTTTGTTAAATAACGATTTCGTATAAAATACCTGAAACAACATTTCATGAATTACACGGACAATTGCGGAGACAATGTTACTCGGTGTACTCTTTATTCAGTAGTAAGCTAATGTTGTAAGCCATTACAATTTTTTAATTGTTCTCTGGTGTAGGCTTTTGGTGTAATTGAATAGTTAAGTCGTACGTTCATTTGCTCATGAAATCTTTCGTTAGTTCGTCAACTCTTTCATTCATTCATTCCTTCGTTTTCTCGTTTGTTCATGTACATATTTACTCATTCATTCTTTGTTATACCTTTCATTCTTGTTTTTCCACTTTTCCTTCAGTTGCATTTTCCGTTATTTTAACCAGTTTGTAGTTAATTACGTTTAGTCTCAGAAGACATCTTGTTACTAGGAAGTATTTCAGTGTAATCTGAAGATAATCAGGATTGCTTCTCCCCTCCTCAATTTTGTTCAGTGCCCCGATTCATCTGTGCGTTTTTGAACAAATATAGATTATTCAAAACCGATTTAATTCAAAGAACTGTAAAATTAAAGGAGTTAGTCGGCGTTTAAAGAGCCGAACGATTCTCTGTTACAAGTGCGAGAAAAATGTCTCCGACAGTAAGGTTGATCTAATAATTGACCGATCCCGTTTAATGTACGGTATGCTGGATGAACCATCTTTTGCTAGAGCTTAGAGATGCACTTACACGTCAACACCAGCTGTGACTAGATTCCGCTGTCGATATTTACACCAGGACCCCTTTAAACCATGCCACCGGGTGTTAGCATTTCCGCTTGGTCCTATGTCAGGCAGCAATAAAGAGTAAGGACTACAATGATGAACTCAATTGATATAAACTTCCCAGTCCCTCTTGGTTTGAGTCTGACCGTAAGTGATCTAGATACCGCAAGTACCTCTGGGCAGGAGCTGAGTGACTGAAGCGCAAAATAGTACTTCTCACCAAGCCAAGCTTGGGTTGTGTTCTTTTCTTTCACATCTATGAGCTTGACCGTGGAGTCGGCAAATAATAAGTCTTTACCACCATACGTGGAAGAATTAAACATTTGGAAAAAGTGGGGGTTTGTCCGACAATATTCATCTAAGCGAAGAAGCCACTGTTTTAAACTCTTTACCATACTCCCGGGCCTTGTCATGACGACCCGAGAAGGAATCCTGGCCAGGTTACATTGTTGAAAGGCTCCAACATCTGTTGTAAAAATGTAGAAAGACATGTAGAGGAGTCTAAAGGAGACCTGCTTATTTTAAATCGCTTTACTACGGCGAATTAACTGTTGGGTGGGCAATGGCATAAAAGGCATTAAAGGCATAAAGGCACAAAGGCATAAAAGGCATAAAAAAGAAAGTCTGCACACGAGCCGTGCATACGGTTCATGCCATCAGAACCTATTACGATTTCCGCCACCGGAAAATTATTTGATCTTTTGCTACTTATTCGGAAAGGGATGCTAACGAATGACAGGGTGAGCCCACAGATCTCCTTAGCAGTTTTCCGGGTTCCATTTTTAAATCGCTCCATTTCCAAACTTAAAAGCTTGGAAACGGAGAGAGGTGAAGAAAGTAGCCCTGTCAGTGATCTTGGTGGCGGTTCGAACCCAAACTTCTTAAATCGAAATCAAGAGTCAATTACGGAACCACTTAAACTACCTTTTAAAAGTAATTAATTTGGCCGTTCATATCTATAATTCCGATAAACACCTTTTTTCGCCTTACCTGTTCGAGTTCCGTCTAGGCAAAGCAATTTAAAATCTCTCCCTGGATTAAAATCATTTTCCACTCCAGTGAGTTCGAATACTGTAAGATGGCTGACAAAAGCTACATCCCCAGGGCCTTCTGTCAGGCAGCGGTATGCCCCATGATAACCAAAGTACCTTTCGGAAACATTTCGTGGACAAGTCTTCTGATTGGTACAAATTGCACACAGACTCGTGGGATTGCTGTTTTGTGGGTTGTATTCAGTCGAGAGAGCTCCTGAAGATGAACACAGAAGATTTAATCTCGAACGGTGATGGATCCCTACCTTAGTGTTACTTATAAGCGCTGTGGTGCGCTTTCAATGTTTTCCTAGTGCACTACATATCAGCCCGTGATACTAAAATCCCGGGATTAGATCCGGTACAGTATTTATTTTTCTTTGCGAGCTCAACATGCATAGATTGTTATCGATCAAGCAAGGAGTAAACATTTTATTCATCTTTACAAACTAGGACCTAAGCCTGAGATGTTTTTCAATGATACAACAATAGTTTTGTTTTTTGATTCTTCGCCATCAAATTAAATCAGTAACAGTATAGATCTATATATAATCAATATGAGTTTATCTCTAAATTAATTTTTTTTCAATACATAAAGAATTTACTAGATCCTCGAAAAGAAAACACATTTCACTTACAAGTGGAACAAGAACTTATGTCTTCACAACTCGAATAAACCACAAACCTGGCACGCAACTTTGATCAAAATACTCCCCAGAGGACTGGTAAGGATTACAACCATCCCACTGAATCACTCCTCTTCCAATCAGTAGTCCAACAGGTGCTGTCCACCCGACCGCGTCCCCCGCCGCTGGGTGGCAAGATTTCCTGTCCTTTAGCGAATTTATTGTTGCACCATCCGACAGATTGCTTTGAATAAGAGCAACAGAATAGCTTTCCAGACCTTCTTCGTGTTTGCCGTAGTCCTCTGCTACCACTGGTACAAGACCATGTTTAGAACCTAGTTAAATGGGAATTGACCTGGATCGATCGCTTGCCAAGCATTTAGTAATAAAGGAGGTAGGTGGCGGTATTTTGAGTGCTTTTTAGGTCGTCTAACATTGTCACCGACGGAGACCTTTAGTTAATGATTTGCTACGGTAGCATAGTCTCCTTCGCCTCGTCACGAAACGGAGAACGCGTTACACGATGAGACCAGACAACGGCTGCGTAGGAGACTAAGGGTAGCCAAGAACAGTGAATAATGAAAAAAGATGAGAAAGGAATATGTTTGTTTAATAATGGACTTCGGATTAACACTTAATGCAAACGACAAATTTTGCATTGATGCAATTCCTTTAAGATAGACTCCATTTCAAAACTTTCTTTATTTGTTTTCGTGGTTACTGTATTTGAGTGGGCTTGAGCCCTTTCACACTGTGAAGTCATCGATACATAAATTCTCCTAACAATTTTTAACTGATATCAAACAGACGAACGATGAGAATTATGGTGATTGTTAATCGCAGATGATGTTTGCTGTTTGCATTAAGCTCAAAACTCTTAGGGCTTAACATAAATAAATGTGTGATTATACGTGAGGGGAATTAGCTTTCAGATCTTAGGAGTAGAAGGGTTTAAAAAAATAGATTACATTGAGAGGTAAAGCCAGTTCCATGTTATCGGTCGGTGCGGAAAAAAATCGGAAAAGTGGTCGAGCAAAATTTGGTAGGAGTGCAAAAAAAAAAAAAAGAAAAGAAAAAAAAAAAAGAAAAGAAAAAGAAAAAGAAAAAGAAAAAGAAAAACTAGAAGAAAAAAAAAAAAAGAGTGGGAGGGGAAAGCATTTTTGCCCCGAAGTCCATTGCCCCCTCCATAAACTTACGCGCTCGCTTTTTCAAGATCTTCATTGAGACCCCCATAGTTCATCGCCATCGTCTACACAGCCTTGTAAATGTTACAATAACCTACCAGCCTGATAAATATTCTTCTCTCCAAGGGTGATGAAATCGGCATTTCCAGAGCCAACCATGTTAATACAATTTGTCACGTTGCTTCCATGGATACATGTCACCCTTGCGAACCGGGCGATCTGATGTGATGTCACATTCGCTAAGTGTAAACATTTAGAAACTTCCGCTTCTGAAATACAACACCAGCGAAATCCTGAGAAGAGATGAACGGGAAGGAAAAAAGTTAACGATGGTGACCAAACAAGTTTGGGCGAGCATTCCCATGAGGATGACGTCTTCTTTTTGATTCAGCGCGTGTAGTATTTTACAGACGCCGCTAATTATCCTAATAATGTTCACTCCACGCTTGATCGATCAAAATTTATGCAAGTTGAGCTCACAAAGAAAATGAAAATTTGCGATTCTGCTCTCCCTTTGGTAGGGAACATTTTCGTTCATGAGAGGACTGAGAAAAGGAAAAATTGTGTTGGAAAAAAATGAGACAAGCACCCCCTATCAAATTTTTTCCTCGAGAAAAAAAAGACCGCAGATAATTTATCTTCACATAATCTCACCAGAACTAATTTTAAGACTTCCCACAAGGAATCGGACTATAATTTATCCAACGGTTTTGAAAATCCTCTGTTATTGTTAGATCCCGTATTACCAAAAATCACTGGGCAAAACACTTATGGGTTTGAGGTTTCATCGCTCAAACAAAGAGATACCAAAAAAGCTACAAACAGCCTGAGAGAAAATGGTAGCAGACATACAGAGGGTGGAGAACACAAATGGCGTTGTCTTTAACTATCAAAGCGATGTACAGCGCCACTTAGTGACTTTATTGTTTCGAGACCAATTTACTTTTCAAACTACACCGTGTAGTAATACCAGCGACATGTTCAGTTTATCAACGAAATAAGAAATAACCGCGTGGTGCTCAGTCAAACGTACCACAGATAATCGCCAAGAAAGCGCGGCTGGAGACAGCCGCTTACAACAATCATCGTTGGTTTGTAAATAATCCACTAGATCAAACTGATCGATTAAATAGAATCAAATATTCATCTCACCTGCCGGCGTCGCCAACAAACTTAATATGTGGCCAAACGATAGAACAGTCACAAGCGATGTAAACAAGAAGTATCCGCGACACTTCATTGCAAGCTGCCTCTCTCCTGTGTGTGTATGTTTATGTGTCAACCGACTACCCAGGTTTCGAATGGATATGGCACAATCAAGAGTAAGGTTTGCTGATATTTCAGCGGTGACACTGCTACAAGCCAGTCTCTACTAAATACAAATACAATGACATTTCCTTGGCCTTTTGTCTGTGACGTGGGTGAAGTAACTAATAAACTGATTGTGGTTGGTGAAAAAAGCTTAGCAATCGTGTGAGAAATCGCGCATATAACGCTCGTGACGCAAATGTAGGTGCCGTCATGTTCGAAATTTTACGAATTCCGAAATTGTCACGATCCGCTTCAGCGACTTTCGGCGGCGACGGAACACCTGCCGTATGGTCATTTTGTATTTATTTTTCATCGTTTTATTTGATGTCTCCGACGAACAGCTTCGTCGAAAGTCGGAAACGTATCATAAACATTTTTGAAACACCATGTTAAATTTTCTTTGGTGAGGGTTACATAAAAACTGGTAAAACCCCATGTTATGGTGCCAGGGAAGATTAGAGGTTGGCGTGACATAGAGAAAAGAAAGAAAGAAGATAAGGGTTGATAAGGAGTTGGCGTGACATGACCAAAACACGACCGACTCAAATTAAAATTGACAGCTGGTTGCTGAGGTAACAAGCAAAGCCAACTCTAAAAGCCAAACATGACTGCGAAAAGTCGACCGAGGAGTTATTAATTTTTCAAATTATAATTTTGAAAGTTTCTTTACGGTAGAAAGTATGGCTGCGGTCAAAAGGAAGAAGAAGGGATTGAAGACAGCTCCTTTTGACATCTATATTTACATTGCTTGTACGGGAGAGAAGTTCTTGCTAAAAAATGTTCACGCCGAGATGAAGATTCGGGAACTAAAATGTTACGCAGAACTTGTTGTGGGAATACCTTACAACTTGCAACGTTTACAGTATCTTGATGAAGGAGATATGCTAGATGATTCAGATTTAAGACACAACGATGTCGTAGCAGGAGCCACGATTAATTTGAAACTATGGAGAATGTGGGATACACTGGTTGCTGCCGTGTGTAGAGGTTCAATAGATCAAGTTCTAAACGAAGGAGTTGTGGTCGAGAAGGGGTGGGAATCTTTAGATCCCCTGACTTACAGAAACAAGGTTGCTCTTGCCAAGGATAGAGCTTCAGTTGCACTTTTTATTGCTGCCCATCGTGGCAGAATTAACTTGATAAAAAGTTTGATAGATAATGGAGAAGCTGATGTAAATATGAAGACACCGTTTGGACGCACGCCGCTGCATGCTGCATCCTCTCAAGGACATTCGAACACGATCGATCTGATGCTCGAAAAAGGAGCATCTATGGACGAAATTGATGTTCAAGGCAAATCTGCCCTGATGATAGCGAGTCAGTGGGGCTTCAAGGATAGCGAGAGACATTTATTTTTATTTCAATGGCAGACAAGAGCGGCCAAAACCAAGCATAGGAGAGCGAGTAAATCTCTTATGATGCATCAACAATTCGACTCCTCTTTTCCAACGTGGTTGAAAGGGAAATATTCACAAGTGTACTTTTGTCAAACTCTGCCTCCAGGAGAGTTTGCCGGGACCGGGATCAGTGCTCCAAGGAGAAGACCAGTGGGAGAAGCTAACCAACTACGAGATTCCTTCTTTGAACAATCTTCCTCTGATCTTCTCGAACACCAGTTGCCTCCGATTGAAGGAGGGATGGGAATCGATGGTAAGATTGCTTAGATAGGCTGTCCGTCACTTCAAGGAAGGGTAACAATACTGTTGATAACATAGCATTGCGGGAAGGTGGTTTTTTATAAATCTTTTGGACACTACCCCAGAAGTTCCTCCTTAGAAGAGGGTCGGTTTTACAAGCTAAGTGTATAAAATTCTGTAGAGAATTAGCTACACAGACCTGTTCCATGGAATCAGTTTCTCTGTTTATGTAATTAGGGATTACAAAAATGATTGTTTTAAATGACTTTGTCAGGACAAAAAAATTATTTATCATACACTGAAATTGTTCCATTGCTCTGGTATGCCCTTCAGGTGCAAGATACAGCTTGGGAGGGAAGCCAGTGCTTCCACACATAAGGTCCAAGGAGAGACTTGCAAGCAGGTTTGTTGTAACATTTAAAACCTATTGTATGTTACTGTTGATGTATCTCAGCCTTTGGTCAAGGTTGAAAGGTAGTGTTAACTGCGTTCTATTATATTTTCCTCTCTTCATGAGATGCAAACTTTTATCCTCCTACTTGGAAAACAGACTGCTCCTATAATTTTTTCAAGGGGTCCAGGGGACACTTCTCACAGTCCTCTAATTTTCCCCTGAATGGAGGTTCTGACAGCTCTGTGCTAAAATGTAGGGATTCTTGTCAGTTAAGTGTTCACCTTTATTGTTTTTGTTTATTCGTATTTACCACAAATAAATGTATACTGTAAAACAAGTGAGCACATTGATTTCAGCATTGATAATGGACATTGTAAAATGGTGCAGTTCTGATTGGCTGAAAATGAGTGCATTCTTGCCACACTGAACTCGGAATTTTTTCCATTCTTTACTTTAGTAAATCACGAGACAGTTCCAAGTCTGCAACATTTGATGAGTGGCTAGAGGACAAAAAGTCCAAGAAACAGCAACAACAAAAGAAGGAAAAAGAGGCAAGACAAAGGAAAGAGATGGAATTAGAAAGCAAAAGACAATCAAGGATGGCAGGCAAAAGCTTTGAAGACTGGAAAAACTCAAAATCACAACAAAAGCAAGAGCTACCAGGCATTGAAAAAAGAAGAGATGATATAGTACGAGAAGAACCAGGGCGCCAATACAGTCTGACTTTTGAACGTTGGTTAAGCAAAACAGGAACCTTAGATCTTCACAGTCTCAGCAGCTGAACATAAATTGAAACCAACTGTTACACATTGATGCACATCAAGCATCAAGGGGGATCTACTGATGAATTTGTAATTGATTCATTAACCCTTTAACTCCCACGAGTGACCAAGACATAATTTCTCCTTACAATATCAATACAATATTAACCAGATAATTAATGAGAATAAAGAAAATATCAATTTGGAGATAATTAGTTGATTCAATACTAAATTCTCTGAACTAACATGATAAGAATTGTATGATTGATGGTAAGAACAACAAATTTGATCTGGGAGTTAAAGGGTTAACAGCAAATTCTAACATTGAATCCATCAATGAAAATGTTATGCCACTAACAAATTAAAAATGCATCCTCGTAAGATCACTATTATTTTTATAAAATAGCAATAATAAAATGTTATTTTTCATCCTTGCAACATAAGTGTTTCATTTATTTTTGATTACAGTACTTAGTTACACATCCATGGATAAAAGATGTCAAGCCACTTTTTTTCAATCAATTTGATGTAAAAATGAAAATCAAAGGGTAGAGACAAGGTAACTATTGAGATGACTAATTGTTCAAGTTTGTTGACTTGAAGAAAATTCTTACCATTACTGGATGGCAAATTTGGTATGCTGGTTTGCTTGCATGCTGCATAAAAGAGCCTACAAGATCCCAGGGTAGGCAGAGGGAACAGCAGTACTCTTGGGATAAGTTGTGTTGTTTCTAAATTACAAGTAGACATAACATCAACAAGAATGATAGACTTTACTGTAAGCCCATTTTAGATCTTTATTTTCAAATTGCAAAACTAATGTCAGTATGTTCTAAATGCAATCAGTTTGGAAAAATGTTTTAACCACATATAATAATTCCATACCCTCAATCCCAAATTATTTGGAGACACTATCTATTTAACTTTTTGTTTTTCCTCAACTGATCACTTCACTCTGATATAAAATGACCTGCACTTTGTTGGAGTGAGCTGGGTTACCCAGTGTTTTTCTGGCCTAAAAGCTGGAAGCTGGCAAACTATGTCACTTCTTGTGTAGCATTATACCTGCTACCTAAGCCATTTAGACAAAATACCATTGTAAAAGAAAAAAAAAAACCAATGTAAAATGAGTGAATGACTTCATACCTTATGCCACCTACTCTTCCAGCTAAAATTTACCAACAGTACCTCCAAACTTATGATATCAGTAAGATACTATGTCCAAACAATTAAAGATCTAGTGTCCAAAAGGTAATCAAACAACGATACAAAAATATTGAGAACTAGTGCAAAAAGTTGAGGTCATGAAATAGATATCACGTACAGTTCCAGATCAAAGTACATCAACTAAGAAACATACCACTGGCAAACATTATATATTACATTGAAGACATTGTACCTAAGTGTGCAATGGTGCTTACCTAAATTGTCCACTTTTTCAAACTGCCTTCTGAACATATCTAACACCCCAATGCTGACTAAAATGTATTCCTATGTAAAGTGGTTGCAATTGCCTTCTCTTAACAGCTTAGCTCCCCCCTGCCAAGATTTATTACTGTGTAGATTCTTCCCTCAATATCAATATATAATCTTATAAATAGGGGATGAGAACAGAGATTTATCAGCTTCTGCATGTTACCTTGATATAGCACCAAATTCTCTTGACTCAAGTCATTTAAAAGGAAATGTAAAGCATATAGTTGGGAAGGTTAATAATAAGATTTTGGGAGCTAAAGTGTTAAAAAAGGCATGCAAAAACATAATATTAATGTATAGTGCAACTTTTAATTTTAACATAAATGACCAAGGAATGCTTTGGTTTCATTTCACTTGGTGCTATGATTGGCTTAGAACACTTGTGCCATCCTCTTAACAAATCAGATTCAAAAATTAAAATTAATTGCAACTGACTGTTTCTCATTTTCCCCCTCATAAAGCAGTTTGCTTGTTTCTATTTGGTGTTATCATTATCACCTTGCAATATTTTCCTTCACCCAGACTGGTTGTTTTGATTACTCTGGCACTAGTTTAACAACACTTAAAAATGTAGTCTATAAATTACAACATTAGATGGGTGGAAAGACTGAGTAATTTTATTAAAAACTCAAAGGATACTAGTCAAAAAGTTAGCAAAAAATTGTTGTAAGTATTGATCAAATGAGTAAACTATAGATAATTTTTTAAATCAAAGTTTGATTTATGACAAGTGGTTCATTTCATTTTGTATCAAGAAAAAGGATTTTGATATCTAAATTTAAAACATAGAAATTCCTCTCACCTAGAAAATTGCTCTTGAGTTTAAACTATACATTCACGTATATTCATGTAACAATATTTCTACATTGATTTGTCACCATAATGAGTTTGGAATGATACATGATTATATAGACACAATGCCATCTTCATCAACTGTTGGGTGATCTTCTTCATCACTGTCTGGGATTTCTTCTGCCAATTCATTGTGGTAAGCGTGATGCATTGTTGGTGATCCTGTAGTAAGTACTGGATTATGAATAGAATGTGTTGCTAAATTTGTAAGGCTCTGTGATTTCATGCGATCTGGCTCAGCCCGATTCAGTCTTCCAAGCACTGGATTGTTAAACTGATTTGAAGGTTTCACAGTTATAATAAGGTTGTGGCTATTTGCGATCATCATGTCTGTTACCTGATCCAAAGTTTTCCCTGCCACTTCAATACCATTAACTTCAAGAACCTCATCATTTACAGCCAACAAACCAGTGCTTTCTGCAAGCCCACCAGGGACAAGCCTTGAAATAAAAATTCCTGGAACCTGTTCTAGTCCACTAGGTGTTACACGAACACTGGTTCCATCTCGTATATAAAACCCTAGTGGTTTATCTGTGTTGTGCTTCAATAATTTAACCCTGCGCTGGGTTTCAGGGATAATGTCCACGTCAACAATTGCAGAAACTCGCCGGAAATCCTGAGGGCCACTGATTGATATCCTACTGAGATGGGATTTGGCTGGGTTTGTAAGATTTGATAACAAGTTCCGACGCCTTGGTACTTCAGGGGGTACGGCATTCTCTTCAGGGACGCCACCTCCTGAAAAAAAAACATTACCTTATATTTGTAAGGATAGGAAAGTGTTTACTATTCATTAAAAGCTTAAGACCCAAGCAGCAACCAGTTTCCACTGTAGTGTCTCAGAACATCCAATAGGGAAACTAGAACTCCAAAATCAGAACTGGCTGAGGTATGATTCAATGCTCACAGCAGACCCAATTATGTTTCCCCTATACTAAATTACTCATCACAAATACTTCATATCCTTCTCTATTTAAAGGCCAAGTGTAAAATTTCCTGTCTTCCCAAATCTACATGCATTTGACTTGACGTAAAATACCATTTTCTTTAGTTTCAAGGCACATAAGAATGAAGATTAGAAACAGATACATTGGTATCATGCATTTGTGTACTAGCATTCATTTCAGGAGAATGTCATGGAACAGTACATCCAAGAATATTAAGTAATAATACACGTTCATAAAACAGCTTTATTTCTGTACATTCTAAAGGGGGTAAGTTTTTAAAGACACTGTGGCAATGGATCAGTGAGATAGTATAACAGAGTAATTTACTATTATCAACTGAATTGATAACATAAATTGGCCACCATAACAGGGCGTGAAATTGTGCCTAATACAGGCACCAATGTGACTAAATTTTTCACTTTGGCGACCAAATCCTGAAAATTAGTCGCCAAATTGGCTACTAGAATGTTTCATCATAACCTTACCAAAAGATATAGTGAATTAAAAAGATTTGCAAAGATAAATCCACGGAAACTTCCTCGTTAAGTTTGTTTCCAAAACACAGCACATGCATCTCAATCGATAACTAGAAGCCATCTTGGATTAAGATGAGCTTGAATGTTGTATATCATCCATCCTAGTGTCCACTTTGTAGCACATTAAAGACCTTTTCCTTAACTTAATTTTGGAGGGTCTATCTAGTATGCTGATAGCATAAAGAAAGGTCTTGTCTGTCTTTAAAAATAGCGACCAACTTTCTTTGAATTGGCTACTACTTTGAAGAATTTAGGAGCCAAGTGGCTATCAGAAAAAAAAATGAATTTCATGCCCTGCATAAAGGGTTTAAAAGCTGATGTTTCAAGCATTAGCCCTTTGTCAGATGCTCACAGCAAAAGTTGGTTAATTGCCAGACAAAATATTTAACTACCAGAAGCTGCCCATAGTGGAATTATATCAATTTGTGATTAAAAATCTTTCAACCCCCAAAAAGACACACAGCTCTTTTAAACTTGTCCCATGGCATGAAATTTATACAAGAAAAAGCATTAATGGATTCCTGAGACAACACAAATACTTCTTGAAAATGGCACTTATTAATCACTTGGAATTTTCAAATGCTACAATCAAAATCCAGTAGTGAACAGATTCACTGCCTGAAGATAAGTATAGATAGACCAACTATGAACACTCTCATCATGAAGGAGATGAGTAAATTTATATGTTCTCAAAACATGTTTGAGACAAATGTAAATAATCTATATACCCACAATAAATTTCCGTCTGAAAGCTTAGAATCTGAAAATAGAAACCTTATTGGTTTCGCAATCAGAAACTAAGGGTGACTTCTACTGAAGTGTTTGCAAAGGAGTTGCTTTTCACTACTATCCTAATAAGGGTGCATGTCACAAATGTGAGATGTCTCAAAGAACAACATATTAAACAATATGTATAAGTAATTCCCATTAATCTCCACAATTATGGTACAAAGGAAGCTCTTGTTATCAAATTTAGGGTTGAGTAATACATGGGAACATTTTTTTGGTTGATGAAAGTTTGACTAATTCACAGCAAAAAAACATGAAAGGCAAAAATATGGAAATTTTAGTGAAAACTTCCCTGTCACATGAAGAGTATCTAGACAAAAATACATAATTTCAATGTCAAGACGAAAGCAAAAACAGCTAATGAAATTATGGTTCAATAGTCCTTTGAGTAAACAAACTACAACATCAGACTTTGTCTTAATTGAATTTAACTTGGTAAATTCCCAAATGGGTTTAATTTATCTAAGACATGTCTGGTCTGCAAAAGAGCAAGTCCTTTAAGACAAAAAATTAAAACTGAGTTTAACTGCTCACTGAATTTTAAAAGAACGATAAGAATTTCAAGCTAAGCCGATAAAAGTTGAACTGTAAACCGATGATTTTAGGAACTAGTCAAAATTGAAATGAATCGTTTTAGGCCAGAATTGAGAAACTTAAATCACCCAATACGACTGAACTCGACTAGAAACTAATTTAAGTCATATTTTTCGTACCTTTGCGTTGGACGAAAACCCGCAAAAGCGGCCTAGCCGTTGTCACAGCCCGTAAGAAGTTATCATCGTTGTTAATTGGGAGTAGGTCTCCATACATGTCCGTGTACCATGTTGAGAACGGAATGGATTGTAACTTGTGAATCGCCTGTACATGCTTGTAGAAATCTTCATACGACGTCAGTCGCGTTTTATCTAAGGGAAACCTGCGAAATTCTGCATCAAACTGCGGAGAGAAGATAGAGATTTCTTATCGACTCGGAATGACAGTTCCTATGCTTTACTATGCACGATTCGGTTTATGATGAAAGATTCCTCGCAAGCGACTGTTTACCTTCGATTTTACTTCGATGATACTTAGGTCTAATTGTGTAGGTACTTTCTTAGATCCTTTGAGTAGCTTGGACATGAGGAATTATGCTTCAAACTGTTCCACTGGTGGCGCAAAATAACCTGCATTCCACAAATTGAATCAAACCAACGTAACTGCGCACAATTACTGCGCATACACAAGGTCATGCCCGCGGGGGTGGGGTCGCGTTTACTTAGTAAGGGTTATTTTTAGCTCATAAAGGTTATACTGGAAGCAATTTCTTTAAGAAGAAGGAAACATTGATCATTCGAGGCACGTTTACTTCTTTCTCGAAACTCTTCGTATTTGAAAATAACGCCTGAACTCGTTGAAGATATAGCTCGAATTATGTCTTACATAATTCATCAACTGAGATCGACGAAAATTATCAAAGGACTGACGGTTTCCTGAATACTCTCACGTATTAAGTTTTATTAGAAAACATTATTTAGCTGCGCGGGGAAAATGCAGTTGAAAAATAACAAAACAAAAAGATTATCTCCAAATAATAAACAATTAGTTCATTGCCCTGGCATCATACACGTTAGGACAGTATTCATGTTTCAAAATCCAAAAATACGGAACAACATCCACAAAACCACCAACGATTAAAAAATTCAGTTGTCTCCTATAAAACGAAAGTATCTAACAAAAAAAAAGTTGTTTTAACTCTTTGACTCGCACGATCTGATCGTTAATTCCCCCTCTAGCTGCTGCGCATTTCCTTGTAAATAAGTTAAGAGAATTTGGAGTGAAATCAAGACAACAAATTCTACCTGATAAGTTAGAGTATTCTCATTACCTGCTTGCTGGATAATGTATGGATATTGTAGAGAGTAGTTACATGTTAATCATTTTCGGGAGTTTAAGGGTAGGGGCTGAATTGTTACTGCTATGGCAAAGTGTGAGTCTTTAATGAGCAAAATTTTCAAAGAAACTGTGGTGCTGCGTCGGTGGGAGAGTATAGCAGGTAATTTAGAGTAGATTAGCGATTATTCTAATCGCTCTGACGAAGGGCTAACGCTCGAAACGTCAGCTTTTTTACCCTTTACGGTGGCTAATTTACGTTTTTAACCCAGTTGTCAACACTAAATTACCTGCTATCTATCATCGATATTATTAAACGTCCAACTGCAAAACAAGTATTTAACGTTAAGTTATAGCATAACCAATACAAGAAGGTCTATTACTCCAAGCATGACCCACATCCTCCTCCGCAATTAATTGTCTTTTCTTTATCTGCGCTAAAGCATTTAACATACCTGTAGATAACAGTTAAAAATGCAATGACGGAGGGAAGAATCAACGTATTTCTGGAATTCAGGTTGAGGGTCACGTCTAGCAGACGACACCGCAGAATATGAAAAATTTTAACCCTTAGGGAAGAAGTCAAATTTATTGTCATTACTAGTATGTTTATCCACGATTACCGTGCGATTTCGCATCATTGTAATGTTTTATGACCCTACCCAACGACTTACATTCTTACTCCCTTACCACCTTTTCCCTAAAAATCTAGGTTGGCTTCCTTTCCCATTGCGAAGCTATGAAATAAAAAGCATTTATATGCTAAAATTATGCTTATTAGCACCACGATCTACATCCTTGAAGATCCAGGAGCTGAAAATATGAAGATAAACTCGGCCGTGCGGGAAAAACGACGCAATTCAGATAAAATGAGCAGCTCATTTTGTCTGACTCAGCTCGAGTATGCAGCATCTAAGAATATCATTCTCAGACATAATTGCTGGAGACTAGGATTGCTCTACATGCAGTGTGCTGAAGTGGAAAGGCTTTTGTTTGTCGTTGGTGTAATGTGTCTGCTTGCTATGTTCGCTTATTGTGTTGCCAAAAGGAGAAAAAGAAAAAAAAACATATCTTCCTGTAATACGTTAATAAATAAATAATCAAATATATATACAAATAAATTAGACAGTTCAAGAATAAACCATAAGGAAATGAATGAATACATATAAGTATACAAAATATGTAACTACATTGGCCGATGCATGTATAATAAAAAACAGTGCACATAGATAGTACTACGTTATCGTACTCAACAGAGAGAACCTCTGGCTTAACCTTTTACGACGCAATGAGAGTCTACCATAAATAAATGGTCTAAGTTCGAATATCAACGTGTTCATCGCTTAAACTTACAAAGTACAAGAAACTTTGGATGTGTCATACACAGTAGAAACAAAGCCCCGAGGAAGCAATTAAAATTCCTGTACCTTTATTGGTGCGAATCGAAACTTTTAAATAAAATTGGCGATCAATTATAACGATTTCAGTCTTGAAAATATTTTGACTTTCGAAAAAAATTATTAGTTCTCGTTCCATGGCGTCTTCAGCCTGGAAAACGCCTCCACTCACTTGAGCTGGTATGCTGCTATCGGCCGGTATTTCAAATATGCATTTACTTTGACCAGTGACAGGGTAAGGTCTCGCCTCTACTCTGTCTTTTTGCTTTGTTCTCTCTTTTGCATCCCTTTAAACACAATACGATCATAATAATACAGATAGAATGCCAGCACAAATCTGAGTGGTCCCATCAGAATAACCTGCGAGGAGAAAGAAGATCAAAATCAACATACTTAATCAAATCCCACCGCTCAATATCGTGCGCATCGAGAATATGAAGTACGCTCGCGCTGTTGAATGAGATTACACCAATTGACTAACCATGTTATAAAACGGCTTTTAGTTACAAACATACATTTTCTTTTCCTACTCTAATATCCCAAAGGAGTTGATCATCCTGAACGTAATTATTTGTAAGAGGTGTTTTAAAGGATGCAGATGACATCGCCTCCTTGAACGGTCGCTTCCAGTTCCGTCGCCCTCAAGTGAAGTTCCGTCGCAACATTGAGATGGTTGGTTGAAGGTTTTGATACTAGGGCCGTCGTTAAAAGAACCATTAAACCTTTAAATAAACTGAGGCCAGTAGTTGGGGGCGACACAGCTTCAAGTTTGGGTCGACCCAACCGTATTTCGAGACATCGGAGCTTTCCATGAGGGCTACGGAACAAGGGGCGACCGTGCAATGGGGCGACGTCACCTATCACCTTTGAAGAGAAGCAACGTACTTGTGTTAGTAGCTCCATTAACGATGAGATCGGAGCCAAACCTGCTGTCAACGTGCTCACTACGTATCCATCAAAGCCACATGATATCATGAATCGTCTGTCCTGAATGACAAAAAAAAATGAATATCACAACCTGTTTGAGATTTGCCACTCGATGTGACAATAAACCGACAAAACATCTTGACAGACTTTAAAGCAATTCCATGGAATAATTTATCGCCTACCCCAGGTTTTTGGCAATTTTAACCATTTTCGTCTTAAAGCACCGAGAATTAATAGTGGACCAAAGAACAGCAAGAATACTAACAATAAAGCGTTAGGCGACCCCGCTCTTCAGAGCGGCAAAGACTAAGTTAACCGTCCCACGGGATAATTAATGACCTTGAATGCAATTACGATTGTATTAGAGGGAAAATAAATAAGCAAGAATTCAAGACGATATAGCTAAGGTGGTACCGTCTTGCAACTCACTAAACAGCAAGGAAACGATCATTACTCATCGCCTGAGGGGTTCGGAGTATTTTGATTGAGTCACAATAAAAGTTACATTCTAAACCTCTGTAATATTCGTATGATCCCCCTCATTGACATTCAATTGTCCACCGTCCCCTCCCTTTATACTCTGTCGACGACGACTGATCCCCCTTCCGGTGCCCCTGACAACCCTGTGATCCCCCCAAAATCCTCCATTCCCCAGATGTCTGGTCTTTAAAGGAAACGACCTGTAGCGAATTACCCTCCACAATCATGTAACATGTTTATATACCTTGATCCCTACAACTATGTTACTTGCAACTTGTTCTGGAGTAAAAAGACCTCCTGAGCTACTTATTAGATGGGTTTCTTCAGGCTGAAATGCAATAGGAAGGTTATGTTGTTAAGTTATTCATAGCCTTTAGTTTCCTTAATATGAAAAAAAAAATTCATTTCAATCAATGATAAAATTGACAGAAAACATATTCAAAAATATTCAGTTAAGCTCTCAGACATATTGGCTATAGCACCCAAGTATGCTGAATCAACACTCTTTGGTCAGTTTCTGCTTTTTTACCTTGTTTTTATTCTCATTTTCAAATCCTGGTGTGTCTGTGTCTGGTGGAAAAGCCACAGAGACAGCAATATCATAAGGCTTCACCTACCAAAATATATAAGAGTTTGAAGGGAGGTTAAATTTCTCCAAGATTTACCTAGTGCCAATCTGCTGCAAATACAAAATCTATGTTCTGCCCTTTAGCTTGGGAAAAAAAAAAACAAAAAAAAAAAGCAAAAAATAACAGAGAGGAAGTAACTTTTTTGAGTCATAAGCTGAGGGCATCATCAAACCAGCACAAAGGAAAACAGATTGCTAAAATCAGAAGATTTACACAAAATCTTCAATAAACTCCCACACATCTGCTCAAACATGTTTTACATACTAAGCCAACATGACTTATAAGCACTGCAGGAAATTTTTCAGCTCTGTTGCTTCAGCAGCACTAGCTCAGAGACTTAGAGTAATGTATAAATAAGTAATGGTATTTCATCAAGTTTAACTGCCATTACCCATCTAGTATACTCTAGGAAAGAAAAATTATCCCTGTGAGAGTACACTGTCTTGCTCATGATCACAGTAAAACTATAGTAGAGTCTGGAACTCAACCCTTGTATGATCCAGAGTTCCATGACCTGGAGGCAAATGCATTTACCTCTAACAGTTATATGCCTGTAGTTATACCCATTTCATAAGCAATTAATCATAGAATAATTAATTCATATTGACAGTTATTAACAAGAGGCATGCCTTGGTGAAAAGAACCAAGGATTTAGATACCTCCATGAACAATGTTTCTGCAAAACCCCTAACTGCAAACTTTGAAGGTGAATAAGCTGTAAATCCAAATATACCAAACTGAAAAACACCAAGACAAAATCAAATCAAATAATCATGCACACGAAGAAGCAAATTTCCTGATTCAAATTTTCCCTTCCTTTTAAAGTAAGACATAGGCTCGATTACCAGCCATTGTTCAGGAACATGAGCCCACGCTCCTTCCCCCCAAAACCACATGGAGAAGAGGAGACCAGACACAAGAGAGTGGTGGAAGTCAAGCCCAAGTAAGACATTGATCAGGTGTGAACACAAATCTCTGTGAGTAAAATTACTTAATGAAAGACAGTAATTTATTTTAGACTAGAAGCTTTTAAATTTTAATATAAAGTTAGCTCAGTCTATAATTGTAGCCAGTGGCTAGTATCAAGTTATGGTGTTACTTTAATTAGAAATGTCTCAATCGCACCAGACAGCTTTCAACAAAGAGGGAGCTGTGAAGTATTTGACCATCATGAAATCGCCACAACTCACAATTAGAACCCTACCCTACTTACCTGCCCTCCTATTGACGATACAAACACAAGGTGACCTTTTCTCCGCTGCTTCATCCTTTTTATGACAGCATGACTTGTGAACACACTAGCCAAATAGTTAGTGTTTATCATTGCCTGTAAGATTTTACAGAATTTTACACATTTTTAAGTTTTGTTTTTTTTCTTTAATAAACTGTCATAACCCTTGTAGAAAATGTGCAAAAGAATAAGAAGTTCCTGCCTCTGTAACTGAGACACCAATTATATAAGGGGAAAGTTAGGTTACTTTTACTACCTTGTGTACAAAGGTATTCATTACTAAAAGTAGAAAAAATAAATATACTTTTTTTCAAACTACTAGATATATGCTGAAATTCAGCAAACCTTAGCTGGTTTTAACATCTTTAAGTCTTCAAATTGAAAGAAGGAAATGTTGTGGGAAACCATCAAGCACCATATTAATCTCAATTTGGAATTTCATAAAGACATTCAATGGTGGTGCAAATTTTTGTGTGCATATAATGGTGTGTCCGAAAGTAAGATATGGTTTCGTAATAAAAGCTGTCAAACAATGCTTTTCTTCTGTTTTTGATAATCACATCTCAGACAACAATTTGATGATAAACTTTAGTCTCAAATTCAACCTTAAAATCCTCAATTGAAGTTTCTTCAAACAAGCCACAGACTGCAAAGCCAGCGCAGTTGATAAGAATGTCTATTGGGCCTAAGGCTTCAGATGCCTGCAAAACAAAAACAAACCAACAAACAAGAAAATTCATTATGTCTACCTTGCACTCTGATCACAACTATTTAAAATATATATAACACTATGTCTGAAAAAAAAAGTTATACTTCTGACAACTTATTACAGGCATTAGAAAATTATTGCAATAGATTTTTTTGCCAATGAAGGAGAGGAGCTGTTATATTTGATGCAGTTACTTTAAAACCAGATTATTCAAAAACACTATGTAACCCATTATATATTACTAAGATAAAAATAAATTCGTGAGATTCAATATATTTCACAGATGAAATTTTGACCAGTATGTCATAATTTTCAAACAAAGTATTCGATCAATGTTGGTGCAATGTTAATGTCACATTTCACCCTATGACCCCTAAGAGTGTCTAGCATCTAATTTCTCCTTACAATATCACCCTTGAATCAAACATTAAGGTCATGAGAATAGAAGAAATGATCACCAACTAAAGCAGCTCCTGATTATTATAAGAATTCTCTTTGTTAGCACCCTTAGGAATGTATAGTGAATAGTATGGAGAATATGGATACTAATATGAGGGGGTAAAGGGTTAAGATGAACATGATTATTGGGCAGCCACAGTTGAATCACTTCAACTTTTCAAGCAAATCATCATTATTTTGAAGTAATAACAGCAACATCTTTTTAATAGAAATATTTCAATTGTTGAATTGTTTCAATATTAAATAGAGATTAAGGGAAGTGTCTGTTCTGTGTTTATTAATAGACACAAATAATATCAGAATGCAAATGTATCCCATGTCTCTAAGAGTCAAGGTAACCTACCAGTAGTTTAAAAAAAGAAAAGTAGTCTATGAAAAAAGTCATTTATTTTAGTGTTATATTTTTTTCTTTTATCTGAAAGAGGATGCACCTACCTGATCTAAAGTATTCTCTACATCTTCTGCATTAGTAGTAAGATCTACAGACAAAGCTAAGACCTGAATTGGAGTACAGACTTTCATGAATAAAGCAGTTAAAAAAAGTTCAAGTGATATGTTCATCAGCATCTGACACACGAAGCAAGTCTTCCAAATTAGAGATTAATTCAAGCAAGTGGAAAGATTATTGTACCTTCCTCTCTGGAGCTAGATGTTTCTTCACTTCTTTTAATGTTTCCTCTAGTCTACTCTGGAATGGGAAGTAATTCAAAATAAATAGTTACACTCTCATCAATCAGTAACAGAGAAATCAAGATTTTAGAGTAGAGAAACAAGTTCACAAAACATTCACATTAATTTTGGAGAAAGTACAGAATTGCCAAGATATAGCCAAGAGAGGTAGTTTATCTAAGAAACTGGGTAGCTCTGAGGGCCTCATAAGTTCTTTTAGATCCAAGGAAGATCAAGGCTTCCTCCCCCACCTCCCACTGGGAAATTCTTAATTTCTTCCTGTCATCCAGTTGCAACTGATGGAGCACCACCAGGATATTAATCATTGACATGCATTATAACTCCTGGAATATAATTTAGCCTGAAACAAGGGATGATTTCCAAAATAGGTCCCTCAACTAGCATTTTAGAGGTATTAGGGGGTATAGCAAGTTGGTAACCTTGACCCTTTCCACCCTAACATCAGTATGCATATTCTCTATACTGCTCTCCATACATTTCCTGGGGTGCTGACAGGGAGAATTTGTTTAACAATCAAGAGCTTCTTTTGTTAGTGGTCATTTTCTTTATTCTTAATTGACCTTAATGAGGGATTCAGTGGTGATATTGTAAGGAGAAATTAGATGCTAGTCACCCTTAGGGGTTAAAGGGTCAATAAATTTGTTTTCACTCTTTCATGTTAGAGAGAGATAATATACACACCCTTCACCCACCCTACCCCCCCCCCCTCTACAGTAAGCAACAAAAGAGGATAAATACTTCCTTGAAAAAAAGACAGTTGTAAAAACAATCATCTATCCATCCTTTTTTCACAACAACTGCCTCTTATATACGTTAGCCCTTGCTCTATTCAATGTTTAGAAAGAAAAAAAACACTCTTGGTGATAGATAGACAGCACATCATTTGTGAATTAGGGTGACTGGGGTAGAATCTAAAGGGTGAGAGGTACAAATAACCCAAAATTCAGAAAAATAGGTGTCTCAATCGTTTTGTCACTAATGCAGCTAAGCCTGTAATGAAAAGTTGTTCTTGAGAGGGATGGGGTGTGGTCCTCAGGAGGGGTGCAGTGTCTGGGCTGAGCTAAATTTCCTGTAGCATTTGGTATCGTGATAGGAACGTAACCAATTATTTATTTTCCGATGTCACTCTCTATAATATATACTTATGAGAAACCCCACGTTACTGACGCGAACTGAGAGTACACTAGTCATATGATGATCAGCATGGATTGACCACGTGAACGCAAGTTATGATCGAAGACGAAAAATACATAAACCTTACCATATTTCGAGCGATAATTGTCACGTTGGCTCCACATTTGGCCAGTTTTATCGCTAAAGCCTTTCCAATTCCACTTGACCCACCAGTAACCTGAAACAAACAGAAGACAAAACACTCACCACAATAAATTCAACTTTTGCGATCTGTTCATTCTCGTTTCCAGAGTTTCCGTCGAAATTTGCAGAAACAGTTTCAAATCTTACCACAGCATGAGCTCCGTTAATTTCAGTTTTCTTCGTATTCAAAATGTCAATGAGAAAAAGGCTCGATACACAGGCGAGAGCTGCAATAATGACCCACTCCAACATCTCTGTTGTCTTTTCATCCAAATGCCTTCTGACGAAAACTAAACAACATACAAAACAACTAAGAGAAATACCGCTGGCCAAATCTCATTCTAGCAAAGTAACGAGGGCGATTGACAGTCCAAGCAGGGCTCCCTCTGTCGTTGAGAAATGATTACCGAGAAGAGAAAGGGCAAGAAAGAAAACGAAAAAGGGACGAGACTGGGCTAATTTCTGACAGCTCGGGTTTCACTAGATAATAACTGCCCTTGATTTAGGGCTCAAGGTGACTCAATTCCAGAATGTGTTAACCTCTCATCCCTCGCTTTTACAAACAGGAGACTGTGCTCACACATAATTGGGGTCACAGCTTTGACAAGTTGAACTCTAAAGCAACTATCTTTATTTCAATCTCTCTGTATGTTGACATATATTTTTTTCTAGCATGACCTTCAACACAAAATGTATATATACATTTGTAAATATCCAAGTTTATTTGCCAGCAACATAACATGAGTAATTGAAGGTGCCATTGTGGGGCATACTCCCCCAGGAAATTGTGAAAAAAAAGAAATTATTGCAGCAAAGATGTGCATCCCACATTCCAAAGTTAGTACGCCGGAAAGAGGTAGTAAATTATAATACAACGTTAATTAATTTTAATGCTACTTGATTAATTTAAGCAGCAGTTTGCTATCTTAAAATCAACATTTTAAATCACAAACTTTAAATGCCTTTATCAAATCACCAATATTTAAATTAATTTCTAATTTGTACTTCAGCAGAGCATGTTATTTAAAAATTTTAACTTCTGCATCAACAGCTTTGGTAATAAATATTACCTTTACTGAATAATAATGATAATAAATGAGTACATTGACAAAAACTACCAGCATTTATCAACAGCTTCAAATTGTGCTATGGTCCACAACTTCTGTCATTATTTTATTATCATTAATGTCTTTGTTTATATATTTTTTCTTGTTAACACTCTAGCAACAGTCTACAGTCACACCCCACATTGGTGTTTGTCTTTTTTCCTAATATTTAGTTTCCATCTTACATTATACATTGATGCTCAGATTTATCTGCCCTCCAGAGTATTGTTCTTCAATATCTTTTCTCTGATTGATAAGCTTAATAGGAAGTTCAGTGCTGTTTTCTAAAAGTCCATGTGTCCTAGAATCCCTTAGAGCAAACAGAGTAATCCCTGATTTGTATGCAGCAGGAATAGTGATGTGTGTTGTTAACAGCTCTCTGTGTTTAATTTCACTTCCATGAAGTAGAAGAAGTGTTTCTTCTTTTACCATGCGATTAATCTGCTCTTGGACTTTCAATTCAATCCACCTTTGATTTATTCCATCAGAGTTCCAAGAAGAATAGTCAATATTGTTACTCCATCGCCGTATGATGTCATGCCGGCGAATGAGAAGAACGGATTCACTGCAAAGCTGTTTAGATATTTCATTAAAGGGGCACACTGCCTCTGGATTAGTAAGATGAACCCCATTGCTGCTCACACCACAAATAACTTGATGATGCCAAGCATCTGGTATTGTTCCATCAGTCAAAGGAACCTTTTGACAATTTAAGGTTGCTACAGGTATGGCACCATGTACGAGCCAATATTTCAGCCAATTTTCTAAGTCAAAGTCACGTTCAGGGTACGTGTGAAAGAACTGCCCAACAATTTCTCCACAGGTTAGTTTTCCTAGGCCCTCGATGAGATCTATATGTGTTGTTCCCGCAACACTACGAGATGAAAGATATTGTGGTAAAGGAGCTTCAAGATCTCTTAGCTTGGTTTTTACTGCATTATTTGCCTCATCCACTGATGCAGATCTTCCAAGCAATTTCTAGAAGCAAGGTGTAAGGCGTTAGGAGTGGCATCATTCAGTTATTACCCTATTTTTACAGTTTTTTAGCCCAGCTAATTTCCCGTGCAGCAGGTGATTTTGTACTTTACATTTTGAAAAGTTAACCTGAAGTATAGGGCACCATTTTTTTCTCTCGATCGCTTCTCCGATGCAACTCGGCTGAAACACGATCTCCTATGAAATGGCAGACGATTTGATTGAGAAATAACAGATACATATTGTTGCCATTTATTGTAACATATATTTGTACAATTTTTCAACTGAAGTGCAATGATTGGCATTGTCCTTTCTGGCCGAAAACAATCTGAAGAGAGCGACAAGGCGTTTTTTTCGTTTCATCGTTAAGGTCACGCACGCAGGTGCCCTTATTTTGATTGAGGGTAAAAAGGGTACTATTATTTTCAAAGGCTCAGTTTTAGCAAATGCCAACTTTGAAATCCAACAAAATGACTTTACTAGCGAGGCATGTCTGGTCTACATGCTAGGCAACTAGGTGCTCTCACATACACTGGTATTCGCATATTAAACATACTCTACAGATGCACAATTAAACTACTTTACCAGAACATTTAAAACTGCTGTAGCTCCACAAGCAGATGCACCGACTTGTTCTATCTGCTTTTTAGCCACCTCAGTCTCGTCCCAGAGGACAACTCTCTCAGGTAGCTTAACGTCACTTAGCGCGTAAAATGTCGAAGGATGTGTCGCCATGTTTTGATCCCATCGAGGAGCATCAACAAATCACAATAGATCTGTGTAGGGGAGGAGCGCAGCTTGCAAATATTATCATTCCTCTAGGGAGGGAGGTTCAGTGGTTTCCTTTGACCTACCTTGCCACCATTTTTCACCCCTCAATTATAGACATTTTGAAGACATCTTCACCAGTTTTACTTAATTAAATAGGAAGTACTGTTTTAAACAAGATTTAGTGGGGGAATTTGAGGAACCGGCTCAGTTCAGTATTAACAGGCCCTAAAAGAAACTTCTCCGCAACCCTGTCCTTACCTGTGTCCAATTAGTGTTCCTGCTCAGGAAGAAACCGCTGACAATGAGGAGAGGAAAAGTTCGTTGACTTTATCTCCAAAATATGGCCCTCTCTCCCTTAAAATTACCTAAGTTATGTGGTTCTCGTGCATATATTCTTCCCAAAGCTCGCCAAGTTTCAAAGTGGATTCCTAGCTCGATCAGAACACTCCTAAATATTGACAGCCTGCAAGCGCGACAAATAGGCGATCCAATATTACGCGAGGAAGCAGAGACAGTGGACATCACAACTATACATTCTCCCGAATTCAAACAAATGATTGAGCGAATGTTCAGGGTCATGAGAAAGGCAGAAGGTTTTGGCATCGCTGCGCCACAGATTGGAGTTGGACTTCGCGTAATCGTGGTCGAGTTTACTGGAAAACACATCAAAATGTTAAAAGACAAAGGAGCAACGGACAAAGAACTAAAACGTCTTGGGATTGCTTTAGTCCCACCGAAAGTTTTTATCAACCCTGAGTACAAAACAATCGACCAAACTCTGCTTGCGTTCCGTGAGGGGTGTTTAAGTGTTGAAGGTTATTCAGCGGTTGTTCCTCGGGCCAAAGAGATCGAAGTTTCTGCGCTTGATACAGAAGCTCGACCAGTCACGTGGAGAACTATGGGATGGCCAGCGAGAATCATACAGCACGAGGTTGATCACTTAAATGGAAATCTCTTTATTGACTCCATGCTTTATAAATCGTTTCAAAAGAACGATTGGAGAAATTACACCAAGAAATAATACAGATATCAGGACATAAGTATGTAAAAGTATGTAAAGAGCAATGTGAGTATGCCCTCCCCCCCCTTACTAGACCAGGGTTCAGCAGAATATCACCTGATGGAGTTGTGCTTATACACAACATAGTAGATTCAATCCCCTTCTGATTTGTTTTCCTCTGACATTGTGTCACACAGACTATGAATTAAAGGAAGCATGTTCATGTGTTGCATTTGAGTGGTTATGTGCTGTAGTCTTCTCTCATCAGCAGGGAGCTATTCCATGTGATTCTCTCTGTGCTCAGTTTCCAATGACAAGCAAAAAAATATCGCAGTTGCAGTTAGCATGCCCTCATGGGCACTGCAGTACTAGGGGCAAAATCATTAGAAACAGGGAGGGATATGTGTGTTGGGGCTCTTGCTGGTTTTGCAGTTCATACCAGAGCATATTTTAGAGCTCATTTACAGCTGTTTGATTTATGACTGTGGGTTGTGTAAGACCCATGGGAGTAGGAACCAGCACCTGTGAAGGGTAGAGTTTTCATCTTTATGCAGAACTCAATGGTAACTCATAGGTTTATACAAAACAACTTGGCAAAACTTCTGAGAACTTATACGTCAATTATGCTTCAGCACATCCATCAACAACTGTAAATTATGAAACTGTACTTTTTCTTGTATTCCTGTTTGTGAAGGCAGTAGTTTACAAGGTACAAAAGGTGCCTGAAATCAACACCAGATGTATCATGGGTGTAACAACAAAACCATCCAAGATGCATTACCCATATGTGCAACATGGAAGACTGTCCCCATTTGAGCATATTTTTCAGTTCTTCCCCAACCCTTTTTTAAAAGTTTTAGGAGATATCCAACTAAATACATTTTAAAAACAAATTAGGGGTTTCACTGTCATGTAGCCATTTCTTAACACAGTTTTTGTTTTCTGTCATTCATTGTCCATGATTTATCATTCAAGTATCTGTTTTCCAGCTTTTCTTTCTCACATGTTTTGAAGCCCCTCTGCTTAGGAGAAGGAGCAACCTGGTGGATTTTATCGCTTCAGTACTAGTTAACTGGAGGTGGTCTCCTGAGGGAGAAGACCTTGTTGAATTATTGTTATGCAATTGTTCAGTGCTTTTGCAACAAATGAAAAATCCCCCTCCTTTTTGCAAAGAATTATTGTTCACTTCACTGGAGAGAAACTGGTGTCCTTCACACCAAACTAAAATGTATCATTGATCACACCCTCCTCTGCAAATGGGTGGAAAAAAGATGTTTTGGTGGTTCTGTCAATCAAAAGGTTGTCCACCCCCCAAATGGCTTCCATGGAGTTTCCAAGATAGGTAGCAACTCTCAAGTTCAAAGTAACTTCATTTAATTTGCTCATATTTTTCATTCATAACAGTTGAAGTGTAAGGCTGTTTATCTCTTACTCATAAAAGGTGTTGGAATCACTCAATTATGATTGCTCACCTTGATATGTACTGTTCCCCGGTCCCTTAAAATAGTTATTCCCAAATCACGCTTCAACCAGACCACCCACACCATAGTTCCATTTTGAAAAAAATTAAGGAGAAAAAAAGAGAGTTATAGGCCCACTTAGATCATAGGAGTACATTGTATATACTCATACATAACATACATTACGAGGGCAAAGTAAAACCGCTGACTTAAAGAAAGCCCTTGCAACTTTCATTGATGCATTTATCACGAAGTTATGGTTCTTTCTCCCACAAAACTTTCTCTGGTAGGATCTTTTTACGTTCAACATCTCATCAAAGCTCGAAAAGTTTCAAAATGGGTTCCTAACTCGATCAGAAAATTCCTCAAACTAGACAGCCTACAAGCTCGACAAATCGGCGATCCTACCCTTCGACAACAGGCAGAGAACGTGGACATCACAACTATTCGTTCTCCCGAGTTCAAGCAGATGATAGAGCGAATGTTCAAAGTTATGAGAAAAGCTAACGTTTCTTCTATCTCTGCACCACAGATTGGAGTAAGACTTCGAGTGATTGCTCTTGAGAAAACCGCTAAGCAAATCAAAGAGTTAAAGGAAGCAGAAGTAACCGATCAAGACATCAAAACTTTTGGAATTGTGAAGATTCCTCCCACAGTTCTAATCAACCCTAAGTACAAAATAATTGATTCTACTTCAGTAACATTACGCGAGAACTGTGTTAGCTTCAAAGGCTATTCAGCTCTCGTTCCTCGAGCAAAAGAAATCGAAGTTTCTGCACTTGATAGAGAAGCTCGGCCGGTCATGTGGAGGATTAATGGATGGCCTGCGAGATTGATTCAACACGAGGTTGATCACCTTAATGGAAAGCTATTTGTGGACTCCATGCTTCCTGAAACATTGATGGATGATAACTGGAGATCTTTTACAAGGAAATAATTAGGAGGAAGAGTGTTACTGTTAATAATGACGGCTGACTCTACTCCATGGTAGCACTTTTGTTAGTCTTCGCTGTCAGTGTGTTTCACTCCCAAGATCTAAATATCAATTTTCCATACTGTCACGCTATACATATCTTACAATTTTAGCTATGAGAATTTGGTGTTAAATAAAAAAAATCTGCTAGTTGATATCCTTCTTTCATCTTGTCACCTTTCTGATTGAAAATGTATTGATTATAAGGGGAAATTACCCTTCAGTCGGTTATTCCTGAGAATGGATTCGTTAACACCTGAGATCTGAGAATTAATTCTCCCCTCTAAAAGCTACAGATTTCTTTGTAACAGTGGTAGAGAATTTGGTGTTACATCAACTAAAGACATTCCAGCCAACACAGTCAACTATCATTATTTGTAATGTATTGATTTTAACTGTGAAGAGAAGTTGTAAAATGTAAACACTGTGAAAGGCCATAATAGCTCATCCCTCTGACTTCATTGTCAGGGCCACTCAAGTAATGCCGTTTACCCCTTGGTTGTATCCTCTAAAGCTGTTCCTTGGGGTGATGGGCAATGCTTTCTTCTCGGAAAGGAGACTGTAGAGAAAAAATGAATAGCAGTTTTTCTTATTTTTGAAATCCAGGCCCTGGGAATGATTCAGTTAATTTTTCTTTTCCTGCGTGTTTGTAGCAGCTTTATAATTTTTCTTTGTGCAGCGGCAGTACTTGTCAGTCTCTCCACAACAGCTCCATATGCTGCCATCCCTACAACAAGGCCAGCCAGCCATTCCACACATGCAGTCATCAAAGTGATATGCAAAAACACCTGTATGACCATTCACAGGTTTTTTCCGCTGGGGAGTCTTTACAGCTTCCCATGTATCTTCTTCCACCTTATCAAAACCAGGAGGTGGAGAAGCAGATCCCTTTTTAGCCATCTATTAACAATAAATAATAGCATGAATTTAGATATTAAAACCTATTGCCTCCCCCGAGAACATACTGGTAGACCCAAATTTGCTGCCACTTAGGTCCAGTAGGTTGGTTGCAAAGGAATGAGGTCCATGATCAAGAGATTTGAAACTGAAAGATGGCGGCCATTGCTAAGAGGGTATGTGGGGTTTGTTAAATAACTGATTCGAACATTCCAACTTCCCAAGTTCATTTGGGAGTTCCAGGTCAGTTAGAGTTTTAATCTCTGAGGTTCCCTATGAAATTTCTCAATCTCCCAAATATTAGTATAACTGGATCACCATGTTCTAAAACAAAAAGACAACATCTAGGAAATTTGTCTCCATTGACAGCTTTTGGAAACGATCTAGTATTTACATCCATGTATTTCTGGTGTGTTAAGCAAGTGGGTGCGAGATATTTCCCATGCGTGAACCACTACGGTAAGTTTACAAACTCCTTTGGTTATTTGGCCATGTTTAGCTCTCAAACATACCTGTTCCCGGTGACCCCCGGAAGTTTAACATAATTTTTCGCCGATTTTCAAGTAACTTGATGTCAAGCAACTGTCTCTTCTGTTTCCGTGTTACACCTCCTTCATTTCTTTGATCGGGAGCTCGTAAAAATGTGTAGAAATCGGGCAACTCGTCAAACTATGATCACACCGATAATTGACGAAATGCCTTGGGCGAGAAGTCACGCGAACCAACCGAACCGACTTTGGAAATACCTCGAAATGTCGTTCTATACCTACCTCAAAGACGATGTCCTTTAGTTTTCACCCTCGCGAGATTGAAGTCTGTCGGGATCAAATATTGTTCTCCAAAGACGATGCAGAATTCCACAGATAAACAAAAACATGAACCTTCGCGTCACACATAGGTCACGGTCGAATTGAATCAAGGGAAGTCGACGTCCATTAGCTCCAGACTTCTTGTAAGTTGTTCTCGGCGGAGGACTACTAGACCTAGTCTGTTTCGCAGGCGTCACGCAACGTTTCTTCAAGAGAAAACTACCTATACATCACGAGCGACGACAACAACGAATGCCTGAAAGATACGATAGCGAACTAGCCTTTATAGACGCCACAAATAAATCTACCAAGCATGCAATTCTACTCTTTTTCGTTTGTATCCACACAAACGTTGGATATAAGGCCGTGGCTGAATTCGTTTGCCGGTCGGAAGATCAACCATCTATATCCTTTAAGAGAAGCGCTTTCTATCATCAGTAGGAAGGAATGGAACTCAGCGTGGGATCTAAGCTACTTCATGATGGATTCAGTATTCCAATGCAGAAATCGCTGCACTTGAAGAGCAATCCCCAACAGTTTGGTTTACATTTGCGACTTCTTCAGATTGCGAGCAATTCGACGCTGGTCAAAGTCCAAGAGGAATGGCCTTTTGTCTGCTGAGCAGGAGTTAAGTCATACGATCAACCAAGTTACTCACCAATTATCTGTTCTACTGGTTTCTGGCTTCTAAAATGTTTGAACCTTTTACTGAAGCATTGAATATGTTTCATTCGCATTTTATGGCACATCACAGATGTTCTTTTTGATGATAAAAGAGATAATACCACATAAGGCCTGAGATCCAGTAAGCTCAATAAAGCTTTTAGGGGGATATTAGCAGGGATATTTCTATTCTAAGGTTGTCACAAAAGGTGTATGCAATGATACCTCTTACCGAGAGAGAAATTATGGGACACAATTTTCTCTTGCTCTTACTCAGATCATACTAAGGGGATTTATTCCATAAACGTAATAAACATCTCAATTGATAACAATTACCTAACAGCACCTTTACTTAGATGATGTGATAAATAATGAACAATTTTTGTTAACAGCTCCATTCATTGATGGCGTCCAATATCGTAAGGGAGATTGTGCGTCATGACTGCTCCCTTGTGGATTAAAGAAAATTTCCCTATTTCAGTGGTTTTTAAGCACTATGTACAATATTACCTTTTCTGGACGGGCGTGACGATGAGCGATCGAATTCATTCCATCGCCTGGTATACTTGTGACCTGTTTTGTCAAAAAATTGAATCACCTCAACAGATATGTATGTTGGTGACTTTCAAGGTTCCGTGTAACTAGACCTCCGAAGAGCGCCTCAGTTATCTGGTTTACTCGTAGAGATGAAGATCCTTGCGTTTGTCAACGTTACAAGCTTCCTCGATGTTCCTTCCTCAAAAACGTAGGCTCAATAATATGAGCAAGTGCTCCTTCATCGCCTCTTCAACCAACATTCATGATGATATAAATGCTGACTGAAATTGTCCTTTGAAACGGGAACTATTTTTTGCCTCAGCGGAGTCAATGAAGGGCCACAACAATTCTGTGAAAGAAAATTAAACAGAAAATGGTGGATATGCGTTTAGTAATTTAAAGGGCTAACCTTACTGACGCCATAGATTTTTTCCGGAAGTATTTTCGACGGACTCACACACATTTTGTTATTCACTGCTGTAGCAGCCGAAACTGAGCTTTTCGGGCGTCACATTTCCAAACGCTTTGACCGTTTATCTCATTAAAAACATTTAAATAATAATCAGAGTGCGGGCGAAGGATAACACTGAAGTCCGTCTTAAAATGATAACTTATTCCAAATCCTAAAGGCTATTTCATTTCTTCATTAACATTTTTTATCGTGTTGTATGCATTTTCTTCTAATTGAACATATCTGTGACGTAATACTATTCCTAGAAAAGGAGGAAGTCTTGTCACTTTGACGTCAATGACATTGTCAAGAGCTAAAGGTATTGAGCTGCATGACTCAGTGACTTTAGAAAAGAAAATCTCTAACATACACAACAACGACTTAACCAGGGAAAACAATTGCAAAACCAGGATTTTTCACTTTCTAGCTTAACAATGAATCATCTCAAGGAAAAAGAAAAAAACAAAATTTTGTCATTAATTTGTCGAGAGATATTTCTAGAAATAAATTTATGCAGATTTCTTCCTCGAACCCGTTCGCTGTAGCGTCACACAAGGCGAGCAATAGGTTTATCACAGTTGTCGGTCGCTGTGTTCCTATGAAAGGCCATCATTTGTTAAATCTCGCTCAAGTCAACATGGATTTCGATCTTGGGAACGGAAACCCACAGTCCGGCGAATGGAATGCCGAATTTAACACGAATGATACCTCAAGTGATGTAAACAAAACAGTAACTGCGTCTCAATTCATCGCTGGATTTTATGCACTGCTCTTCTACCTCGTCCTTCTCATCTTTAGTATACTTGGCGTTTGTTTCAGAGCATGTGTCAAGATGTTTTCATCTCGAGCCACCTCTCTCCTCTTTTTAATAGGGACGATGCTAGCCTGTGTAAACGTGCTCTGCAATTCGGACAACTTAGAGGTGAGAGTATACTTTCGCCTGCCCACGGCTTTTCTCGTTGGAATCGTCTTTGTTTTGGCTGGAGCGGTGTTCTTCTTCTCCAAACCTGAAGAAGTGGCCAATCAAACTACCTTAGCGAGACAGCAACCCTCAATGGGACTTGTTGTCGGAGTAATATCCATCCCTTTGATCATCGTCGAGATATTTCTCCTTGCTGCAGCTAGTGCTTCAAAGAACAAAAGCGATCCGGAACCACTTCCTCCAAAGTCTTGGGCTCTTGTTGTCGCAGACAAGACAACGTTTCTTGTCCAGAAGGTTGTCCAAGCAATTGTATATATTTTGTTGTTAAGATATAGGACAATCTGTCCAAGGTACAAAGAAAATGCTAAGTTTTATTTGAAGACCCTGGCGTTCTTTAATTTCATCGAATGGGTAGACTCCCAAGTAAACGAAGACACCGATATCAAGTTAAGTCACACTAACCTGTCTTACAATGCTTGGTTCGATATCCTTACAGTATTTTACAAGGCCTTGATAATAGATTACCGCCTTCTATGCTCACTTCTGTTCCTTGAGCATTCATTAGAGGACGAAATGGCGGACAATTACGACGAAGTAAACGACACACCTAATAGAAACATGACCTTGAAAAAAGAACAATATAGAGCTGCAGGATTTATTTTTGGCTTCTTGAGTCTGTCTGCACCAATCTGCACAGCACTGTATTATGTTAAGAACCTTAATATCCCTCCATGGGTCCATGTGTTTGCCATTATAATCAATTTTACCATTGTTGGTTGTGGAGCAGTCTTTTTATCAAGCAATGATTTAACTGGTGATAGGGAAAGGCATCCGGAATCATCTGGAGTCCAAAACATGGTAGGTTCCCATTTATGTTGGCTGTGCAGCTTAACGTCATTTAATCACTGTGCTAACTTAGACCTCAGAGTATAAACTGTGAGTCTAGTTGTTTAGTATAAGTTTCCTATCTTAAAAGGTGTATAGAGAGGCCGGATCATCACAGTGCTATCGAGAAATCTCTCGAACAAAGTGACGCTGTATACGCTATGATCTGCTATAAATTGAGGTGAGAATTATTGCGTGACTGTCTTTCCCAAAGGGTAAAAATGAAAAGAAGGAAACAACTCAAAGATTCTGTTCTCGAATTCTTCTTCTCCTATCTGTTGCAGGTATGTTTTTTGGGTGCTGTGGGACTCACCTGTTGGATAGCCAAAGCACCAATCTCTGCTTATTGGGCAGCTACCGAAAATGGCGACGTCTCCCAATACTTTGCCTGGGTCGCAACGAAGTATATTGCTCGCAGCATTTCCACAATGTTTCTGATGGGTCTTTTTCTGAAAGTTAAAGTGCAATCCTTGGCACGTAGAAATTCGGAAATGATTAGAAATCATTTTTTAGTGCCTGCTATGATATTAGCAATATTTGGAGCTTTTGCAGAGAGTTTAATCGATCAGTTTGTAGGACCGGTGGACAGGAGACTCAGGTTTGTAACTTAGTATTTATTTAGTATGATTCCCTATGTATGAGTAGGCAGATACATATTGTCGCAAAATCATTTTAATAAGTAGTACCATTTTGAACATCGGTTGTAATTGTTTGCGTTACTTTATCCTGTTCAGCAATTTTCAAGTCGATGACATATGAGGCCTTTTTCTTTTTATCGATACTTTCCTCCATTCTTCTTCTCCTTTCCATCCAATTAATTGCTCAGTGTATCTCCATCACTTCCCTCCTGATTCCACGCCCGACAACTGTATTTCCATCAGTTATACACACGCTTTTCTCCACTTGCACTCAGAATTCCAATCCGGAATGTCCATTAATAAATCACCATCACTTATACCATTCCGTTGACCAGTTACCATTCTTATACCCATCATCAATACCGCCACACAGTATCTCCTCCACTGCTGTCAGCACAACAGTAATTATCAGGAACACAATAATTATCAGGAACACAAGTAAAATTATTACCATTAGCACTTGCAGCACCATTGACACCAATACCACTATGCCACTATCAACTTTCCGAGCATCTTTACCGTCAGCACCATCATTGCTATTATTGTCACCATTCCCATCGGTACCATGACTGTTACAAACGACATCACCGTTACCACCAACTTAATCAATGTTATCATCATTCCTAAACTGTTGCCACCAGCAATACATTATACCCCTACTTATACAGTTGCAGTTGCCTCCAACTCCGCAGTCATGGTTATCACCTTGGAATTCAACATTGCCAAAACCTTAACCATCCCAAATATCTCTGGCATCACCATTGAGTCCATCCCAGCCTCTCTATCATCTCTGTCGCCATTATCACTTTTTTCGCCACTTCGTCGTAATTATAACATTCATAAATATTCGATTTGTACATAATATAACATAGAGCAGGTTACTGCTCATGTGCTCGTTAGTCTTCCAGGTTTCTCAAGGATGAATTAAAAAGTGCGTAAAAGCTTTAATGAGGTGTAAACAAAATTCGTCTTTCTTTATAGAGAGGAAATCCATGATACAAGTCTGGATCTCCTGTTTACAGCTGGTCCACCGATGTACCTTGGATTTCTGATTCATATGGTTTTGCATTTTGTTATTATACAAGCAGAGATTGTCAAACGTGGTTGAGCTCGCACACATTTTGGTTACATGGGTGCATTGTTCATGAATATATAATGAAAAAGCTGACAAACACTCTAACTACTATGTATATTAATGTATAAGTAAATGCGTAAGTAAATAATTGTAAACTCCGTTTAACAACATTACAAAATAAAGGTAAAAAAATAGCATAGCTGCTTTGCAAATGGTTTCTCCAAATCCGTTTTCCACGATTTATGCAATGGCGGTAAGGATTTAGATTTGGCGTGTCACGGTTATAAGAAGAGTACTAAGTATGGCAAATGCATGCAGTGCTGGAATATAACTGTAGAGAAGAAAGTCTCTAACCTGCATAACAGCGACTTAAACAAGGAAAACAGCTGCAAAACCAGGATTTTCATTAGTCACTTTCTAGCTTAATGCTGAATCATCTCAAGGAAAAAGAAGAAAAAACATTTCGATACTGATTTGTTGAGAGATATTTCTAGATTCCTAGAAATTAATTTATGCAGATTTCTTCCACGAACCCGTTAGCTGTAGCGTCACACAAGGTGAGCAATGGGTTTACCACAGTTACCGCTCGCTGTGTTCCTAAGAAAGGCCTTCATTCGTTAAATCTAGTTCAAGTCAACAATTTCACAAGCTGAATATTACCCCAAATGATGTAAACAAAACAATTAATGCGTCTCAATTTATCGCTGGATTTTATGCACTGCTCTTCTACCTCGTCCTTCTTATCTTGAGTATACTTGACGTTTGTTTCAGAGCATATGTCCAGATGTTTTATATAATTAATATTAATACGACACGAATGTTTGACTTCGACGCTTCAATAGTCCGGCCATAGTTGATCTAGAATGTCTGCCACCAAATTAAGCGTAGGTGTCGATTAAAATATTTTGATTTAAGTTGGATGACAGTTATTGACTTCCCACTCTGACGGATTTCGCTAGACGGATTTCTTGCGAACATGGCGGAAACGTCGATGAGCAGCTTACTTTCAACTATATAGTTGTAATGATTAAAAGTTGGAAACGTTTGAGGAAGAACCATTCGCCAGCTCTACTTTACCCTCCTCCCTTTTCCCTCGTATGCCAACGTTCGATGGTAAATCAGACCATCAGAAAACAAGGTTAGCCACGATGCTATTGCGAATCCAAAATACCACGTTAAAATTGTTCTGATCAATGTGAGAAAGCTTTGAACGAATATGACTGTGTAATGCTGGTTGGTTGGTGCTCGAACAGATAAACTCCTGCTTCGGCCAATACCTCATTGATCATTGCTTTTTATCCTATCTTCCTCCTTCACACCCTCTCATGCGTGACAGAGACGTTACTTCACTGTAATCCAAAATAGTGCATGAGACAAGTGATCCATGCGTGTATCCCACTGGCGAGAGGTTGCTGTGTAATAATATTTGAACAGGCTTTTCATTAAGGCAAACAGTTAGGTCGGTATACGCGACAACCTCTTCATTCAAACTTTAATCGGTTGGTATTCTCTTTGGGCTTATATTCGGGCTAACGGCTAGAGATAATCAACAACAGGATAATGAATTTAATTATATGACTAGAAGCGTGACTTAAGGTAACAAATTCCTAGACAGAAATTTGACCAACTTCCCCGGAAGTATCATTTAAGAGAGTACCACGAACGAACAATAGCTAACTTCCTTCGATTCTTGAGCATCTTGGTATCACTTTCCAAGAAACTGGAAACTTTCATAGCTAAGATGACTCTGACACTCACCTGCAGTGCGCATGAAGGCCTTGGTGAAGACGAACTTTCTGTTATTACAAACCTTAGTATGGTAAACAAGACAACAATTGCATCCCAAATTATTGCTGCGAGTTTCTCTGCACTCTTCTACTGGCTGATATTTTTCCTTGGAATTCTTGGCGTTTTCTACAAGCCATGTGCCAAACTATCTTCGTCTAGAGGTACTTTATTCGTATTTTTTGTAGGAGCACTTGTAATCGTTGTTAATATACTTCAAAGTGCAACTAATACTGAAAATGACCTGCAGCACAGACAATACTACCGGCTTTCTACGATCCCTCTGATTGGAATAATATTCATTCTCATCGGTGTTCAAATGTTTTTTCGTGTACCAGACGATGAAATTGTCCGTCAAGCGACTCTGGGTCGACACCAGCCTTCCATGGGTTTGGTAGTTTCTTTATTAACAGTTCCTCTGATGGTTATCGAGATCGTGCTGCTATGTGCATCACTGAGTAACAGGAAAATAGACAAGGATATGAGGAGCTTGACAAAAATACCATGGGTCTTTACCATCATAGATAAGATTATTTTCCTTCTTCAGAAGGTTACTCAAGCAGGTGCGTATCTCTATCTGCGGAACACTATCATACGCCAGGGACGCGAAGAAAATGTTGAGTTTTATTTTAGGTTGCTGTCCTTCTTCAACTTCATCCAATGGATAGATACTCAGGTAAACACAGAGAATGACATACACCTAAGCGGAATCAAGGGAGACCTGGGCAGTTTGTCTGATGTATTTACGAGTTTATACGAAGCACTAATAATAGACTATCGTCTAATGTGTGCGTTGCTATTTCTTGAACATTCGTTCGAGGTTCAAAATGAAGGCAGCGCGAACAATTCCACGTATCAACAACAGGATAACTTGAGCCATTCCGGGGCTCAATATCAAGTGGACCCAAACGATTCCATCGAAGTTGCCAGTCACGGAAGCGCGAGTAATTCCGCTGATCAAGAACAAGATGATTTGAACCATTCCATAGTTCAGGGTCAAGGCGACCGGAGTAATTCAGAAGATGCTCGAGTTCAAGCTGTAGAGCCTCGCAACCAAATAAGAAGAGGCTTTGGATATGCGCTTGGTTCTTTATGTTTGATCCCCCCTGTACTCTGTGGTCTTCAAGTTGTGAAGACATTTAAGATTGGATCGTGGGTAGCTATATTTGCCATTATCGTCAACTTCTTTATTGTTTTCTGCGGTGCCAGTCTCCTTCACCACAACTATTTGGATGACGATGGACAAGCGAAATCAAATGGAGTAAAAATAATGGTAGGAATAAAATTTGTATTGGTGATCTAATAGGGTAAATTAATTCATCAAACTGATGACCCGTAAGGCCCCGCTCGGCCGAACGGGTTGACGTGAGCTTGTCTGGGAAAAGCCGTCCGGCCCTATATACGGCTTTTTTTTTTTTGCAAAAACTGAAAAGAAAAAATAATAAAAAATAATAAAAAAACAAAAACAAAAAAAAGAGCGCGTTTCGATGAATTCTGAGTTTCTTCTGACTCTAAAAAAGGCAAAGTGTAAGTTTTCACTGTAGAATCTATTTTTGTGGTTGTCCCGCGTGCGCCCGTCTATAGCGTCCAGGTCGAAACAAAATTTTCGAAGTGGTCATATGATAACATCCTTATTGATTGGGTCTGGCCGGGCCGGACGGGAAAATATTTGGCTCGAGGTCTAGGCGCGTCTATCAATAAGTACATAGCATTATTATGCGGCCGTTCCCCAAAAAGACTGGAAACAACCAAATTGAAGGATTTGATTGGCTGAAATCGAGATTGGCCACGGTCTAGATTTTCCCGTCCAGCCCGAAATCTAGACAGGTACAGACTAATTGTATCATTTTTCAACAATTTAAGCAAACGTTCGCAAACTTAAATCCAGCGAAAGAAGTTATGAGCATAGAAAGAAGTCAAAATTGCAAAGTTTCTAAAGCGCGGTTTCAAGCGAGGTTTCCAGGTGTAAGTACGTTCAATTCGAAAACAAAATCAAGTCAGTACTTCCGCATCACCATCAGTCATCAGCAGACACAGTTTTATGCTTCGTAATTAACATTTCTTCTTTTTTCCATAGGTTTGTCTTTTAGGCGCAGTTGGTTTTGTTTGCTGGATGTTGGAGGCCGCTATCTTTTCCTTTTGGGCTTCTCCTGAATCAGAAGTCCCGCTCCACCGATCATGCATTCTTTGGGAAGCCTTAAAATATTTCGTGCGCAGTTTAACGACAGCATTTCTCATTTTCTTATTCATAAATATAGACGCCCGCACTTTTTCATACCAGACGAGCAGCAAAAATCACTTTCTTGTACCTGCTGTGATGTTGGGAGTTTTCTCTATGTTCGGCGAGGGCTTGATTGATCAGAAAGTTGGACCACTGGATCAACTCCTAAGGTTCGTAACGGCCTCCCTTTCTACCATTAAGAAGATTATAGTAGCAAAGATAACAACAGATCTTTAAAAAATCAAGAGGCCGCCTTATGGTCGTGTGGGGTTCAAATGAACGAAAAATAGCGTCCAATTAATTGAATGTTAAATTTAGCGTTTTACTCTTCATGATAATCTCACTCCACTGTCGTTGTCACCGCAAAGTCTCCCTCTTGAAACAGAATTGACGCGCTTACACATTGGCCATGTTACAATGTTATTAACGAATCTTTTGAAATACTCCTTAAATTTCGAGACAGAGCAGCACAGAAACTCCTTATGACATTCTGTAACCTGTTTCGAGAGTGATTAACCAGGCGGAGGACTCGAGTGAAAGTGTAAAGTGTTTAACACAGTAATACTTATCAGCGATGTTTTTTTGATAATTTAACCCTGAACGTATTTCCTTCTTAGGAGTACAATCAAGAATGACAGCCTGAGAATTCTGATTGAGGCAGGTCCGCCACTGTACCTTGGGTTCCTTATTCACGTGTTTCTCTATTTCATAATTATAGCAGGTCCAGATAACAGGGATAACGTAGCGATACATCGGGAAACAAGAGAGCATCAGCCTCTCTTGACCAGCTCATCCAGCCTTCCCGTTGACGATAATCCTGATGGCGCTCACTAATATGGCTTTAAATGCTTCCGTATTACGACCATCCTGGTAGCACATCAAATAAGCGGTCATCTTGGTTTATGGGGCATTAGCAACATGAAGTTCGTCTTGTTATCAAAAGCAATGGTTATGTTCATGTTACCTTTCTTGGGAGGTCGTGGAAATGATTTTAAATGGACAGCAGAATAGGTAATACTAGATGAGGCAGGAGATCGAACAAGTAATTCTATTGAGTTTTTGCAGTAGCGAGAGAGTCTAGCAGTGACATTTCTTTTTAGTCGTTACAAAAGCTTATGTAAAGGTATACTTATCATACAACACAGACTGGTAAAATAAGCTCATTAAGTACATATTTCAACTATTACATATTGCAAGTATTATCTCTTTGGAGATAACAAGCAATTGAGGAACGACATTCCAAAAAAAAGCAAAAAAAAAGGAGTGAACGTAGATATTAGGTTTTCGTTATAAGGTACATTAGGAACTACTTAGAAAAGAGATTTCCAAATCTTGCTATATTGAGCATTCCACTAGTAATACGCAGCGACAACATCGACATGCAAACCGATTTTAATGGAAATTACTTTTAAAACCTAGGATTGAAAACAGAATTCAAGAAATACATATAGTGAGAAACGAGAGACAGGAACCGAGGACAGTGGCTTGTGGTTCCACAAGTAGTTACAATTTCCAGATATGAGCAAACATAGTCATATTAATGCAAGTTGACCAATATTTCTTGACTTAACTTCCTCTTCAAAAAGATAGAAAATTTTAATTAATTCTATAACTGGCCATGGACTCCTTGCTATTCTGTATTATCGATATAAGGGACCGGTCATTATTTATCGCCTGGGGGGGGGGGTCGGAGTATTTTTGTTGTCACATCGGAGCATTTACCTGATCCCCCCGTAGAGTATCTAGTTTTTTAGAGATCCCCCCTTATCGGTAGTGGAAAGTTTCATGATCCCCCCCCCCCTTTTCTCCCAGCCACCGCCAAATAACTTTTTGAATATGCAAGTGATATTTTAATAGTGGTACTTACGTCTCATGGACCTTGAACCACAACGGTAAATATTTGCTCGTCAGATACGAACTGAATTGTCGAGGAAGTGCCAATCTCAGGCTGTTCATCCAAATCCACGAAAACATAGTCATCGTTGCTCTCTGCCTCTCCACTTTCGGATTCTTCATCCTCGGATTCCACGTCATCTTCATCACTCGACAGTTCTTCTGTTATCACAGTCTCTTTATTCTGTCGGTAATAGTGACATCGAATGGCCTTCACTTTGTCAAGTTTCCGACCCACAGTCGTCAAACCATGCTTGTTGAGATACAGGTCTAGTTCTCTTACTCGCAACTTTTCAACTTTGCCACCCTCGATGAGGTTATCCCATTGAAAGTCCTTGTACGTTCGTTCGGCCTCTTGCCTTCTTCGCTCCTGAGCTGCTCTTGTTCTGATGTCCTTTCGGATCTCAATATCCTTCAAATGATTAACATATGCAATGACGTGCTTCTCTTCCACATTATATTTTGAGCAGAAGCTCTTCATGGTATCCTGATCGTTTCTGATACTGTCAGAATGTTCCTCGTACAGATCTTTAATACATTTTCTTGGAAGGTAATCATCTGGTGTCTTGCCCGTCGATTCCGTCTGATAGATATCCATGAAATGTCCAGGATTGTTTGAATCTGGTACAGGTTGCGGAATTCTTTCCGTTTCTGGACCGACCCATCTATTGTTAGAACACCAGGAACAGAGATTGGAACTTTCTTCTCTTGACTCTTTACAGGCATCACGACAGAATTCCATAAAAAGTTCTCCATGAATATAGTGGTCTTCCATAAACGATTCGATCTTTCGGAAGTATGCTGCACCGGGCGCTTACTCTTTGTTTCGTTCTGATGCACCCCGATAGTTGTCGAGGTAAACAGAATTGAAAAAGAATAATTCATCAGGGGACTCGCTTACTTTGCTCTTGATGTAATCTTTAAGGACAGGGGCATCATCAATTCTCTCGGCTACCTGACTACAGACATACCAGGCATTTTTCTCCATCCGTTTCTTTTCGCACTCTTCGTATGACTGGAGAGACAGTTGTTTGATTTCCTCTTCTGAAAGATCCTCAAATCTCCTATATTTTCCCACTCTAGAGTTGCGCCATCCACAAGAGCATCAGAAATTGCCGAGTTTGTCCTTTCGGCTTCACCTTGCCCGCTGTCGCCCCTCGAACGATGACATCGCACTCTATAATCGGAATTGTGAACCCTTGCTAACTCGGCGTCTCGAAATCTAACTTCGTAGTTGGAAACTCCCACGCCCGGACCAGCATCTGTAAGGTCAGCCCATCGTGGCTTTACAGGTGGAAGGCAGAGATCTCCGAGAACTTCAAGACCATGTTTACATGAACTGGTTACCCTTAAAATCCTGTCCTTTCTCGCATCTTTTTCCATGGAATCGACTTCTTCATTCGTGAGTAAACAAGCCGGTTTCAAACAGTATCTCCTCGAGCAACAGCAAATGCGTTGGCAGTTAAACACAAAGATAAAAGCCCTTTCCGATAAAGAAAACAACTTGCTTAGAAACGAGAATTGGGGAGTGTGCCAAAACATCACGAAGTTCATGTCAGGCGTGGATGGATGTAAGGGCAGTGGTGATGTCGCGAAGTGTGAGTCCTCCTTGACCACTGTCAATGAGGCCTTTAATTCAGCATCCGATTTGCTCTCATTTATCGACAACAGACGAAAGAACCTTTATACAGAAGAGCATACCTTAAGGTCGTTTGCAAGTGATGAGCTCAAATATTTCCAGGAAGCTCAAGAGCGAGTGAAGGCCATACACCAAGAGCTGCAGAAAGCCTACAATGCGCTCACGACCACCCTCATGAGCTTGAAGAGAAAGTTCCCATCTCCCATGGGGAACAACGGCCAATCCCGAAGAAAAAAAGAAAACAAGAGAAAAGTGAAAAAAATCAAGGAGAAAAGGTTGCATCAGCGAGCAGCAATTCTCCTAGAAAAACTTACCTCAAAAGAGGTAGCTAAAGAGGTTTTCGATTCACTCGAAAAGAATACTTACAAATGTGTCTCAAGTATTAATGCAGGATTCACTGCGAGATTTGTCAAGCGTCTCCACCTGGATCCTCTGCTATGGCTTTTGGAAAGAGGCGTGTTTGAAACAGAGCTGGCACGCAATTTGAAAGTGGTAGTGGCCAGAATGAACGAAGAGAATAGCAGTAATGGTGCTGAAAAAGGGTCAAGTTCGGGCGAGGATTCAGATGAATCTGACGAGGAGACTGTGCAAGAGCCAGTGGAGAGGGCTGCCGAAGATTCTGACACGGAAGCGGAACAAGATACAGCCTCACCAAAATAAACACTTTTTTATTTGTTGTTTTCATTCGGCCGCGTATTAAAATAATGAAAGTTTATGATTTTAGATTACGATTCTCTATAAAACAAACTGAAACGTTATGAAACAATTTTGAGCAATTGTAAGTATTCCATTCTCAAAATCTTGATTACCTTTCTAATTTAGATCGTGCCTGAATAAAAACGTGTATGTTAGACTACGATAGTGATTCTTTTTTACAAAATGGAGGGTCTGTAAAAGGGTTTGGGTTTTGTGTCTGGGCTAGAATAGAGTTTATATAATACAAAATACAACTGAACGTGGTCTTGAATATATGGTTGGGGGTTTAGAGTCCCAGCGGCAAATCCTACCAAAGTATTTACAAATGCAATCACCCGGGGTCCCGGCGCGACCTAAAATTCCTTTTTTTTTGGTCTGATCCCCCCCATTATGCTTGTCAATTACGGCTGATCCCCCCTAAAGGTCTTCAAAAAACCATGTGATCCCCCCCTAAATACTCCGACCCCCCCCAGGCGATAAATAATGACCGGTCCCTAACGGCTGATAATCATGAAGCTCAGGAATTTGCGCTTTTCCGACGATAACTAATAGATTTATTCAAATATCGACTCACAGACATAACATGACCCCACGCGTCATCTTCATTATTTGGTTGGTGTGTTCCGTTGACTAATACTAATTCTTTGTGGACGTGACCGGAAGTACGGAGTATTTGCATTTTGAAGTGAAGTCGATTCCGTGACGGACTGCCGAATGCCTAAGGACAAATTGAGAAGATGACTTTGTACATCGTCTTCCTCGGTGTTCTCCTCGGGTTAGTGCAGAATTCAAACACAAAAGTTTTCACGGCAGACCTCGACAAACGCTTGAATCGAGAACGTAGGGATATACACAATGCAGAGTTGATTCCTTTAAGTTTGCTTATAACATCGAAAATATCTTCACGCTTTGCGAACACGCTTGTAACAAGTAAGTTGCAAAACAAATCTCCCAACAATCGTGAGGCTAAGTTTGTCGTCCACCTCCCGGAAACAGCTTTTATCTCCAACTTCTCGATGGTAGTGAATGGAAAACATTTCATTGCGCGTGTGAAGGAAAAGAACGTAGCGAAAACGGAATACGAGAAAGCCAAGAACAACAGCCTAAACACAGGCCTTGTGAGTTCCACTAAATCTCAACAGGCTTTGCGAGGAATGGACGTGTTTGAAATTGCAATTAATGTAGCGCCAAACAGTACTGCTGTGTTTCATCTTAACTATCAACAGTTGCTTATAAGGCGAAAAGGATTCTACGAAGAAACAATCAGCATTCGTCCAAAACAGATTGTTCCCGTTTTAAATGTTAATGTCGACATCGAAGAACCGCAAGACTTGTCTCTCGTAGAGGTCATGAAAATTCGCAAAGATCCAAGCGATGTACTGGAGAAGGGAAATCCATCAGCAGTGGTGACTCAAACATCGCCGACGTCGGCGCGTATAACATACAGTCCAAGTGAAACCGAACAGAGACAACATGGAAATGCGGGGGTTGATGGCGATTTCATTATACGGTAAGAAATTTCGTTGTAATTCGATTTTATCGAATTCTGTAGACTTATTACTCGTAATCTATTTTTAGGACCTTCCTAATGTCAGTTTTTCCCGTTTTCTCTGAATTCCTTCAGAAACCAAAGATTTGACAGTTGCAGACCTATTCAGCAATTGAAATCTTGTATTGGTTTTTTTAAAACAGAAGATGGAACTTTCATTGAAACTGCTTCTTTAGACGACACACTTTGCATTGTTTCATTCAGAAGGTTCACGAGAAAATGATTCAAGGAGGCGAGCAGCGCAACAAGATCGAACAAAATAATGCTTTTGTACCCAATGAAAACGATTCGGGGCAATTTTTTGCGGTTGCTTCATAGAGCACAAGTATCGTCATTCTCTCCTCAAACCCTTTAACTCCTAAGAGTGACATGCATCTAATTTCTCCATACAATATAACCAATGAATCAAACATAAAGGTAGCAAGAATAAAGGAAATGATCACCAGCTAAAGGAACTCGTGATGTTAAACAAATTCTCCGGCTTGTCAGCACCTTAGAAAATGTGTAGGGAACAGTATGGAAAATATGCATACTGCATTATAGTTACTATAGTTTTCTTTCCTCATGGCAGGTACAACGTTCATCACAAAAATAATGCCGGAGTAATCCAAGTGCTTGACTCCTTTTTCGTTCAGTATTTCTCTCCCAGTGGTTTAAATCCATTGCCAAAAAACGTGGTCTTCGTCATCGACATCAGTGGTTCAATGGAAGGTCAAAAGATTGAGCAAACGCGCCAAGCCATGTTAGCTATCCTCGACCAGCTTCGCGCAGACGATTCATTTAACATCGTCCTATTTAATGGTGATACGGTAAAGTGGAGACCTTCAACCTCGCTCGCAACTAGTGACAATATTCAAGCTGGTAAAAACTTTGTCGAACAAAACGTGAACGCAGGAGGCAGTACCAACATCAACGAAGCTCTTCTTTTGGCTCTAAACCTCCTTGGAGATATAGCTCGTCAGGGGGATTCGTTCGCTGCAGAACATTTTCCGATTGTACTGTTTCTGACAGATGGTGAGCCAACCGAGGGGGTTGTCGACGGTCAGCAGATCCGTGCTAACATTCTTAAGGCGAATACGTTAAAAGCTTCCATATTTTCTCTAGGATTTGGCTTTAACCTAAATATGAATTTGCTTACTGCGCTATCAGCTGAAAATGGAGGTAAAGCTCGTCGAATCTATCTAGCTAAGGACGCTGCGAGTCAACTAGAAGGATTTTTTGACGAGATCAGCACGCCTCTGTTGGTGCGAGTTCGATTCGAGTATCCTCAGGACATGGTAGATAACACACAAGTCACAGCTACAGAATTTTCTCAGTATAACGATGGATCGGAGCTTGTTGTGTCTGGAAAGCTTAAGGAAGGACTCAGTGATTCAAGGCTGATGCCTGTTAATATTCGGGGTATCTCTAGCATCAAACCCGTCTTTTATACTCTGACACACACTCTCCAAAACCTAACCGTCTCACCAGATGAGGTGTTAGTCAAAGACTTTCCTGAGAGGCTGTGGGCTTACATGAAAATTAAGGAGCTGTTACTCGATCTCCTGATAACGGAAAATTTAGAGGAAAAGGCTCGGCTGAAATCAGAAGCGCTGAATATTTCATTGAAGTACAACTTCGTTACGCCGCTCACATCCTTCGTAGTTGTTGAGTCAGATTCTTTTTTAAAAGATGAGAACTCTCATGTACAAGGTGGATCGGTTTTCAACGGTAAAGGAGTCAACTCGTACGACTTACGCGCATCAGCTGCATGCAAACCTCCGTCCGTTGAGTTGTTAATTTTTGTTATGACCTTGTTTTTAGTGCGATATTCGTTCGTAAGTCTTCACTGCATAGCATAACATGGAGATTATTTTATTTATAGCATAACAAGGAGATTACTTATTTTCAATGCTGCTTGCGTAGTGTTCGTTACTGCGAAGATCACTTTCATGTTCATTTCTTCATCTGCAGTTCATACTTTCGATTATCACATATTCACAACCATTTATGACTTCTGATGTTGTTACAGCTTTTATTGTGCAGCTTTGAGCGTATGCTCTTTATTCTAATAATAGGACTGTTGAAACTGCATTACGCAAGTTGAGCGTAAGCGTCGAAAACGTTAACCATTGATAATAATGAACACATACTTCTAGTATCCTTATATAAAATGCGACGAACTCACTGACTGTTATCCCTTCACTGATTTGTGCTTCCTAATGATCGATAGAAAGAAGGAGTAGATGAAAGCTTAATTTACTGCCATCCCTAGGTGTGTTTAAAGTATTAACACTTTAAAAAAAAAAACTATTAACACTCCATGGCTACCACATGCGGCAATTTTTCAATTTTTAATTAGGCCAGCCTCTAAACCAGGCCTTAACAGCAAAGTCTTTCCTCTACGCATAACGATCCATAATTGCCACTTTCAGGCTCAGGATGCATCAAGGCTCCAAAACTAGAACAAGCAATGAATCAAACAATATTTGGCCTCGCAACCAATACAGATGCAGCTTTCAACTCACATCTTGTTAGCTTCGGAAACAAAGGTGATATGATTTCTAACTCAGTAGTTGATCGCATAAGTTCAGCCTCTTCTGTTAATCTAATGGAATATGTAAGATTGGCCCTGGTGCGCAGTACCGAAGTCCTTTTGCAAGTACCATAAAGTAGAGAGCAACATGAATAAGAAATCCCAGGTACATTGGCAGACCTGCCTCAAAGAGGAATACCAGGGTTTGATCTTGTATTTCACACCTAAGGAAATAAAATTTTTAGAAAAAACAAAGCTTAGAAGTAAATTTCCATGACTAACTACCACTACAAGGCAAACCTACAAAGGGGGTGCCTTTCCTAACCACATCTGGAGAGTTATTTCCTAAAGGACTTTTATAAGGAGACAAATGCAGGGTAACCTATTTTAAATGGAAATGCTTGAGACCTAAAACCAAGGCTGATAAACTTTGCATCATTCATCAGCTCACTTCATCATGTGTTCCAAAAGCATTTCAGTGTTCAAGAACTTAGAACTTGCTATTCAATTTCAAATAGTGAAAAAAGTTTACAACATCGCGCAGAGTGCCGCGAAATATCCGGGACTTATTTAGACTTACCGGCGGTAAATTTAAAAATGAATTGGCGGAGCGCGCGCCAAAGAATAGAGAAAATGGCCTGAGGACGGCAGGATGTATAACTTGCATTGCATGCGTAATATTGAAAATAAATGTATATTTATCTTTAGCGAGAAACCAAATGCTTTCAGGTACACTTTTGAATGAAAAGGAACTCCCATGCTAAGAATATAATTGTTCGGCCTACCCGAGATATTGGTGTACCCATCCAACCTTCTGGTCAATTAAGCCCTCGATAAACATGGATATTACCCCAAACATCACAATAGGTACCAGAGTAAAGTTTCCACTTTTGGTCGGGTTATTCGAGGGAAAAGCTCGAACGTTTATTTTCATGAACAAGACAATGAGAAATGCTGTCGTTACACTGCGTACAGCAAACTTTGCGGTAGTCCAAGGAATGTCCTGGGGTGCCACACCCTGAATGCCGCTTCTGTTTTTTACTGCCCAAAAACAAGCAATGGCCGCCTCCATAAGCCAGCATGTAAATCCCACAGCACCCAAGCAACAAACCTATGGATGAAAAAAGTAATAATTTATATTAATTAAAAGTTATGATACCGACAGCGATAATGACGATGATTGTGACTACTATGACAACTTGTAAGCGGTAAACGAATTATTAGTCTACCTTCTGGTATTTTCGAAGAGTCCATTAGACAGTTCAAGTTGTCCTCTTCCAGAAAAATAGCACAAATCTCGTTCTTCAATTTACTCGGGAGCCGCAGCACCGAGGGGAATTAAAGAACCGTACTGGAAGATTATTTCGCGCATCTTGACACGAACATTACTAGTAGATATCATGAATGGATATCGACCTTAAGGGGGGTGTCTGGTTGAAATTTTGAGTTAAATTGTGAACCCGGTCAAATTTTTTTTCTACACGTTATTAGACAGAAAAATTATTCAACTTTAAAATATTAATGCCTCTAATGTCAGAAATTACCCAGAAAATGGTAAAAAAGTTCAATCTTTATGACGTGTACAAGTTTGTTGATAGCTCTAGCTCATAGTAGTAATAACGCCATGCCAAAGGGAGGAAAAATCGGACAAAAACAGTCCGTTCTGAAAAGAAGTTGTCGAAAAAAGATACCAAAATTCAAGGGAGTCCAAAAGCAGAAGAAACTTCCCGTGGAAGTTGCGAGAAATTCTGCTACAGAAATCACGTTTGTCGGTGAAGATGATATTGTGAGCGAGCAAATTCCACCGCCCGCTGCTTCGGCGTCATTTAGAAAACTTGCTGTCGAATGCACAGAAAGCTCTTCGGATGAAAGTATGGATCCGAAAGGTGAAATACCAGAAGGATACCGGCTTGTGTCCATTAATAGTCTTGTGGAATTTGCGAGAAGGATTCATTCCAATTCGCCATGTTCTTCCGGTGAGATAATTATTCGTTCTTTCGCAATTTACGTTGTATTCATCATAAAATGTGGTTCTTTATTGCTTTTCTCATCTTGTGTCGTTATCACTAAGTTATTTCTTTATTTTTGATGTTGTAGACCATCTAGAACTTCGAGAAATAAGCACAAGCCGATTTGGCCTCAGTAGCAGCTTATATGCTGTTTGTGATGATTGTGGTCTGTCGGAATTTCTGGCCACCGGTGATCATAATCCCTCCGACAATGCCCCCAGAACTGTGCAGGGAAAAGATTTAAATCGCAGAGTGGTTTACGCTGCCATTGAGATGGGAATTGGCAGAGAAGATGTTTCCAAGTTTTGTGAAATATTGAATATGCCTTTTTCCTTGAGCAAAGATACCTGGCACAGTCATGAGGATGCCTTGCTTCAAGCTCACACTGAAGTTGTCCAGGTTGAATTGGAGAAAAACAGAAGGGAAGCAAGGAAGCTGGCTATGACAGAAGAAGGGATCAGTGCAGGGGATGAGGACACTGTAGTAAACATCCCAGTCAGTTTTGATGGCACATGGTCCAGGAGAGGATACACTGCCAACCATGGAATTGGTTTTGTTATCTCAGCTGCAACTGGAAAGGTTTTGGATTACGAAGTCATTTCAAAGGTATGCAACACTTGCATACAAAAAAAATCATCTTTAAATGAACATGACTTTGAACAGTGGGCTGAAAACCATACCTGTCTGGGTAGTTTTGGAGGCTCAAGTGCTAGCATGGAGATGGAATCTGCAAAGCGTCTGTGGGGTAGGAGTCAAGACTACTCCATTCGATACAAATTTATGATTTCCGATGGAGACTCTAAGTCTTATAGTGCCATTTGGAACTACTATGGGGCATGTGACACTTGTAATCAATATGAATCTTTAGAGTCAACAAGTGAAGAATACAAAATTTGGAAGGCATCTGAAGATTATGTCAAGTGGGAAAATGAACATCTTGATGGATCTGTGGATTGCAATAGAGTAATCAAACTTGATTGTATTGGACATGTCCAGAAGAGGCTAGGAAAGGCTCTGTACGAATTTCAAAGAACTGCTTTAAAACTAGAAGATGGTAAGCCTGTGAAAGGAAGACAGGGTCGATTAACAAAAACAGCAATTGAGAAAATGAAACGCTCTTATGGGAAAGCTATTCGAAATAATGTCAACAGAGACATTAACTCTGTAGAGGAGCGAGATGCTGCTGTCCAGGTTATGCAGACTGAAATTATGGCTGGCTTGTACCACAGCTTGAAGTTACCAAACAAAGAAAGACACAAGTATTGCCCAAACAATTCTTGGTGCAGGTACAAGAAGAAAATTCCTTGCCCTGATAAGCCTCACCACCTAGATCCGGTGTTTGAAAAGTATTTGCATCCTATTTATGAGAGGCTCAGTGATCCTGCCCTTCTTTCACGCTGTCTTCCTGGGTTTACTCAAAATGCAAATGAGTCTATCAATTCATTAGTGTGGATTAGATGCCCAAAACACAAATGGCATGGAAGGAAAAGAATTCTTTTGGCAACAGCATCAGCTACCCTTCAATTTAGTGCAGGAGCAACAGCAAAGCATGAGGTGATGGCAAGGGCTGGGCTTGCTGTTGGGGGCCACACCAGGAAAGAGAGCACCAGAAGAGACTCTGAGCGAATCAAAAAGGCTGAAAAAAGGATCCAGGATCAACATAAGAAATACAGAGTTGCTCGAAGACAAGCAAAACAAAGAGATGAGGAGCAGCGGAGACAAAAAGAGGGCACAACATACAGTGCTGGTGCTTTCAACGAACTGACTGTTACTACAGCACCAGCAAAAAAAAGAAAAAAAAAATAGAAATTGTGATTTATAACTAGAAAATGATCTCAGGATACTTTAATAAGGCTGTTTTTTAAATTAATTAATGATTGTTTTGTTTAATGGATGTTTCACCACTGATTTTGCTTTCGAAATTTTTAAGCAGCATTTTTCTCAAAAAGGCAATTTTACGGGGTTTTTAGATGCCCACCTAGACTTTTTTCATTTGCTTTTATCCATTTTCTGCCAAATTTGGCTCAGTTACATATGAAAGGCTGCTCTACAAACCTATTGAGCCTTTTTCCTTTTTGATGAATTCTGTTGAAGTTATTCCAGGTTAAACTCTTTACAAAAGTATGCTGTTGCTATGACAACACAATTTGGTGAAAACCAAAATTGCTCAATAGGTTTGTAGGAGAGTTTGTGTAGTGTTATTGTGTGAAATATTATGCTTACTGTATTACTAGAACAGAAAAAAAAGTAGTGGGGCATAAAATTAGTGAGAATTAGCCTCCATGATGAATTTGGTTAATATTTAACCATAAATTTGCTTATTATGGTCTGCGAACCATATGCCACATTAGGTTGTGGGTTAGTCTATTTGCATGCAAAATTTTATGGTGATACATTAAATAGCTGGAGTTTTATAATATCTACAATCTATTACAAATTTGGGTCCAAAATGTAACCAGACTCCCCACGGTGGAACGTGTGGAGACGTGAAGAGTCTGAATGTAGATGGTGAATATGATCCTGGAAGCTTCAATCGTATCCTGAGTGGGCTGTGTGGGTGGGAAAAGGTTGTTAAGTCAGATGGGCTCAGGATCGGGGTCATTTACAGAAGTTTCTTTGAAGTCTTCCTCTTTTAAATTTTTTAGGAAACTGGCTTCGTGTACTGCATCCAAATAGAGGCTTAAAGGAGGCTAAAATAATTACTTGAGATAAAGCTTACATTGCCAAGACTTACCATGATTTTGACTCCTTGTGATTCTCTGTGTTGAATGGGATCAGCATCCAAGTTGTTATTGAACAGGAGACACCCTCCACAAATGACAATTACCAAGTTGACGGTAATAACAAGTGTATTGACCCTTGCATCCAGATTGAAAGCACCAGCATCATATAATGCACAGAATATGGGAGCAATGAGGCATACACAGCCAACACTATATCCAAAACATGTTCTTAGTCCAACATCTTGGTTATTTCCTCCATAATTATTCTCTTCAGCTGGGCCGTCTTGATTTTGAACTTCCGCCGAATGTTCAAGGAATAGTAATGAACACAATAAGCGATAATCTATGATCAATGCTTGGTACAAAACTGTCACAAAATTGAACCAGCCATCGAGTTCTTTCCTGATTCCACTCAAACCAACGTCTCTTTCTACGTTTACTTGTGAGTCTATCCACTCGATGAAGTTAAAAAAAGACAATAATCTAAAATAAAATCGGGCTTTCTCTTCGGAGTCTTGGCGTATTCTTGTTTTGCGCAGACATAGATAGAAAAGAGCTTGGAAAATCTTTTGAGCAAGGAATAGAGACTTTTCAGTCTTGAGCAAGAGCCATTCAACAGGTGTCAAGTGTTCATTTATTTTGTCTGTTGATATAGAATTAAAAGTCGCGATAAGAAGTACGATCTCAATGCCAACCAGAGGAACTGTTATTATGGAAACCACCAAGCCCATCGAGGGCTGTTGTCTTCCCAAAGTTGGTCGATTTTCCCCGGAGGAAGTTCTCTGGAGAACAGAGTGACGCCAAAGAACAAAAATATAATTCCAATGAGAGGTACCGTGAAAAGCCGGAAGTTCAATGCTACATAGAGATTGTTTCTAGTTGTGATTACATTTATACAGGCAAATAAACCCCCCACAAAAAATACGAAAAGTGTTCCATGTGAAGAAGAAATTCTGACAAAGCGCTCGATACAAATGACGAGAATGCCCTGGAAGAACATCACCAAATAGAAGACCGCAGCAAAACTTGCGGAGATGACTTGAGATGCCTTTGCTACCGAATTCTTGTCGCTTTCGGTGACATTACCACACACATTGAGCTTCCCCGATGTTAATTCTGTTCCTTGAGCAATACTGACAAGCGGGAAAGACATTTTGACTTGACAAGTTTTTCAGATCAAGTTTTTCTAGACTTCACTAGTATACACAAGATTCAAAGAATCCTTCACTTCTCTCTTTGCTAGTTGGTTCGGAGAATTGGATGTGGTGAGTCTTTCCCTCGTTACTCCTGGTCCTAGAATCAAATTAAGTATTCTGAAATTGCTTCTCTCCAGTCGTTAGCCCCTAAAAGAAAGGCTAAAGATATAAGAAGCCAATCAGAGATTAAATGACGTGTTTGTGGAAGGAGCGTTTCTTAAAATTATTATACGGACGATATTGTTTTACAAAGAATTAAAACATTCGTAGAATTAATGCGACTACTTCATCCGGGAATCGAGTGGCTAATTTTTGGTATGTAACACAACGATGTCACGATTTCCGCCTTTTCAAACTTTGCTGAATTCGACTGAATGAACTTGGTGTTTTCGTTGTTTAGAATAATAGACGCCGCAAGACTTATTGCGGTGAGCGACGAAGATGAAAATGCATTTTCCGAACACCATGAGAACAAAAACACCGTAAAGAAAACGCTGTATGATCTAAAAATTTTCAAGGAATTCTTTGTATGTTAACCTTTTTAACTCATGTAAACGAGTTTTGGATCCATATCAGTATCTGGGAAACGGACCACCTACCCCTTCCCTAACCAAAAATTAACCCTAACTTGTCATCAATTGACTTTTGTTGGGTTAAGGGAGGGGTAAGTGGTCAGTTGCCCAGATACTGATGATATTGATCCCGGGTTTTTATAGCGACTCCTATATGCAAATGAATCACACACTCACTCACTGAGATGTAGACACTGTGGCAAGTAGTCGTTCTCCCGAGCATAAAACCACATTGCAGTAGAAATTAACCGCCCCCAAAACGTTGGTGACCCTTCTTTACATAGTAACGCTTCGATTGGTTATGATCTGATGCAAATCAAGAAGCGTGATTAAATTCGATCATCTTCTGTAAATATATTGGCGGGTGAATCGATCAGAAGTGGACGAAGATAATCTTGTGCTTTTCTGACTAAAAACCTGTGAAATTCACTGCTACATATATTTATTTTTAAAAATGAAGACTTGAGGAATAAAATATAGGATGGGTTTTGTCTTCTCAGGGCGGTGTACTCGATTTGTTACGGTTTACATTGCAGCATCATCGTTTTTACGATATCAGTGGCCATTTCCACCGCGCGCTTCCAACTTTCAATTTCTCAAGGGGATTAAGCCAAAACCCATCTTCGTGCAGCTTCACTCCGCGTTGTCGGGCAAATTTTATTGAACGAATCGTCCACGGTTGATTGATATCGTCGCTTTAAACCATCAAAGCTTTCACGGTGTCGATTTGAGCATCTTCGTGTTTAACAGCGTTTAGGATTTTGATGTCCATTTTTGCCGTTAGCGTGCCAGTTATTAAAATTCAAACTATCTTCGTACCGCTTATACATTTCATGTTATCGAGCAAAAATTCACGCCTTTCTTGTCCCCTCCAAACTTTATGCACGAGTTGGCCATGGGTATTCTTTGATTATAATTTGGGCAACGGGTGCTTTGTATGAATTTGTACCCAGTATTTGTATTAAAGCCGGCTTTTCAATCTCTATCAGTCAATGTTTATTGTCCTCAGAAGAAAATTTCAATTGATCTCCCTTCTGTTTCCCTCAGGTGGGACGGAGGTAAAGTGGGGGGGGGGGGAAGGGTAGGCGGAAACGCGTATGCTAATCTATATGCAGAAAAATGGGGCTGCGGTGGTTTTCTCCTTGGGGAAGGGGAGGGTAGGGCTACACGTAGGCCACATATAGACACACATAACCCACAATTCCTCTACTGGCTATGATGAAGGGCCGCCAAAGCTTGAAAAGTCAGCTTTAGAAACTCTTTACCAAGGCCCATTTTAATTCTTCTTGATGTTACCTTTGCGGAAAGAGACACCCACCCTGCTTCATCTCCCCACCCCCCCCCCTCTTTCTTGTAAGAACTTTCGTGAGTCAATTAGATAATCAGAGAACAAAGGTAAAGCTGTAGTCCTAATTCTGTGGGTAAAAATATATTCCGTAAAAGTAATGATATTTTGGAGTCAGGACGGTGGTTACGGTGGGAGGCGAGTTCGATAACATGAAACAAAAGTGATAAATCAGTTGAATTAAAAGCTTTCGTTGATACCATAGGGATTAAGAGTGCCGATTTGAAATTATTTCACGCGTCCGACATGTTCGTTGGATATTCGTTCGAAATGTGGGCTGAAAGATTTTGAATGCATAAAAGGAGAGTGAAGAAACGGTTTTTCTATAACTTGGATCGAAGTCAATTAACTGTATCCGCATGAAATAGATAAATGGACAGTCAAGAATTACTAAGCGTCAAATAGCATTTACCCTTGACATCCGAGGCAACAAATTCAATTAAAAAAATTTAATTTTGTTTATTTCGGCTCTTGCAAATATGAAATTTTACAGAGGTCAAAAATAACAATGATAACTTAATTGCATACGCATACGCAGTATTTTCATGAAAATTATGTAAGAAAATAGGAATTAGCAATAAGATAGACGTCAATCATGAAGTATTTTAAAGTTTCACCAAACCAACAGGACCAAGGAAGCGGGGTAGTTTGCTTTATTTCAATTGCCAATGAATGAATTTCAGATGTTGGTACTAGTACAATTACAACGACTCGACTTAACTAATACTATTTTGAGTAGTTTGAACTGAGTTCGCAAACAGATTTCCATTTAGTGATTGACATGAAAAATACGATTTAACAGAAGACATTGGCTTGAAAAATCATGGAGGACTCGATCACTTTATGGAAACAGTGATAAACAAAATAAAAGATTTCTGAGTGAATCACATTATACAATTTTGAATAATTAAGAGATTTAAGCGGTGGTCCTAAATGTGATACAGGTCCCAAGAGGGTCATTATAACTCAGGTAATTCCTTTTACGCGAAGTAGCGACTGGTTCTCAACAGGTTGAGTATGGTCTCGCCCGACACTAAAACACCACCCAGTCAAACTTTGGTGTTGACTGATATTATTTTCTTCGGATCGTTCAAAATTTCAGTAATTACAACTACGAACAGATGAAGAAGGCACCTCTGAACCTGGGAAAATTCTGGGAAACTTTACTCTATCAACTAATTCCAGGAAAAGTAACGTATTTTCCCCTTGTTTAACCATGAATGATCAAGAGATTATTTAGTGCCGCAGTTTTTCTCGTTTTTGCATTGAGCTAAGGAATCAGTTCATTTAAGCAAAGAAATCAATGTATTTAAAACAGTAACAAGGCAGGAGGAGAGATCATTCGGATCAATATTTGTTTCTGGGCAACCGAGCTCGAAATAGGTGACTCGAGCTCGAAAGCCTATCCGAGCTCGAGTCACAACTCGACTAGAAGGATCCTGAGCAACCGAGCTCGATATAAGTGACTCGAGCTCGAAAGCCTACCCGAGCTCGAGTCACAATCTTTGTAATCGAGCTCGAATCAAATCGAGTTCGATTTGGTAATCGCGCTCGAATCAAATCGAGCTCGTGTCCGACCGAGCTGAATAATATTTGTTCCTGGGCAACCGAGCTCGATATAGATTTTTCTGGCAGGGGGAGGGAGGAGGGGGAAGTGCAGATCATGCTCGATATAAGGGGAAGAGATAATATTAAAAACTATGGTGAAGAGAAAAATTTAAAAAAATATTAGGTTTTTCCTGTCTCATGTTTTTTCTTAAGTTTAAAACAGCATTTGGACAGAGAACAATTAATTATTGAATGGTTTCCTCATGCAACCAGTTGGACGATTCTTTTAAACTTTGTTACTCAATCTAGGTTTTAAACGCAGATTAAGAAGTCAGCACCTGGAACGGTTCTTGCGGTCCTAGTCCTTAAGCTTGCAATCACCAGCTTTTTAGACATCTAGATCTAAAATTTTTACATTATACATTGAATTAAAGCTTGCAACAACCAAATTTTTAATGTTAAACTCTAACCACCAGATTTACACGTAAGATTCACATTGTTCATTTTTACAAGTTACTTAAGTGATTAACGGACTTAAGCAAAAATTTGAGTGAGACGAAAAAAAAAAAGGGGGGTTTTCTAAAGTTTTAAAGAGTCCAATCGCTAGAGTGGGTCGTGTCTTGTTCCACGGAGGAGTGACCGAGAGGCTGGTATCCAAGGAGCAGCGCATCTACACTCTATTGCAGAAGCTCAAAGACGCGACTGGTTAATGAAGTTTGGGATTAACGGACTTAAGCAAAAATTTGAGTTCGCTGCCACTATAAACAAATCTCGGGAAGCAGGCGAATGTAAAAATTGAAATGTTAACTATTCGGTATCAGTTTTCTTACGACACCGTTATCGAGCTCATTGTAATGCAGGAACTAGCTAAGAACGCTTTCTTACATTTGTGTATCGCCCATAAATGGGTTCTCTATTCTTTCTTATTTCGTGGCTGCTAAACTACCGAAAATTACGAAACTTCGTGACCAGATGATGACGCAACTTTTTTGGGTCTTAACCTCTCTTCCCCTCAGCCCCTTCCCCGTTAATATGAGAATAATCCAGAATATTTAAAAGAGATATGGTAAGGGATGGGACATTCATTTTATTGTTGAAACAGGTGTATGTTAGTGTCTAACAAAATGCTCTCCTCCTTTGACGTTCCCTTTCTACCACATATTTAAAGATAACTTTCAACATGCCATTGTAAAGTGCACATGTTATTTGCAAAATTTATTAAAATTCATAATTGATAAATACGCATGATTACCAGCTGATTAATCATAACCACTAATACTTAATGGATAAAAAAACATGAACATAATTAGAATACAAACTATTTTAAACACTTGCATTAATTTTTTAACCCTCTAACCCCTAGAAGGGATAAACATGAAACTTCTCCCCAGAATATCCTTACATTATCCAACAAATAGGTAATGAGAATACTCATGTTTATCAGGTAGAAATTGTCATCTTGATCCAATACCCAATTTGCATAAGCTATCTACAAGGAATTGTGTAGCAGCTTGAGGGGACAATTAAGAAACAGTTTCAAAAGATTGAGAGTTAACTTTTAATTAACAACTGCCCTACATCTGTTGAATGTGATACAGCACAACAACAATAATTTATATTTTTCTTTGATCAAAATTTATAAACATGCATGATTACTTAGTGAGTAATTATAACCACTAAATACTTAATGAATAACAAACATTAACATAATTAAACAACAAACTAGTTTAAAAACTTGCATTCATTTTTTCACCCTTTGACTCCTAGAAGTGATTAACCCTTTAACTCCCAGATTGAATTTTTAATTCTCCTTACTATCAACCATACAATTCTTATGATGTTAGGTCAGAGAATTTAGTATTGATCAACTAATTAACCCAAAATTGATATTCTTCTTTGGTCTCTTCACTTATCTGGTTGATATTGTATTAATATTGTAGGGAGAAATTCTGTCTGGGTCACTCGTGGCAGTTAAAAGGTTAACAACTTCTTCCAATAAAATCCTTATGTTATCCAACAAATAGGTAACAAGAATACTCAAATTTATAAACATGCATGATTACTTACTGAGTAATCATAACCACTAAATACTTAATGAATAACAAACATTCACATAATTAAATTACAAACTAGTTTAACCTTTTAACTCCCAAGATCTGATTGTTAATCCTCCCCTGTAGCTGCTACACATTTCCTTGTGAATTAGTTATGAGAACTTGGTGCTAGATCAAGATAGCAGCTTCTACCTGATAAGTTTTAATATTCTCTTTACCTGTTTGCTGGAGAATGTATGGATATTGTAGGTAGAAGTTTTATGTGAATCACCACCGGGAGTTAAAGGGTTAAAAACTTCCATTAATTTTTTTCACCCTTTAACTTCTATAAGTAATTAAGAAGTAACTTCTCCCCATAATATCCTTACATTATCCAACATCTGACTACTTCTTCAACTTCTTCCTTTGGCAGCCAGTTCTTTTTTCCCTTTTTTTCTTTTCCCCTTTGGCATTGATTTCCTTTATTTCTTCTTTTTCTACCTTTTCTCCTTCCTCACCTTCCATGCTGGCATCTTCTCTTCTACATTCTCCATCTTTATCTACTCTTGCGTCTTTTTTCTCTTCGCTCTTTTGCTTCTTCTTTTCTCTTTTCTCTTTCCTTTCCTTTTTTCTTCTTTTTTCCATTCTTCTTTCCTTTTCATAATGGTCTTGGTGGTCTTCATCTGTCAGTAAAAGTGATGATGGTTTAATCCCTTTAACAATCAACTCAGGCATTGGTAATGGATTTTACCACCACGTCATTATTGAGGTGATGCAATAAAGAGCATTTTAAGTCTTCTAAGATAATAATTTTGTTCACAAGTTTTGCTAGAAAACCTACCATAAACCTCATAAAGACAATTCTTACCCTCGACTGTTGTTTGCAGGATTTCCTGTTTGCCTAGTGGCACATTTCCCTTGAAGCAAACCTGCAAAGAAATGAAGGGAAGGGAAGTATGCTGCACAAAATGGATAACATGGTGATGAATAATTCAGCTTATAAGCAAATTCATCTGTACAGCATACCTCCCTCAAACATTTCCACTAGAGTAGATACCATTTGCATTGTCTTGCATGTTAATGTTAATGTTATTGTTAGCTTTTATAACAGTGTTACGCAAGTCAATGCCAATGTGTCATCTTCCATAGGGAATGGTGTATCAAAATTACTCTAGGGGAATTCCCTGCCACTCAAAACAAACATACTTAATAAATCCCTTTCTTCTTAAATTTTCATACCTACCATGCAGCTCATTCAAGTATCTCTGGGAGCACTTGATAATAATTGCGTTGAAGGAATTTTTCCCTGTCAAAGGGGAAAAGTCTGGGCAAACTCTCTGATTGTCTTGTCTCTACAAGAGCCTATTCATTCACCAGAAGGGGGAACATTCTTGCCAATCTTATAGTCAGGAGTGAAACAGTCTTTGTCAGTCTCACCCAGGTGTTACGGCACTAAGGCCTCATCCCTGGTCAAGAGAACAGTCTTGTCCATCTCCCCCAAGTGTCGCGGCACTAAGGCCTCGTCCCTGGTCAGGAGAACAGTCTTGTCAATCTCCCCCAAGTGTCGCGGCACTAAGGCCTCGTCCCTGGTCAGGAGAACAGTCTTGTCAATCTCCCCCAAGTGTCGCGGCACTAAGGCCTCGTCCCTGGTCAGGAGAACAGTCTTGTCCATCTCCCCCAAGTGTCGCGGCACTAGGGCCTCGTCCCTGGTCAGGAGAAGAACAGTCTTGTCAGTCTCCCCCAAGTGTCGCGGCACTAAGGCCTCGTCCCTGGTCAGGAGAACAGTATTGTCAATCTCCCCCAAGTGTCGCGGCACTGAGGCCTCGTCCCTGGTCAGGAGAACAGTATTGTCCATCTCCCCCAAGTGTCGCGGCACTAAGGCCTCGTCCCTGGTCAGGAGAACAGTCTTGTCCATCTCCCCCAAGTGTCGCGGCACTGAGGCCTCGTCCCTGGTCAGGAGAACAGTATTGTCAGTCTCCCCCAAGTGTCGCGGCACAAAGGCCTCGTCCCTGGTCAGGAGAAGAACAGTCCAGTCAGTCTCCCCCAAGTGTCGCGGCACTAAGGCCTCGTCCCTGGTCAGGAGAACAGTATTGTCCATCTCCCCCAAGTGTCGCGGCACTGAGGCCTCGTCCCTGGTCAGGAGAAGAACAGTCCAGTCAGTCTCCCCCAAGTGTCGCGGCACTAAGGCCTCGTCCCTGGTCAGGAGAACAGTCTTGTCCATCTCCCCCAAGTGTCGCAGCACTGAGGCCTCGTCCCTGGTCAGGAGAAGAACGGTCTTGTCAGTCTCCCCCAAGTGTCACGGCACTAAGGCCTCATCCCTGGTCAGGAGAATAGTCTTGTCCCTATCCCCCAACAAGTGTCGTGGCAGTAAGGCATTATCCCTGGTCGGGAAACCGGCCTTGTCAGTCTCCCTTGAGTGTGTTGTGGTTTAGGAGAGAAACAATAGTCATTTGTCAAGTGTAAGGTTTTGTTTGTCTGCCTAAGTTGTTGGATTTGCAAGATTTCCCTTTCCAGGAGAAAATGACAAATCAATTTTTAATTGTGAGGATTTATTTAAATGTTGTCAGGTGATGCTTATCTTGTTCCAGCATGTAATCAATAATAAATTCCAACCTAAGCCCTTAAATGCAGTCAGGTAATGCTTATCTTGTTCCAGCATGTAATTAATAATAAATTCCAAACTAAGCTCTTAATTGAGAACACAGTGTAAAACCAAAAAAGATTCCCTACCTGGTCATCTAGGAGAGCCTTGGCTTCCTCTGGATCCTAAATAGATTTGTGAAGATGTAATTGATATGTTACTGCTGAAATGATTGTTTCGTCTATTAAACCATCTAGCAAAACACCATTTGAAGTATAGGCACTAATTGAATATCGTGTACTGTAATTGAAATTGCGGAGAATACATATTATTCCTAAGTAAAACGTTCGTTTCCTCAGATTGCTCATGCCCAAATTTTCTTCTTTTCTCGTGAAGTTGCAAAGCATCTCGAAGTTGTCGAGCCATGTTACATAATGTGTGGAATATATGAAGTAAGATATGCGTTGTGCCGTATACATGACAGAGAAGATGAAAGATAACCAGTTTAAGCTTTTCACAGCTACAATAACAGTAGTGGCCGTTACTGGAGTTTTGTTGTGTCTTTACGGACGCTAACAGCCTTTGAAACGTTTGATAAATAACTTCGTGACGATTCTGTACCGTGGAAAGAGGTGTAAGATCGCCCAGCACCAATCAAGAATTTCGGAATTTTTTTACTCTGATAAATCGAAAAAGACAAGGTACGTTGTTTTAACTGAAGTAAAATTAAAGAACTTAATTAAATCAACGGGTTTATTTGTTTTTCTTAAAGGTTTTGGCGGCTGCAATAATATTTTATTGTCTTATGATGTTATTTCAGTAACAAAGAGGGGAAAATTTGAACCCTACTGGGACTCTCCTGTTGTGTAAGAAAAAATCAACATAATAGATACAACTTTATGTACGTACCCTCTCGCAGATATCTAGCACCTCCTTGCCCAGAAGGGGATCTTGGTGTTTGACCACGTGCTTTTGTCTCTGCAGAGTAAAATTTAGGGGCACATTCTGTTGTGACCCTGCCCAGTCATACACCTCCTGTTAAGAGATAAATTTCTTTCAAAAATGTCTCTAATGCGAATTGTAACTAGGAAAAATACAAAATAGCATGCAGTGGGCGGGTGCTCCTTTCATTTGGAAAGTGGGTTGCCTTTTAAACTAGAATTAGGGGTCTGGAGCAGCTTTTTTCTTGTCATGTATTGAGGGTACTTCAAATATTCAGTTAAACTGTAAATCAATATAATTCAGTTTTGTTTCCTCTGATCAGGAAGTATTTGTCAATGAAAAGAGGAGATTAATATTTCTAAGTAAGTGACCATGTACATATATAAAATATCTAAATATCTTGAATAAAATGTATTATTGTAAATCCCTAGAAGAGAGAGATGGAAACATTGTGTTTATCATTCCAATAATTGATCATAAATGTATTCATATTAACCACTCATACACAAGTTACTGTAAATACCTGGAAAAGAGCAGTTGCTTTGAATTTGCGTTTCAGTCGGGTACTGCCATATACCGTAGGATTATTGTAATGCCCTCTTTGTCCTCAGGCAGTACCCGCTGACCCCTTACCTCTCTTAACTATGAAATTAAAAGGGAAAAACATTTCTTATGTTTTGTTCTGCTGAACTTCGTTGACTTCATTCCAAGTAGAGAGGAGGGGGAATTAAAACACCAAAGAGGTCTGTCGGCCAGAAAATAACTGCAGCAATTATCTAGTGATTTTGAGAGGTTACCTTTACAAGCATTGCTGGAGCTATCTATGGAGTCGTTCTTTTGATTCCAATATTCTCTATTCATAGTGATGTAAACTTTTTACCTAATGTTATTGAAAGATTTTTTTCTTTCTTTTATCTCCTGGTTGGTCTTGTAGTATGTAGGCAATATTGGAAATTATTGTTTTTAAAAAATGAAAAGTTTTGCTCCTACTCATCACCAAAGACACTAGCATGACATTAAATATTTGATGAACACTCCAGGACATACTTCTCTATGTTCATTGGCCTGGTTTTTCTGTTGACATAAACTTATACTTTTATCATTCATCAATGTCAAAACTTTATGAATTGGCTTTAATGGAACGCAACATATTGTAGGGATATGTTAGAGACATTTTAGAGGTATGTAATATTATACTATTCACCTCCATATCCATCTTAGTGGTTTGATCCTCCTTTTTATTGCTGACAGAAAAATATAGAACAATTTGCCTCAGTTAGGTACACTTTGAAACCTGGACTGTAAAAGTGGTACATGTAGCATGTTTTTTCTGAAAGTAAGTTAGGTGCTACAAGCAAATTTGGGCCACTGTTTGATTTAATATGGTTCTCTATGACTCGTATATGAGTCATGACAAGTGTCTACTTTATGGGATTAATAATAAAGGAATTTTGTTGAGCTGATTATCTTACCATTTCTTCTTTAAATTCTGAAGGGCCAATTGGCCCTGCTGAATGCAATCTTCAATGTCACCCATGTTGATGTTGGCAAGGGTCTGGCCTAAACAAAACAAGTTATGAACTTTCAAGGAAGAGTGTCTTTCAACATTGCAACTTTTGGTGTTGGCAAGGAAGGTAATCTCAACTACTGCAAAAGATGTTTCCTCTTTTTCCTTGCCAATATCTTGTGTATCATTTTCATCCTTCTGTCAAGTGCATATTGTATTTTCATTGTGATTGCATGATTGAAAGGGTAAGTGCTGTACTGTGTATGTTTGAAAAGTGCAGTTTACAGAAAATGGTAAATAATGTATGTTGAAGTTTACTCTAAAATATGAAAACCTACCTGAAAAACGTTCAACCAGGACTGGCCTGGCAGAGGTTGGTGCCAGGAAAAAAATCTGACTCTCGTGGTTATTTAGGCCAAACTTTGATATCACTGAAAAAAGAAAGATTTTTACTAAACTCTCTATGATAAAATAGTAGTATCCATCTGCAATTGATGTAAACTACTTGAACAATAAATAACTTGAGAGAAAAATTTTTTAATCAGCTTTGAATGGTAAATCTTTGAGTGAAGTTGTTGGTGATAATATATCAAAACATAGTATACTCGCCACAATGAACAACACCAACTCTTTTTACATTATATCATTATTGTTCTATTTTATTACATTTACCATAGTATCCAATTTTAAAATGTTTTAACGATGACAACTTTCCAGTAAAACACAATGTAGTTATGTGCAGCTGAGTGCTGCAGAGGGCATCCATTATCTGTAAGGTCTATAATTACTGAAGGGAACCTTTTTTACCTGTCATACTTTTATCATGTTTGTGTGTAAATGTATAGACAATGATCAGATGAAAGCTGACTAAACGGAGAATTTTTCTGGCTTTCTTCTTGAATTGCTATACTGCTTAATTCTCTTCAGTGTACACCATCTATACCAAGAATCAGCTTTGGGATAATTGATTTACCTCTTCTCCCACTTGCACTCTCCATACATGCCATCCAGTAGTACAGATCAACTGATAATGTTTGGAGCATGCTACAAATTCTGCAGATAGTTAAAAATAGAAACAAAACTGATTACTTTTAAGGATTTGTTGACAAATGGGAATTATTCTCACTTTGATAACCTGAGTATGGAATTTGATATAAGTTGGAAAATTGTAAAACATGTGCATACTCTAATTGTTGGAGTGTTGTGTCATGTCATGTTTAGTAACATAATGCTATGATTTCTGGAAATGGCTGATATATGACCTGTCTCAGTTTCTGACCAGGAATCCCTTAGCCTTTATTTGAATTTCTAGTACTAGGCAATGAAATTTGAACTTCAAGGTAATGCTGTCTTAATAACTACACTGTAGCCGTACAGGCACAAGATCCTAATTTTATAACAACAAACAGCAAGCAGCTAACCTTCGCACAGGATCAAAATTATCGCCCAGTTTTATGATAATTAGTGTAAACATTTTAAAATCTCTCTTTGCCTGGTAGCATATCTGCAAAAAAGCAAGCAAGAGAAGCATTTAATTGAGGAAAATTTGGTTTTTTCAGAGAAATCTACTTTTCCAGTTCTTTAACAGAATTGAAATGTGTTTGGAAGGAGAGTTTGATTTGAAATTTCTTTGTAATGATAGTGGTCCTTGTTGCAAATGCTATTAAGAATGCAGAGGAAGGGGTTGTTGCTGGACAATTTATTTTTGGGTATTCTTTGGGGTGTTTTGATTGGGTAGGAGCTTAATGGAAACCTGTTGAAAGCCAAATCACTAAAATTTAAGTCCTATTTCTTCTTTTCCCTCCCTCAGTGAAAGGGAAATTGAAGCATTACTTAGAGCTTTGTGTAGTTTCACTCAAATACCTTGTATGCTTAGAGTAGGGAGCCCGTATAACCACATTAGTCGCAACTCTAACATGCACACTAGGTTTTGTAGTTATGGTGTAGCACTTTTCTGTAGCCACATGCAAAGGAAGTGGACAAAAATGTACATGTATGGAACCTTCCACACATATCTTTGCATTTTTCTCATATGTTTAGCACACTAGTTAGACACAGACTTCCATGTATAGTGGAGCTATAATATTCAATACTAGCCTCTTCAAAGGTGAGATTTAAGAAGACAGGTAAGGACTCCAGCACAGCATAGTTTTGGTAAAGTTCCCTCTCACATAGAAGTACCTCCTCCACCCTGTCCAGTCTCCCTAATGCCACTAGGGAAGCAAATAACCAACACAATTGAATTTGTTAAGTGGTACACATGAAAGAAAGACATTAAGCTTCAGTGGTCTTAAATTCCTTTATGAATACTTTGACTCAACTCTACAACTACAGTGTGCAAAGAAAGTTATGTATGATAGCCCAGGAACAGTGGATTTTCTGATTAGGCTAGTGAATTCTTACTCTCACTTGCCCAATGGATAGGCAGATTTTTTCAAGATTCATTCAAATCACATCATTTTGGGCCAGTAAAAATCACTCAAGGGCCAGTACCATGCTAGTCATGGCTTGCCCTTCAGGGCAAGCAGTAAAGCCCACTTTTTTACAATCTGAACTACATGAAAAAAAATGAAGCCTGGCAAACTACTGTAAAACCTGTGTTGAAGCATGCATCCTGTGTATCCAATCTACCTTTACAATTAATGGTACCTTTTCCGAGGTTTTGACGAACAGCTCCCACTGGGCTTAAGTCTTCTCGAAGGACACCAACTACATTTGAATGTTTTCCCATTAGAACATTGAATTTGACCATGATTGATGTATTGTACTGTAAATAATTGTCACCATAAAGCCAGTGCAGCAATCAATGATAGTAAAGATGATGTACCAATAAAAACTAACATATTTATACTAATCCACAAATAAAGTCTGATGGTTAATAAGGTATACATATATAACGATAGTACAATTTATCTCCAATCATAATCTTCACAATTAATCTTAACCAATCAATGGCAAGATATCACAGTTTTTACCTGTTTGAAGGGCATCTGCTTTGACTGAAAAAATAAATGGCAAGAGTGTTAAAATTGTAAATTTTCTTAGAACATAAAGAATTAAAAACAAATAATGACAACAACCCAGACGAGTGGGTTGTTGTATCAACTGGTAATACCTTGGGGTTGATCATCTGCAAGCCATAACATTTCAGGTAAATCATCATCTGTTGAAATGTATGAACATCGGCACAAATGAAAATTGCAATGGACAGTTTAACAAGGAAACAACTTCAACCATTACAGGTTGTTTAGTTTGATGTGATGTTTCGGTAAGGGATGTTTAAACAAGTTCTTGGTATCAGACCATGAGCATAATAGTTTTCATAAATCATTCATGACCTGGATTATGTTAGACAATTAAATTTAAGAAGCTGCAGCCTCAAAATGTTTACACCCACTTACCATCATGCATGGATTGCTGCAGTTGGTCATAATCTCTCATGATAATAAACATAAATATTGTTAAGGTGTATGCTGGATATCACTAATTAAAGAACTGCAATTCAAATCAATTGCACTTGTATTTCTTCAGTACTGTTATTTTTTTTGTCCTTCGTAGTGTGTGTATGGAAAAAATATTCCTTACCTCCAATTTCTGAAGTGGATGATGTGGTGTTGGGGTGAGCCAATGGAGGAGCAAAGCTGGGCCGGGATGAATGAGGAGTGGGGTTAGGTTGGGCTAGTGGAGGATTGGGGTTAGGTTGGGTAAGTGGAATAGTGGGGTT